CTCCGCACTTAAATATCACTTACTTACCTCACGATCATGTTTTCATCTGTGTATTTTTATACTCTATTTTATTTTTCCTACATAGGTCTTTGTTGAACCAAGAACTCACTATTTGTTCATATTTACTGCTTGCCTAAAGTCTCATTGCCCTCGTCGGGAAAACACAACAATAACTTCAATGTTTGAACAAAGCTATGTTTTCGTCGAGAACGTCATGCTTGAACTTAACACTGCAAATGTATGCTATCATTTTAAGAAGTCTCCAGCCCCTTCTTGTGTATATCCTGTGAGTGTACTTTCTATGATTTAGTACCTATAATTACGTTTTATGCCTTTTTGCAGTTTGCCAGGACGTTTTACCCTTTCTGAAATAACTTTTAATTGCGTGGCAGCATAGCGCTTACCCAGATATACGCTGTTTTCTGGTTGGCCATAAATGTCACCATGAAACGGAACGAAGTTTGGGTTGTCACTCGACCCTGATGGTGAGGTTATTGAAGGGTTTACAATTTAACATTTATACGAGCCTGTACTGGTTGCTTGTGCAATAAACGAACAATTTAAACTCTTGGAATAGTGCTAATTTATGATACTTCAGGATTGGAATTCATAACATGACTGATCGTGCCTGTAAAAGTGGCATATATTTCTTGTAAACACCAGTTTATGCGAAATACAAATTATTATTGTTAATGAAATACTACTGATTAATGTTATTAGTGGCAAACGCAACAATACGGCCCAAGCACACTGAAGGAAAAAAACCGATTCTCTTGAAGTCAGACAAAGCTGCAGTAGTCTGCTAGTAGGAAAGATTCCACGAAAGCTAACCAAGAATCAGGTAATCTCACTTTATGGCCAAAAAGAAATAAATTTAGTTTACTGAGCTGGTAGATTTAATTACGAAGCTTCCGTAGTCCTACTGCACAACATATTTAGCCCAGGTTTTTGTATAAAACGAGCTCATTTGAATTCTTCCATATCAATGCATGCAGATAATGGTGGACATGAATTCGCTTTGGATAATGTAGAAATTTTAAATAGAGAAAACACCAAAAGTGCCAGGAGATTTATAGAAGCCCAGTATCCCAGTGAGACAGCTATTAACAAACATTGACGCAGACTGAACTTTCCAGATAATAAAATGCAAAACACGTAGCAAGAAAGATCATCATTAGGGATGTGAATCAACAACCAGTCACGAAGATGGTTGCCAGGAGACATAATTTTATCACTAACTGGGAATTCCAATGAGTTCATCTCATACTTGCACCAGTGTTGAAGGTGTTACTGTCCGGAAAAGCTACGAAACGTTTGCAGCCTAATCATCAACCAGCTCAGAATACATGATTGATTCAATATCATCCACCTCAGCAACGAATCTGGATTATTTTGGTCAACACTAACTCTCAATTAAGTTAATTGATATTGTTTAAAGCTTACAAAACATCATATTTCGCACTTTGTGTCGTTTATAGTGATCACACTATTAATATGAATATCTGGCCAGGATATTTAATATTGAAACGGCCATTTGTTTGTATTCAGCACATCTAATTAGGTTTACTATAGCAGTTACTGTGTTTCATTCAATCATGAAGTTGAAGATACTAACGAATGAAGGAGCATTTCATATCCTTCCTATGACTATTATTTTTACCATAAAAATACTGAAGAATAGGCTAATTTAATTTATAGTAGCGACTCCTGCACATGACTTTTGACAATCAATTTGTGTTACAGTGTACAGTTTACAGTTTACAATTTATTTAGGATAGTAGGCTATATGCCTGTGTTAATCCTTTCGATTTATTTCATACAGGAGGTCCAATCTCGCCTTGAATGAATCAACGGATGGCGCTGATACGACATGTTCCGGTAGGGAGTTCCAATGGTTCACAATTCGATGCGAAAAACGGATTTCCAGACGCAGACGATTCGACCGTGGTTTTTGAACCTTGAGGTGATGTCCTCGCAATTGGTTGGTGCTAGAAGGAAGAAATAATTTAGATAAATTAGCTCCAAAATCATTTCTTAGGATACGGTATGCTAGTATTAGGTCACCCCTAAGTCGTCTGTATGACAGTGGAAATAAACCCAGTCGACTTAACCTCTCCTCATATGACAGGGTTGAGAAACCCTTTATTAGCTTAGTTCCTACTCTTTGCACCCTTTCTAATAAGTCTATTTCGTATTTGAAACACGGGCTCGCTGCCTGGATCCCATATTCCAAATGAGGTCTGATATAAGTCGGATATAATATACGAAATATATCAGCGTAAAGCGTCGCAAAAGCCTTGCGTATGGCCCATAACATTCGAAAACCCTTAGTGGCTGCAGTTCTACAGTTTGTTGCTGTTTTCAAGTCATGCTGCACAACCACTCCCAAGTCCTTGTACTCAGTGACCACTGGGAGAGTAATGCCATTCATTGAGTAATTGTGCACGTGACTATGGGATACATGCATAACTACACTCTTGCTTAAGTTAATCTCCAAGGCCCAGTGCTTACACCAATCACTTAACAAGTTTAAATCTTCCTGCAAAGCAAGTTGATCACTGTCATCGTGCAAAGCCCTCCATATCTTGATGTCATCAGCAAACAGTAAGCAGGATGACTTAACTACCGATGGAATCTCATTAACATAAATCAGGAAAAGAAGTGGGCCTAGAATTGTACCCTGAGGAACGCCACTCTTAACCGATTCCCATGTTGATAAAACCCCGTTAACTCGTACTCTTTGTCTTCTGTCCTTTAGAAAGTCTTGAATCCAGTCGGTAACCACTTTATTGATTCCCAGACTACCTAACTTTACTAGAAGACCTGAATGAGAAACCCTGTCAAACGCCTTGCTAAGGTCTATGAATATGGCATCCACCGGTATATTAGCATCAGCTGAGCTTGCCCAACTTTCTCTGGCCAAAAGAAGGTTGGTCAAGCAAGAATGACCTGCTCTAAAACCGTGCTGTTCCACAGCGAAAAGTTTGTTCCCTTCAATGAACTGAATGATAGCATCACGAATTATTCTTTCTAGTAGTTTAACAACAATACTGGTCAAACTAACAGGACGATAGTTCTGAACTAAGTTTCTAGATCCGGTTTTGAAGACCGGACTAATGATGGCATCTTTCCAGTCTCTTGGACATTTAGACTGGTCCAGAGACATATTGAAGATTACCGACAATGGCTCGGCTATGCTTTCAGCCAATGCTGTTAATATACGTGGGTGGAGTTCATCAGGGCCACTGGACTTACCAGGATTGAGCCTTAGAAGCCACTTTAGGACAGTATCCTTTCCAATGTATAAGGGTGCCATTTTCAAGTTACCTTCTGGAAAATTTACAAAGCTGGTATCAATATTATCAGAGAATACTTGACTAAAGTGCTTGGACAAAGCCTCAGCCTTAGTCAAGTTATCCTCAGCCATGTTTGTCTGGTCATCTTCAAGCATAAGAGGTGGGATAGCATCACTCTTACGTGTTCTTCTCTTGATATATGAGAAGAGTCTTTTTGGGCAGCCTGGTGAACTTTTAACTAACTGGGTTTCGTAAGCTATCCTTGACTGGTGGATCAAAGTTTTACACTGGTTTCTGGTTTCACAGTATTTCAGCCGGAACTGCTGTAGCCCAGTAGAAACAAAGAGATTCAGAACCTTTTTCTCCGTCTCAGGAGTGTTATAGCTTGTCTATTTATCCATGGTGGCCGATTTGTTGGCCTTTTAGGAACCCTCCAGGGGATGAGACAGTGGTAACCCTCTCAAGTTATTCTTAAATCTATCCCATTCATTTCAATGGATGAGACAATGTTGACTGACCAGTCGGCAGTTGAAGCACGCTCCTTTATAGCCACTATGTCAGCATGCCAAACACTAGGCCGGGATTTGGGTTGAAAACTGACTAAATTGCCAGCCTTAAGTTAAATCTAACACCCCATGATCACTGTTTGCTAGAGGTGGATGAATAACTAGACCATCCACGTCGTCGTTGTCATGAGTAAGCACTAAGTCCAGCAAGGAAGATCCTTGGGTAGAACCGAATCTTTACTACCTAAGACATGTTGTGTCAGGGCATTTTCCATGGTTGTCAAGAGTAACCGGCTGTCAAACTTATCAGCGGATCCTGGAGATGTGACAGCTACCCAGTCTATATGAGGTGCATTAAAATCACCTAGAATAAGACAGCTACTGTGTTTACTCCATGTTTGAGGTGATCTAAAATGAAGTCATCACACTGACATAGGGACTTCTATACAGAACTCCAATGAGTAGAGTGCCGGTTGCAAAGCTTACTTCACAGCTAATTACCTCACCTGTCCCACTGTCATGAGCTTCAGATTTCACGGAACGAACATGTAGGGAGTTGTTGAGTACAGAGCAACCCCGCCACCTCTACGACCCTTAACTCTGTCGCTGCGCAAGCAACTAAATCCGCATAGCTCAGGTGTGTCATCTAATCCCGAAACCAGCCATGTTTCAGTAATGGCCACAATACCTGGGCTAAGGTCTTCTACTAATACACCTAGCTCGTGAAATTTGTTCCCGATACTACGTATATTAGTGTACACTACCTTCAGGCTTCCTAGCGGTCTGGCTTATCCACACAGGTCTTGGAAGCATACGTTTCCAAGACCTGACTATTTGAAAACCCACCAGTTTAAGGGGGTGTTACAGGGGTAATTTTGAGAATATATTCCCAAATTATAATTTAGGGTGCTTTAGTGTTTTTGGAGGAAAGGCGAGGCAACCCTCAAAACATTTTGCATTTGCTTGCCCCTCAACGTTTCTGAAAACTTTTTATTTGAGGTTTGAACAAATGATTTGGTTGCTCCCCAGCTAGCATTTTTTTCGGGCGCATTGCAGACATTTTGGGGCAAAAACTTCGGGTAGATCTACTTACGTGGGACAGTGTCCCGAAGTCTTCCCCGAAAAGTCTGCAATGCAATATATATATATATATATATATATATATATATATATATATATATAGGGAATGACTGGTCCACTGAAATCATTGAATTTTTGAGGTGGAGTTAGGAACAGAATCAGAAATATGAACAGATCTGTAACTACTATGATGACTGTTTTACGGATTTTATTTCCTCTTCATTCTGGTTAGCTGCTCAAGGCTGTTAGTAAGATTTATTAGGGTAGCTGCTAGGGTGAAGTTTTCGTGGGAGTTAAACTATATCCAATGAGCAATACCGGGTATTCGACACAGATTAACTTCACTGAAAACTATTTCCTTAACATTGTATACATAAAGATTTGGCCAGTTCTGTTGATTGGATGTCTTGTGAAGAAATTATCTCAATTGCTGATGATCGAGCAGTTAAATGTTGGAATTTGTCATCACAGCAGGTAGTGGACCTGTTTAACCTGCCAGGAAATGTGTTTCCTACTGATATGGATTGGCTTCCCAAACAAAAAGGAAAGACCACTCCGAAAGCTACTTCAGCGAATGAAATATTCCTGCTTGGAGGAACAGACGGTAAAAATTCTCTGTGATATTATAAATCAAACAGGCAAATGCCACATTGTTTCAAAAGGGGGAAGAATAGAACGAACATCAGATGCTCATCAGGGTGCTGTTTTATCAGTGAAATGGAATTATGATGGAACATCCTTTGCTACTTGTTAGTAAATCTTCCTAAATAACATTTATCATGTAGCTGGGGAAGATGGCCAAATAAAAATTTGGTCCCGAAGTGGTATGCTGAGATCTACTCTGTGTCAACATGGTATGCATGCTTCAGCAGTTTACAACGTGCACTTTACAACAAATAGGTTTCCCAATTTATTCAATTGCTTGGGGAACTAATTCAAGCGTAATGCTATTTTCCCTCGACAGACAGTTGGTAATACAGTCCTTGCAAGCGAATGCTAAGCCTTTTGCAGTAAGCTAATTAATCACTTACTAATTTTACTTTGAAAAGTGGAAAGCTCATGATGGTGTTATCCTAAAAGTTGGTTGGAATACAATATGTGACCTCTTGATTTCTGGTTCAGAGGATTGCAAATATAAGGTAAGTACCACCGATTTTACATACTTTAGGTGTGGGACAGTTTCGGAAGACTTTTGTATTCAAGTTCACCTTTTGAATATCCGATTACTTCACTTTCACGGTCTCCGGATGGTCAAATGTTTGCGGTAGGAACATATACAACCGTCGTATTATGTGACAAGCTTGGAGTAAGTTACAAGTGTCCGTTATTATTATTATTGTTAATTTATGAAAATAATAAGTTTTTGTGATATATGTTAGAGAAGTGCTAAACTACTTATAATTAAGGGGATTTTAGGTGTGAGTCTGGTAAAATTCGTAGTTTGTATTCGTAGTTTGCAGATAAGCGTCTGTGCAGGTCTGGCTCCATCTTTAGAAAAACATCTGAAAATGTGAAATCTCGAAATTCCCCTCTAATAGTAGATTCCTAAATGTATTTGTTTCCATTGTTATGTCAGAAAGGGTTGGTCAGTTTTATAAATCTAACACTCACAATATTAGTAGCATGATTCTTTAGGTTTTGGTTTCTGAACTTTCAGTAATTATTATTCCCCTCATGGACTTCTTTTTATTGTAGCTTCTGTGCATTTCTTTTCTCCTATCCAATGTGTTCTTATGGAGTGCAATATCTCAAACTAAAGCACATTTGTGCAAGCCTGCACATGGAAAAATTTACTTCAGTTCTCTACGAAGTCGAATTTGTGTATGCTATGTAAATAGTGATTCTAGGCTGCTGAGATATTTTCATTGATTGTGATAAGTATTAAACCCATCCAACTTTTTTCTCCACCCTCAGTTACCGTTATCATTCACGTCAAGTCTTTGTTGAATTACATCATTTTTGAGCAGAACTAGCTCTTCTACTTCGATATCATGTGCAATTGATAATTTCTTTTGTGTGTGTATATGATCGTGGGTAAAGATTTGAGAAACTTATTAAGGAGATTAGTGGATACTATTACAATTATTATGTAACGAAGGGATATTGTTAACCTGCCGAGGCATGTGATCTTTAATTAGTGGGTCTCTATTTAAGACCCTGCTGAGTCTGCTTCAACTTGTGCAACTGACACTTTAAAAATGTCATTTCGGATGACAGAGTTCTGACCAATTTTTCTGATGATTTGTCGGAATTCATATTTGCCTAAGTCCAAATTTTTATATTTTAAAACTCAGAACTTTCGTCTTCCAGTCATTTTCTTCAGGAAGAACTATCCATTTTTCTTTCTCGGGAATCAGCATTTGTGTTCTTTAAAATACTGTTTTTGTTTTGACCGTATTTTCGTTTCTTTTTGCTTATTCCACATTCTAACTGTAAAACTTATGTATTACATCGCAGTTTTGCCTATAGACGCTGAATATTTACAGCAGTTTGCAGACTGATTGAGTGCTAAATTGTGCATCCCTGAAAATAATAATTTTCTTTTCATAAGCTGGCTATATATATATGTATATATATATAGACCATGGGGTGTTGTATGCGTCTTAAAATAAAATGTTAAAGTATAATTCTAAAATTTTGTGAATTCTAGACCATTGGAATTTTTGAATTTTGTTAAGTGTAGAGGAGAAATTTTCAGTCCGTTTCAATTTTGACACCTGATCTGCCTGACACTCATTTAACAAGAGGTCGGGAAAAATATCTGTGAATTGTACCGCATTTAGTTGGGCACACGTGTGTTCTGTTAAGAGCAGTAATGATCATGTTTGCCAAAGATGTTCATTCTAAATATTTCCGTCAAACTTTAAACTTATTATTTCAGTAAAAGATGGCCAACTTTGCAGCATCCAACTTTTAAAAGACTCCGAAATATTGTCAGGAAACTGATTTAAGGATAGAATTTGGGGAATGTAGTAGAGTATAATTTCATAAGAGGATAATTTTTTTCCGATAAAAAGCACAGAAATACAAGGTTATTTATTTATATGCTTAATACAGTATCACCCTTTATTTTATCAAGTGAAATTATCCTTTGATGGAAACCCAACTTTTTTTCAAGGAGTATCAAGTGGTGAGTAAAATTTAAAGAGAGCTAAACCTATGAAATAACACTAATCTTCTAAATCAACCAATGCGTACTCACCTACTGATACCTTTATTGACTTTTTCTGCAGGGTAACACGAAATAATGATAATTACCCATCGTAAGTAAGTGATGGGATTTGAAATCATTCTTGATAGGTTGAATGTCTTTACCCAGTTATGCGCAATTATGACAATTCATGCTTTCTATCATTCCAACAGTTTACTTCGATTTACTACCCTTTTCTGAAATTTTCCGGAATAAATACAATTCTTTATTTCCTTCACATAATTTGGTGCATGCAACTTCATTTATGATTTATGCAAAAAACCTTTAGACAAGAGGAGTTTATAAAGAAAATATTCAGTTGAGAATCAGCTAGAGATCATTTTGTATCTAAAATGAATTATTTATTATTATTTATTGTTTCTTTCACGTTCCCAGTGTAACATAGGGCTTCAAGCTGGAGGCTTGAAGTTTCTGTAGCAGTCTTAATTTTTACAGGATGGGGTTGATAGCCTCATGCCCAATCTTCCTTATTTACCAATCTTATTACTGGGTAAGTGAAGTATATGAGTGCCTCGGCCGGGGCTCGAACCCCAGACCATGTGCATGGTCGGCGAGCATGCTAACCTCTGTGCCACCGACGCACTTCTAAAATGAATTCGGCATCCTTAATTATAAATCAATTAATGAAGAAGAAGGAAAAGGTGTCTTGGAAATAAAATGTCTCTTCTCTATCATTACATGACAAACTACTAAATTCACTGACGTATTAAAAATATTGTTAATTTCAAAACAAAGCCTTGATCGTTATTCATATGATTGTAATCCCGTTAATGAAGCATTTTTCGAATGGTAATCTAGTAAATTTTCTAATGGAAAGAATAAATCTTTCTTTTGAAATAAGGACTTAATTTGGGAGAATTAAACCACTGTTTTCAAGCCAAAAAATCTTGGCTTCACACAATTATCTTATGTATGAAGTTGGAGAATTCTAACTACCATAATTACCATTGAAAATGTACCGCTGACTAGTAGAAGTATTCATGGAAAACATCATTCATTCAGCCATACATCTTAGCTGGGTAGTAATGGTTGTAGAAATTCAGCCAACATGTTAGCACAAGCATTATAAGCACACATACTAGATCCTCTTTTGACTAATGGTAGCTAGCATTGAAGTCAAGAACTCGTGTTTCGTCCTGAATTTTGACTTGTCAGCTAGATATACCCCTAGCCCAGTGAATGACAGTGTTTTCACAGAGACTTGCACCTAGCATCAATCGTTTCAAAACGCTAAAGCATTCTACTTTAGGGCGAAAATCCTGTGGTTTGAATATCAGTTACGAGTCCGTTGATGGCTGCTTAGTGGATATTCTGAGGATGTATTCTGATGTCATGACTAGTGGAGTCCACCGTGTCAATGGTTAAGTGGATGCTCATCGAAGGCTCTATGATGAAAAGATAAGAGTTAGAATTCATGGGTCATTGAATTTCAGCCCAAAGGGCTAAATCATCCATGAACTTGGCCGCGTGAACTGAAAGTCGCAAGTTTGGTCGTTGATGAGGTCGTGGGTGCGCAGTGCTGAAGAGCCCTAAAACAGGACAACACAACAGTCCAGTGTTTCCTCGGTTTCAATGACTTCTCCAAATTATGTTGATATGTGGTGAAATCTAACAAATGAAATATGAATTTGTTTAATTATTCCCTTTTAGTGGATGTATAACTTGGAGAAAACACAAACTGGTAGTATATTAAGCATAAAATGGTCCTCTGATGGTACACAAATAGCCTGTGCTGGTGGAAATGGTCGAATAGTTAATGGACAGATTATAAATAGACGTACTGAATGGAATGGTTATGAGGCATGTGTAATAGATGAAAAAACAGTTGTCGTAAATAATCTACACAATGAATCCATTGAACGATTGGAATTTCGTGATCGTGTATCAAAAATGTCATTCGGTTATAATTATTTGATTGTAGTTACAATTACACAATGTTATGTTTACAAGTGAGTGTTAATTTCATCTATAAATTTTCTTCTGCATACATTTTGTTATTTTTATTACTGTTCTCATTGGACAACAAGTAGAACATAGGTCTTTAGGAGCACATCTCCGTTCTACTGAGTCTTCTACAGTTCTTTTTAGCTGGCTACATAATCTTCCATATGCTCTCATTTCCTGCTCACACAATCTCCACCATGTCACCGTCAGTATCAGGCTAAACTCATTGTTTTTCATTCGGGTTCCACTTGATGGCCTGGTGCATGATGTCACTCAGTGGTCTTCAGCATATTTGTTGTTCAATAGGTTCTTGGTTGGTTCGCCGCACCGACAGAGTTCCTTCCTACTTATCCTTTATAGTCAAACGATCTTGAATATGGAGCGAAGGTAGCTGTTGATTAAAGTCTGCCGATTGTTGGAAGCGCTTTCTGTGACTACTATTTCTTTGAACTTTACAGAAGAATTGACTTAACACGTGTTGAAAGTTAGGAGTTTGTTCATCATACTAAGTGCAACAGATTTTCAAACTGATTTGAAAATGATGAAGGTCTACTTGACCTTTCTGATTCTCATTTTGAAATTCTCATCCATGCCTTCTATTTTTGAAACGATGATGCACGAGTAAGTGGAAGAAGTCACCTCACTCTAATTTCTTCCGTTGATGGTGACTGGTACTTGTTGTGGTTGGTTATTGGGTATCTTCATCATCTCCGTCTTCTCTTTGTTCTGTCTTTGCTGCCAGCGTCTCCTGCCAACTTGTTAGTTTTCACCTGTAAGTCTGCGAATTTATGTGAAATTAAACATAAATCATCCATAAAGTTCAAATCGTTTAGAGTCTTTTTATCGGTCCAGACCACCACAGTCAGGAATACAATTGGTGAAAGTAGGCGGTCTTTTATTAATCCTGTGTTCATTTCAAACGTTCCTCTGAGTTCCTCATTATAAACCACTTGATATGTGGCATCAGTATATAACAACTGAATGAGGTTGATAAAGAAATGGGGCACTCTAAATTCTTGAAGTAGTTTGAAAATTACTTCGGGGCCGATGCTGTCGATGGCGTTTTCAGAATCGACAAAGTTGAGGTAGAGGTTTGACTGCTATTCTACGCTTTGTTCAGTCTAGATGCTTAGTAATGGAACATGATCAGCATATGATTTGCTTTTCCTGAATCCAGCTTATTCCATGTGGATTGTATATGCGTGGCATAGTAACCAATATTTCGACAAAAAGAACAAGTTTACTTGTTTATTATTATTCCCTTGGTCCGCAGTGGAACATACGGCTTCAACAACACATCTCCACATTCTTCTATTTTCTGCCGTCCTCTTCAGTTGAGTCAACGATTGCACATAATCTCTCATCTCCTCTTCACATGATCCTCTCTATTTCACCCTCGCTCTGATGACCCATGGGACTCGACTTCGGCGATGGCATGCATCGCGCAAGATGTCATTCGACGACCTCCTCAACGTATACCCGATCAATCCATCTCCATTTTCTCCTACATACTTGTTGAGTGATCGGATCTTGGTTAGTTTATTCCAAGCCATAGTTTCTTGTTGCTAATTCTTTCTGGCCGGCAGGCTGGCTATTTGATCTTCAGTATGGAGCCAGTGAAGGCAGATGTTGATAAAAGTCTGCCACTACCTTAATGGAAATGCTTTTTGTAACGTTCTGGCCAAGTTTCTAATGCGTAGACGAGGACCGACTGAACTGACATTAGTGTTGAAAATCCGAATCTGGTTCCATATGCTGAGGAGTGCAGAATATTTGCAAATTGGTTTCAGGTTGATGAAGGCGTATCTTGCCTTTCTCATTCTGGCTGATTGGCTTTGAAATCCTCATCCCTGCTGTCCACCTGTGGTTGCAACCGTGTTTCCTGGACGGGTAAGTGAATGAAGTAACAACTTTAAAATTCCTCCTGTTGAGGGTGATTGGTGCTGGTTGTTGTTCCTTTTGCTGTTAGTTGGTGATCTCCATCACCTCCATCTTCTCTATATTCATCTGGAATCCTGTCTTCGCTCCTTCTTTAGCCAGCTTGTAGGATTTCGCCTGTAAGTCTTCGAGTTTGTGTGACATTAAATATAAGTCATCTTCAAAATCCAGACCTTCTGGAGTCTAATCGTCTGTCCAAAGTATCTTTTGTATGTTTATCTTTTACCAAAAATTTGTTCATCGGTTCATTTAATAGACCAAATTAAGAGAAGGAATTTCTCTGTTGGAGTGAAACGCCGGATGGAATAACGATAGAAGGCCCCAGGAAATTTAAACTTCCTTCTTCGATGTACCTCACTAAGGCGAACTTACAACCTCATCCATATTGACTTTTAGTTAAATCCTTGGGAAATTCGGTGCGTTATAAGAAGGGATAACTATTTTGAAATGATAATATAATAATGATTGAGGAAATCTGTGACTCATTTAGGTACACTCATTATCTTTGTATCCTCTGTGTTGAATGATTTATTTATGAAGCACTTTTTTATTCTCATGGACAGCTTTTTCAGCGGTTGGCAATTCAACTATCTAGCTCAGAAGTTACTACTGATATTTGCTATTATGAGTAATATTACTAAAGAGATGTTTTTCCGCTTTCATTGTAATATTTCTTTTACTTAGTATAAAGAATTTTAATACGCCTGCAATTATGGATCTCAAGGAGTGCAATGTGACCTGTATTGCCCAATGTCAAAAGTAGGTTTGACTATTATTATTATATATCCCTAATTTCTCAAACCACATTATCAGATTATAAGAAAAATTTAAAAATGACTGTTGCGGCGGAGAACATTTTCCTTTCAATGAAGTCATCAACTAAGCTGCACATTCGCCAATGCATATAATAAACGGGTGAGAAAGTGTTATGTACTCGTCGCTAAGTTATTGTTATGTACTGGACGAGAAACTAATAGTCCTGACGCAAGAAGGTGGAAATCAGAAGACCACTAGGTTTGCGATGATACTTCTATTTTCCAAACACAAGGAGAATGCAAAAGTGGTATCACACCAAAAGTAAGTAAGTGTAAGTCACACAAATTGTGAATGCGAAATATATATGAATGTTCAGACAAAGTGTGAACAATCATTAGACAGTCTTAACATGAATGGCTAATTATAATGAAGTATCGGTCCATATATACATAGCGAAATATAGCAGACATGTCAACAACCACCATATATGGATATATGTCACTAAGCAACGGACTGTCAACAGAAAGTTCCAAAACCGCTTCTCATCGTGGGGCAAATAACAGATCAAAAATAAGGATTAAAAACCGTAATAATGACAAAAGATATACAGGAATATTGGATACGAAGCGTAGTCGGATAATAATAATTATTGAGTAGATTAACTGTTTATGATTGCCTACCTCCTTGGGGATATGTACTGCGGAAGCTCTCGCCATATGCATCGAAAAGCCTGAGCTATGTGTTCAAAAGAAACTAGTCCAGCCTTTACAACTACCATGAACCTAGTTCGGTATTTCTCTTATCCTTCAGTTTTTTGGATTTTGTTTTGTTATCTGTGTGTGTAATTTTCTCTCTTTGCCTTCATTCAATTCATCCCATTTTTTCAGTTATAAAACTAGTTATTTTAATTTTGTTTCCATGCTCCTCCTGATCACACTTGTAATCCGTTTAGAATAACCATTTTACAATTAAATTCTAATCCTGTGTAATTTTTTGTTTCTATGCCTCTTGTAATCTGTCTATATTCACACCTCCTAACTTAGATTTCAAGTTGAAAATTGTGATTTTGATTTGTTTCCATGCTCATTTTGTTTACACCTGTAATTCGTTCTATCCCTGCGTCTCTAAGCTTCTTGTAATTCATATCAAGTTGAAAACGGTTATCACCTTTAATTCGCCTTTAAAATTAATTCTCCAATTATCAAATATTAATTTTTGCATACGATGTAATTGTTTTCTAATACTCTGCAATCTTGTCTCTAAGCCCCTTGTAAGCCATATCCCTACCTTCAAACTTTCATATCAAGTTGAAAATTATTGTCACCTTCGTTACTATGTGGAATTAAACAAATAAGAATTGTATCCATGTAAAATAATCTATATAAATGCGATTGTACAGCTACTTTTGAGAATGAAATCGCCGAAAAGACGGATATCAGTTTGCTGAACTTCTTGTTCTTTTCAATCTAATATTCCAATGGGTATTTTCCACGATTAGGGATATGTACCAAGGAATTTGTTGACGAAGAGCCAAAAGATCTCTGAATAATCTTGATAGAAAATGGTTCTCTACTTGAGATACTTAGACAAGAACCTGAAACCAAAGAAAACTGCTGAACAAGTTTAGTTTGTCCCCCCCCACCACCCCCAAAATGTCCTGCTGCTAAATCTCGAATTTAAAAGTGATTCCAAAGCAGAAATTCTGCAAAAACCACTTTTAAAATCTATCAGTAAAACATACTTCACTGCCAGCCTATGAGTAAAATGGTCTTCTAATAAACTGTTCGGCCAGTGAATGAAAGACAAGCTGTCACACTGTGCCACTTTGCCATCCACATACCAGTTCATATGTTGGCTGTACCATGCGTCTGTCTGTAAAACTCTCTTGGGAACATTATTCAGCACGGCTAGCAAAAGGAAAAAAGTGTGTCTATAGCTCGGTAACAGAATATCTGATGAACTCAGGATACTCAACTCCATTGGAAAAATTTCATTAAAATTCCTAAGCAATGTGTGATCAAACCTCTCACAGGGAGTGAGATCAAGACATCTGGGCATAGCTGGAGTGTTAGCGATTCAAAAATCCAAGAGGACACTGTGTATTCAAAGGAAGTATGGTAAACGTTTGTCTCAACAATGGCCATCATAAACAGTCAATTTTCTCAGTAATTATTATTGTCCGACTACACTTAGTATCCAATATTCCTGTATATCTTTGTCATTATTACGGCTTTTAATCCTTATTTTCGATCTGTTATTTGACCCACGATGAAAAGTGGTTTTGGAACTTTCTCACCATTTATTATATGCGTAGATGAATGTGCACCTTACTTAATGACTTCGTTGGAAGGAAAATTTTCTTCGCCGCACCTTTTATTTTTGATTCAACGTAACTATATTCTGGAGGGTTAAACCATTGGCAATGAGTTTTGACCCAATTTGACTGGTTTCACAAAATCAAGCTTCAAGTGTTGTTTAATCAAATTATTTCTATTATTATTTTTGGATCTAAACCTCAATTAAGATAGTATTTGAATACCTCTTTTCTTTCATGATAGTATAGACATTTGAATAACCGTTACTGACTAAATGATATAAACTGCACAATGTGATACAAAGTTATAACAAAGTACAAAGGTATAAAAGCACTACTGACAGCTGTGCTGTTATTCATTAGAGGACATTTAAGCAAACGGAGTTGTCAAGAGAAACGTTTATAGCATTCATGGAAAATCCAGATATGTTCACTTTATATTAAAGTCTCTTCTGAAGATGTTTTATCTAGAAGGACAGTCGAAGTTTCACAGTTAAACCAGCCAGTTTACGCCGTCTTTGGCGTAGACGTGATATCTGGCTATCGACCGAAGAGCGTGTGCACTGACCAGCAGTCCGCTCCGTCCTCCTTTATGACTATGAGACCTGGCCATTGAGAGTGGAAGACATGAAAAGATTAGCTGTCTTTGATCATAGGTGCCTGCGCTCTGTCTCACGTGTGAAGTGGTATAATAAGATGAGCAATACTGAGGTTAGGCGTCGAGTTCTAGGTAAGGAGGGAAATCAATGAACGAAGCTGTGAAGCTACATCGATTGAAATGGTTAGGACATGTGTTACTTATACCTAGTCATCCATCGTATTCCTCGATGGGCTATGTTAGCTGACATAGGGTCAGGCTGGAAAAGAGCTAGCGGAGGTCAAACTAAAACATGGCCTCACCGGTTAATGAAATCCACAACAGTTAGTTTAAGCCAGCCACGTAGGAAGGTGTAGACTTCCGGGTTGGGGTCCTCTGGACGGTAGAAACCAATGGTTGGAAACAATTGTTGACATGGCTCAAAATCGTTCTCCATGATGGCGCAGATGCATCCACTCCTTGTGACTTATAATTTCCAATGAAACCATATTGTTCTTAGTTATTACTATTCCTTTTGTCTCATATCCCTGTTTACTGTCTCTATTATGCATTTCTTCTACTTTCTTCTCTTGCTTTGTGTGCCACAAGGAGGGAGTGTGGCGACTCGAACTACCGCACATATGTGCAAAGTTCTATGTCGAAAACAGACAAGAGACAAGTTAAACCATTCAGTCGACAAAACTCAACCATGGGAATATATATTTATCTATACCTCAGTATCAATCCAAAGATAATCATAATCTCTTGGGTTCCGAGTAGAACATAGAGCTTCAGTGGCGCATCTTCATTTTCTGTGATCTGCTTTAAATAGCTCAGCAATCACTCATAAGTCTTCATTTCCTCTTCGTCGCCCTCAGACTAACGCCTTACTCGTCATTTCCTGTTCGCCTACCATTTGGAGATGTTACCTCCATAAAGTAATGTACACTGAAAGAAGGCCTCTTTCAGTGCGCTTTCTCATGCTTCCTGAATTTTGCATTCCTTTTGTTTTTGCCGGATACAGTTAGCTGGTATATTTGTTCATACTTCCGGTTTACCAAATAGTCAATTGACTCAGTTTGTATCAAGCATAAACTTATTAATTTTATTATTACTACTACTCTTTATATGACAGATACTTTGCATTGGCTGATGGATCCAGTGTTTATGTGTATAATTATGATTTACGCCTTGTCTGTTCACCGAAACATGCTAATCTGCATACAGATCAGCTATACAGTGATTCTTTGACAATCAGTAATGATGCTATTGCAATTAAAGATAAATTAGATGAAAAAGGTAAAAGTTTGAGAGATTTATTTTTCTCCAATTTATATTTCAGACGGTTAGTCCTTTGATAAATTTTAGGAAGATAATTATTGCGAGATAGTTTCATTTTGTAGTTTCCTTAAGATCACTTTGCAACCAGCATGGTTGACAATAATAAAACGAAATGTTTTACAATTATTTAATTCAGTATAGATTTTCCTGTTGACTGATTGGACCAAAGTGCTCGGACGAAACGCACATCGTGCATTTCACTGCCAGTCACCACCAACCAATCGACTTTAAGTCGCATGACTAGATATTGTCGGAGCATCTACACAAGGAGCCGCCATGTCAACCTGAATCCGAGCACTTCGTTCCAATCAGTCGACGGGAAAATATAAATTGGATTAAATAATTAATAAGACCCGTTGCACAAGAGGTGGATCTCGTGGCCTAACTGGTCTAGTGCACAACGTTTTGGCGTTTTAAACTGTGCGTACTGGGTTTGAGCCTCGATGGTAACACCACCACTCACTTGGAAATGCAGGTACATCCAGGTGACGAATCCAAAACAGGACGAAATGCACATCCTGGATTCCACTGCCAGTTACCATCCACCAATTGAATTCAAAATGTTTGACAATTCGTTAGCTATATAAAATAAAAGGGCGTACTAATAACGTGTCATTCTATGATGTAGATTTCGTCGCAAACCAATATCAGTTAGAGAGATCACTGAAAACCAGCTAGCGCTATGCAGCTGTTTTGTCCTAGTCTGAGGATCTTCAGCAGCGCACACCCATGAACCAACTGTGGATCGAATCCCAGGAACTTCAGGTTACGAGAATAAACTCTTTGACCACCCACTCACTTGAACCGAAGTTTAATGACCTGTGAATTCTGACTTCTGTCAATTCACGATATAGCTCTATCCTCAACAAATGACCTCGATAAACATTCACTGCATCTTGACATGGTGTACCCTACTGATCACGACTTCTCAATGCTGCTACAGGGCATTTATATAGTAGCCATCGATAAGTTGACGTTTGGTTTTCAGAAGGTAGGTATGCGTAGGGATGTGGATTAATTTCAAAGCAGATTTCTTCACGAACCCATATCAGTTAAAGGGATCATTCACAACCATGGAACTGTTCTGGGACTCTTCAACAATGCACACCCACGACTCCACGAGGGATTGAAACCTGAATTTTCATGGTTGAACAGTTTCCTAGAGCTTTCACCATAGAATGTTGATTTTCACAATCATTGCACTTGCAGATAAGTTAGTAGTCATTCATAGCAGAAACTGCAGCGCATACCTTCACTGCTAAATATTACATTATCTTGATAAGGCCTATTATCATTTCTATGTAACATTTGTTGAATGGATTCGTGTGCCTAAGCGTGACTATAACACATTTTACTTCGAAAAATGTCTACCCCTTACCAAGATGACGACGTCTTGATTCTCAGCGGTAATTACCATAATATAGATTGTCTTTCGGTTTTTAATTTTATCGGGATGATAGATAACCCCAGTGCACGAAAACTATAAAAATTAACTAACTAAATAAATTAATGATTATTAGATGAGGAAGTTAAAATCAACCTATACTGATCTGAATATTAACTTTGTCGTGAATAGAAATGAGTTGGGGGAATCAATGAAAAAAAAGCGTGCACTGAATTAATATTTCGTCCCAGTTTGAGACTCTTCAGAACACTACTCATATCTTCAGGGTCTTTAGGCTACAAACAAAGCAAGTTTATTAAAATTAGTATGATTATACGGGTGTATTCTGTCTCTTGCTTTCATGACACATAAATGTATGTCTATTCAAATAACTTGTGTAAATGGCAAACACTTGATTACGTAACATAATTTAATGATTTTGTTTTTCCTTTCACATTTTAGTTATTTATCTATTTGACACATCAAGTGGAAAAGCACTAGGCGATGGAAAACCAATTGTACATTCGGTAATAGTTTATTTTTTTTTAAAAGGAAGAATTAATTTTCATTTATTCTGAGTTAATTCATATTGCAAATTAATGTTATTTTGATGACACTTTTAACCTTCATTAAAACTATTGAACAATACGTTCATTTCGTCATATTTAGCATAGATTGTAAAGAATTTAAAAAAGATAAAATTGTTAGGGATTTTAAAAGTCATCAAAGTACTCAAGATTTCGTTTTATTTGAATATAAAGATAGTAAACCGAACACAATAAAAAAACTTAAATTCAGTATGTTCAAGGTTTTGATAAAGTACTTACGTATCTACGATACAGAAATACTTTGATTTTAAAAAAGATAGCTAGTTCTATGAATGCGAATATCATTTGTAAAATGGCTTTCACAACTCTTCAAAGGGAGAATAAACGAATGTTGTGGGATTTGTTTTAATTAATCAAATGCATGACGACTGGAAGTGACCAGCGCCTCCCTCTAAATAACCGCGAAAATTCTAAGTAACTAATGAAACCAATGAAGTCTTTATAAATGAACCAATGTTAACAAAAGAACAACTTTTTTAAAAAGTAAATCATTTTACTAGAAAATATAGCAGTAATATTTCAACACAATTCAGCTGAAACATAAACGCTTGCAGCCAATATACATTTAAGAGTACCGCAGTCAAATCAGACCAGAATGCCATCTAAGCATTTCACAGTTTCCAACACTGTCGACTTAACAATAGACGATTTTATTAAAAATTAATTTCGCTGAAACATTTTATGGGTGAAGTTTTAGTGACAGAAAAGCCTTACTTTGCTACAACAAGTTGCCATGACAACACGCCGTTTACAGGCAGTCATCCGTCATGAATGTATTGATTTAAATTTGAATTTTCATCTTGCCTACATTTTATTATGTTGAAGAGTTGGGAGTTTGTAATTCCAAATAATTTGTTTACTGGTTATACTACACAGTGTCAAATAGTATAATTTACTGAATGACGCTTCAGACACAACTAATTGTTCATGATCATATCACAACTGTTGCTATACAACTTCAGAAATTGAGTTTTATAGGGTAAATGATGTTGTGGAGTCTATTAAACGGAATAATTTAGTTTATGTAATGCACTGCGATGGCTGTAAAGTCGAAAATAAAGGTTAAAGTAAGAAGATGGGGTCAATCAGACTTAAGGGGGCACAAAAACCTAGCAAAATCTAGACTGGTTGACCCTAACATGATAATAAATCCAGAAAATAGTTCAACTACAGAACTGCATGCAATTACGCCCAAACATACAATAGGATGGGATAAAATGACAGTCTTGCAATCTAATATAACCCTGTAAATGAAGAGGTTCATAACGAAAGCTTTACTTATCAGATCAACTGAAAATACATGCAATAAACGTGTTTCAATACATTTAGAAGATTCTACTATCCATACGACGAATGGGAAGGGAAAACTATAAAACAGGAATTTTCAAGTTGTGCGATTATGAAACATAAATTGTGTTCATAGCGTGACCCAGTATATAATACTTTTTCACACTGTGTGATATATCTAATAAACAATTTAATATGGAATTTGGTATCGTTGTACCTGCGTCTTGTTTCACCTGGTCATACATATCATAGTTTCTTACTGTATGTCAGTAAGACGTATACAAATGTAATCAATGTAAGACAGACAGTTCATGCAATCAAACAAAAATCCCTACAAAACCAACACTTGAAAATTAATCTGATGCTCACTAGCGACTGGCCCTATTCAGGCAGTTAACCTGGGGTTCTAGTGGGAAGCCGTGACCAGTAGGGTACAGCAGGTTGAAGATGAGGCAGTAACTCATCGCAGAAGACATTGCGAAATGGTCGCGCTATGTCGTGAATTGGCAGAAGTTAGAATTCAAGGACCATTGGATCGGGTCCCAGTGGCTCAATGGTCTACGAGCTCGCCTTGTGACCAGATGGTCCTGCGTTAGAACCCCGGTGGGTGCGTACTGATGAAAAGTCCCAAACTGGGACGAAACAACTGTCCAGTTCTCCCAGGTTTTCCAATGGTTCTCTAACTTATGTCAGCTCATGATTAAGTCCTCCATGCAATCAGACAAAACCCCTACAAAACCATTACTTAAAATTTTTTTTAGCTGCATACTGCAATAAGTTACTCCACATACCATCAGTATTTAGTAGTGGAAATGTTTTAGCATAGAATTTCAAATTATTAGTTAAGCTGAAGAAGTGTAATGAAAGTGAATGAGTCTATCAAATGTGAAATCATATGAAAGGGAAAAATTTATCTGTTTTGATTGACAGACTTGATTTTCGAAGTCATCAACAAAGAAAACTTTCTGAGAGAGTAATAATTATTATCTTTTTGATGCCTACTTGTTTTAAATCAGGTGTGCATATGCATAATGTCATTTTATTTTATTACGAAGTGATGTAGAGTGGTTAAATAATAAAGTCAACACTTGAAGTCGAACACCGCTGAAAATTAAAATTTCTCAGAGAGGATATACTCACTGTACAATTTAGAATTCTAGTGGAATAATCATTAGAATTTTCTAGCCTCTTGTTATGTGTATCAGCATATTGCGATTTTAGCCGCATAAAAGTCAAGTCAACCTTCATAGTTCATGGTTCAGTGAAATCTATGGTATTTACGGATATGAATTATTGATCATAAATAACTTATTCATTTCTGTACACTGTTTTAATTCTTATTCCAATAAGTTTATCAGACATCTCGTTATAAAGGCTTCCTAGACTGATGACGTAACCCATCGAACTTGTAATTATGATTCAAGTTATATTGCTTCTAATGTTGCACAAGAAGTTGGCTTCCATAATATCTCTTTGTAATGTTTACTTCTTGATTTGTTTATCAGGTTACTTTAATAGTTGTATGCGATCTTATTCTGTCAGTTTGAAAATCAGTGATACGTTGGAGGATTTCATCATGAGCTGAAATCATTCAGAGAACCACTGGGAAACCTGGGAGTACTGGACAGCTGCTTCGCCCTTGTTTGGGACTCCTCCTCCAACACCGGGGGGCGAACTCAGAGTCTTCTGGTTACAAGGCGACCTCGTAGACTATTAAGGATTGGGGACGCGTCTCAAACTAGGACGAAACAGCTGTCCAGTACTCCGAGGTTTTCCAATGGTTCTCCGACGGATGTCAGCTCATGATGAAATCCTCCAAACAATCAAACAAAATGCCTACAAACCGATACCTGAAAATCACTGAAAAATTGAAGCGATTTAGAAAGTATAATCAAGAACCTCAAAAGTGTTTAGAATGAGCTTATAAACTTGATAAAGTAGCGTAGAGTAACTATGTGTAACAGGCTAACAAACAATTTTGCTGGCTTTCAATGCATTGTAATCTCTAAGCTATACACCGTATTCAGGTGGCGAACAATTAAACAAAACTCTGTCTGAATTGCTTCATTTTTGATATTGATACGATATTTAGTTGACAGTTAGCATGCAAATCCAATACGCACAACAACTAACTTTTTCTTGAACTGGAAAATGCGGTTTTTGTTTTTGCTGGCGACTAAGAACTACTCAAGATCAAGGTTATAAGCGTAAATGAGTTTTGCGTGCTGTACTTCTGTCATTTAAGATGGGAATTAAATTGAGAGGAAGTTTAGAAGTGGTTACATCGAGAGGTCAGATAGTCCTGTAAACTCGACGTTATTCACACTTTTCTGTTTGAAATGAAACCAATCCATACAATGATTGGTGACTAGGGTGTAACCAGTGTCATATTTCTAATTCTTTGTGCTGGTGTTGACTGAAGTCTGTCAGTGTAGTCATTCTGGTCACCAAACCAAGTCACTCTATGTCATGATGCACTTCAATTTTACTATAAGGTAATTGAATATAGTCAACAGGAAGCCCTGAAACTTGCTTACGTGCTTATTGACATTAGACATTTACGCGTATCAGAAGTCTCGTATGAACGTAGTTGCTACGGTAATTTAAGTACACCACAGTGGTGAGTTAATTACTTCGGTGAATACCCTGCAAACCTGACTGATAAAATCTGGTCATCTCCGACAAAAAAGTTCATAAACATATCATCGGTTACACTCCAGTTACCAATTAATGTATCCATAACAGTTCTACACAAGGTCGATGGTGAGTCCCAATAGATCAATGGTAAAGTCTTTGACTGAATCACTGGATCATGTAGGTTCAAATTTCAGGACGGGTATCAAACCCCTTGAGGTTGTAGATACACCCTACTGATAAGTAACAGCAGGTAAAAAGCCTAGGCTTAAGATTTCATGTCGACTGACTCCAACCATCTAACAAAGAAAGTAGTCTAGGTAAACTTTCTTCTTACGAAATATACTACTACTGAAGTATTTCAATAGTTGGATGAAAATAACTATTCAAATTAGTGAAACTATTCATGCAGATTCAATCATATTGTTCCCCTCATCTTCAAATTTCTAAGGATGTACTAAACGTTTGTTTAAGGTAATTATGTACTTCCCGTTGAATAATTATACCAGACCGAAATGCTGAATCACTTTTGACATGTTGGCTCCTAGTGTGGGCGATTTGACAATGCCTAGGAATTATCATGATATTATTTTATTGATGGTGATTAGCAGTGGATTCCAGCTGATGTTTGTTCCTTCCTGTTTGGAATCTGTGATCCCAGATGAGCAATAATGTTCTCACTAATAATGGTTTTGCGTTTGAGAAGGTAAGTGGTGCGGACTACAGATACACCCGGCTGATGTGTCACAGAAAGAACGAAATGTGTATCTGGACTAGACAGCTATTGTGTTAAAGATACTACTGAATTCATGTTTTACTTCTGACTGTCATTCTTTATTTCTAAAATTTTCATTTCCCTTCAAGAATGAAATTCTTAAAATCAGTTTAAATCAATTGGGTAATTCATTTGATCGTCGATTGGCTGTACTGGACAAGAATAAAGATCTTTATCAAATGTCTATTAGAACACTTGGTAATCAAAGAAAGACCATAAAATTAGGTAAGTTTTTGATTAATTGTGAATAATCACAGTATATGGAATATACACATTTATGATTGATGTTAGTAGTAATTTTCTAAAGTCAGTTTGTAAAGATTAAATTTGTTTTTACGAGTTGATCACGGATCGCTTTCAGTTAGACAACCATTGAAAACCTGGGAACACTGGACAGCTGTTTCATCTTAGTTTGGGAATCACCGGCAGTACGCACCCACCGCCGATAACACTGATTGGTCGTCGAGATAAATAACGAATTCTTAGAAGTTAGAATTCATGGGCCATAGAATCGAGTCGCAGTGGCTGAATGGTATACAAGCTCGCCTTGTAACCAGAAGGTCTTGTATTCGAACCCTGGCAGTGGGTGCGTACTGGTGATGATTTCCAAACTAGGGACTAAACAACTGTCCAGTACTCCCTGGTTTTCAATGGTTCTCTAACAGATGTCAATTCGAGAAATTGAAGTAACCTGATTGAATTAATCTAGCAGGGATGTTCGTTGAGTTCTTCGTGTTTTAAGAATGTGGAAAACAACAATGAACAGAAGATTTTGAGCCATCTCAACAGGAGTCTTTATCCACTGCTCTGTATCGCTGAAGCGATCTTGAGCTAACTACATGTTTCTCGTCAGAATTTATTGACCTCATAGATGGATAGGGTGTTTTTATTTAATAACCTGACTCCTTTGAAGACTATTTCTACTTCAAACAACACCACTTCTACAATGAAGGCAGTTTTCAGTATGCGTGGCACATGTTCTAGCCGCCACTAGGTTAGTTGAAGCTTCATAACTCAGTCAACTGATTTTCCCTTCTTACTTGACAGTCTCTGCTCAGCTGTTCCATCTAACACCAACATTTGAATGAAAATTTATTTTTCATTTCATTTTTTAACATGAATAAAATGGAATAAAATAAACTTTGATTAACATTACAGTAGTGTGATCAGTGAGAGTAAAATTTACTTCATAACTTCATATGATTAAATCATCTATGCGTAAACAATCCTTGATGATGAAGTTCAAGTGAGTTATGATAAAAGAATTGGAACTTCTGGTTTACCAGATTGGTATGTACACACTAGTAATAATAAATTAATTCAAAATAAAAACAAGGCTCTCTAGCAGTTTGATTGCATCTATGACTCGCCGAGGAATTGAGGGCATACTAAAACGTAAGCATAATATCAGGCAGACGTCAAGTCAAAATTTAACTTTTCATCATTTCCGACTTTTATCAATTCTCAACATAATTTTACTACTATTTAACTTAATCCAAGAGGTAGGCTTCATTGACGAAAATTTCCTATCAGAGTTTGAAAAATTTCATATCATAGGTAATAACTAGGGCACTAATTTCATGTACTGGTATTTTTTGAAGTCTCGGTCACAACCTAATAACCCCTGAACTCATTCTCCAGTCAGATCACTGTTGGTATGCACTAGTGAACAGCTTCTATTTACTTGTAAGCAACTGGATGAATACGGCTTATAGTTCTCATTTTGGCAGCTCTAGAAATTTGTTAAGAGGGAAAAGCTTTTTCGTTAGCCAAGAAGTCTTGATTTGTGCATGTGTAACAACAGAAGACAAGGGCCAGGCAACAGATCGTTTATTAAGGAAATCAACACATATTTATAGATTTTCATGTACATATTATAGATTATTGTTATCAGAAAAATACAGTCCTCTGATTGGTTGTTTCTCACAGAAAGTTAACCTTGCATCTCTTTGTGGCTGTTTCTTGAATGTCAGATCATGTATATGTTAACTGTATCTGCCTACGCAAAGCCTTTCTTCTCATTTTACTCACGACCATTATTGGGGACATAAACATTGACGTAAATTACTGTCCACCAATTGTGACTAACAGCCAGCTCTCACCACACATGTACTTCATCATATCCTTATTGCACAGTTCTAATTCGTTTATTTATGGCTTAATTTCCTGAAGGATTTTCAGTGTCAGACAACCAATCAGATTTGTTTGTTATTTTGCATAGATTTTTGAGGGTTTTGTATTTCGTCTAATAAAGGTCACCAATTTCTTCACAGCCTGACTTTTGTGTCTATCTCGGTATGGAATATAATTTCAAGTGATCAACAGGTTATAGCGTCGCATTCTGGAAGCGCCTTCTACTCAATTAAGACTAGCTGGAAACCCAGTTTCACTCCGTCATCATAACAATGCTAATTTCAGATAACTTTTACTCTATTAGGAATATTTCGTTGGTCCTGTTATTCCAAACACTAATGCAAACAAGTCGAAGATATTTAAGCAAACTTTACTTCTGTCAATTGTTTTCCTCCTTTTTTGTTAGGTACAATTGTTACTTCATTTGTATGGGCTGAAACTTCGAATGTATTGGCAGCGATAACAAATGATAAACTAGTTATCTGGTTTTATCCTGATATTGCTTCAACAGACAGTGATATATTCAATTTAACCCAAGAAGAACATAATATCAGGTAAATTAATCTGTAATAACATTGTTCTGTAGAAAGATTTTATGATTTGAGATGGGGAATTAAATTTGCTTTCGTCTAGTATTATCTCTTGATATACGATGCAGTTACTAAAGGATAATGAAATAATCAATACTGACAACCAATTAATACAAGGCTAAGAAAATCTCTGAAAATATCCAATCACAGTCAAGGACATCGCGAAGGACAGTTATAAATATTCACGGAGGAGTTCCTAAGACAAACTCACTTCACACTGAAATAAGCTCTGAATAATTCACTCAGCTCAGGCAACACAGCTATATCAAAATTGCCTGCCTGAGTTACAGGTGTTTCTCGATTATTACAAAATGAGTGACAGTAAGTGGAGGTGTAGTTAGCTGGATGGTGATTTCAAATGGCCTTCTAACTACAGAGGTTTGGGCAACTAGGTAATATCACTTCGATCTGATTGGCTAGCGAATACTACTGGTTGACAGGAGTGATGTCCGACTACTGAAGCCAATCAGTCAGTAGTATAAAGTGTCATGCATCTTACGCTTGGTTTCCTGATTACCATTATTATTAGTATCAAGCAGATCACATATATTGTGATCAGAATAATGATTTTAGTTCACAAAGGCAACAGTGGTGAAATTCCCCCCTTCCAACTGTGTAAATTGCAGATAGTAAATTTACCAGTTTGCTCAAGTAGCTAGCCAGAAACCTGGTGATTCGGCTCTCCAAAATGACTCAAAAAGGGTATATCACTGATGACCTCAGTCTGAAACATAACTGAAGCGGCTATCACGTGTTTAGACCACTTCAGTCTGGCAAGTACCATTGGTTATTTGTGAATAGTGTTCATCTGCTTATGCTAATTAGTGAGTAGTGTATACCATATCATGCATCTATAATAAAATATTATTATTTAACTTTTAAAATCCTATAGTGATGATTATGGAAAACAAGCTGAGTTGATCAATTTTTATCGTGATCGAATTATGATAAGACGTGCTGATGGAACTATTGTTTACTGTCCAGTGTCTATTTATCCTGATAAACTGCATCAATTAATTGGACAAAATAAATGGAATGAAGCATTGAGTTTATGTTGGACAGTTAAGGTAAAGTTATGACTTTCATTATAGTGCATTTATTTTATTGTATATATTTATTTAAAATTGTATGATGGAAAGCTATAACAATTTTGTTTGGATGTTTTGTAACACGTACTTAATGAATTCATGCTGGCTTTCAAGTATTGGTTTGTAGGGGTTTTGATTGATTGGTTACAGGATTTCATCACGAGCTGACATCGGTTAGAGAACCGTTGGATAACCTAAGAGTACTGGTTCTAGTTCGGGACTCTCCAGCACAAGAAGGTCCTGGGTTCGGACCCTGGTGGTGGGTGCGTACTGTTGAGGAGTCCCAAAACAGGACGAAACAACTGTCTAGTACTCTTAGGTTTTCCAACGGTTCTCTAACCGATGTCAGCTCGTGATGAAATCCTTAACCAATCATACTGACTTCGTTTGTAATTGAAGTGAAGTTTGAATAACGCCCAAGGGAGAGTTTTAAAAGAATAAGTTGTTTCCGTCTTGTTCACTAGGGTTTCCAAAAGTTACGTTATTCCCTTTTACGAATTTAAACAAAGCAAAAACAAACGTCCGTTCAGAATAAGATGAGTTCATCATTTATCTCGTTGGTTTCTCTTCATCTGAGTACAACCTAAAAGCTAAATGTGTATAAGTACAGATAAATTTTAACATATTTGAAATGGTTATATGATTTTTGATTAATACAGATACTAGCTTAATAAACAATACTCAGAAGCTACACATAAAACTTATACAAACAGGTCAGAGTTTTTTTTTTTTAATTAAAAACAAAATACAAACATATAAAATTAATGGTCTGGTATACTGAAAATTAAGCTGTACAATTAGAAAAAGAGATGGGAAGTTGAAGACAGATAACTAATCAGTTACGTAATAGTGTGATGAATTCAAGTCTAGTTATAGAAAAACCAAAAAAGGAACAAGCTAAATTACAAATAGTATAGTCATTGGTACAATCAAAGGTTGATACATACCCTTCCTATGTCTGTAAACTTCCACACGAGACATAATTTCAAACTTTTAACTGAATAAAGATTCCCACTAAAAAAGGTAAAAGACGGATTTGTAAACGAAGAGTTTTCTCTCTTCGATAACTTATTCATCAGGTTTTACAGTTATATGACGATAATAATTAAAGAACTATTGATGTACAAAGCATCATTGTTTTGAATAGCATTGAAACAATAAGGTGAATATATAACAGTTCAAAAGCACCTGTAAGTGACAATATTCCTAAAATTCTAATATTAAACTGAATATTGGATATTAATTGGTGGGTGGTGACTAGCAGTGGAATCCAGGATGCACATTTCGTCCTATTTGGGACTCGTCACTAGATATACCTGCATTCCGAGCACTTCAGTCCAATCAATCGGCCGGAGAATCTAAAATTGAATTATACGGAATACTTCATAGGAAGTACAGATCTTGGAAAGGGATGTGAAGTAATTAGGATTGAAAGGATTAGTAGCCAGTTGAAATAATACGTGATAAGCTGAGATTTTTAATGGAATGGAATTTAACCTTGCAAAACACTTATTGATTTAGCATAATAATAATAATGGGACAAATGAAATAATACCGGAAACTGTTCATAGTGAGAATAATAATGGCAATGATAGTGAAGTCGTATTAATAAGGGAAATAAACGAAATGAAAAATAAATAATTGTTTATCCCTCCACAGCTAAGGTGGAAACACAGACTGTGTATACAAATGTCTGGCTCCAAGTCATGAATGACTAAGACCTCTGCTTTTTTTAGAAGTTGAGAATGAAGAAAACTCGGCAAGCAAGTATGAGTTCGATAGACGGTCTGAAATAGATCAATTGTTACAGAATACAGCTTTACACACCGGTCCTCTCTCCCTTGCGCATGCGCATTGATAACCACAATGAAATGGTCATTTGATTAGGAGTATTTGTCTGGGCACTGGGTTCAAGCCCCGTGGTAAGAACATCGTCACTCACTGCGGAATGCAGGCGAGTCCAAAATACGACGAAATGTGCATCTTGGATTCACCTGCTAGTCGCCATCCACCTATTAACTTCTGATTACATGCCCAGACATTGTTGAAGCATCTGCACAAGAAGCCGATATGTCAACCTGGTATGGAGCACGTCGGTCAAATCAGTCGACGGGAAAATCTAAAATTGAATTAAATGAATATTAGATAAATTAAGAAAAAGCAATACAGAATACATGGATGTATGGATTACACAGTAGATCAGGGTAGTAGTAATGGCTGGATGTGTTTCTTTTGCACACAGATCACCGGTTGATTTAGGCGACTTGCAATAAGTCTCTACCCTCTGGAGTATTGTATGCCTTGGAGCTTTTGTTAATTTGTTTGATAACTGATAGGTAATAGAAAAAATTGTCGATATTGGCTTTATGATGTGTTTGAAATAGACGATCTAGTATTGAAGTGTTTGGGATCTTTATTATTAGTCATATTGGGAGATATATCCAGGTAGGATTTCATGATGAAGTTATCGTAAAGAACATTGTTTGTCCACTGGTCAGTCTTTTTAGATTTATGTTTATTTAGAAAATGTAAAATAAAACCTATAAGCAATATTTCAATAAAAAGTTGTGATTATTATTCAGCTTTCAAGGATATCTGGGATAGTGATTGAAGGATGGTAGATGATTTAGGATATAATTGTTAAGTGTGGTTGTCTTTATTATGACAGTACTCACTTTTCATGAAGCAGCAAAGAACAATGTTGAGTAAAGTAGTAAGTACAGTATAGATGAATACACTAGATGAATACAGGATTCCATCATGATCTGACATCGGTTAGAGCACCATTGGGAAACCTGGCAGTACTTTCTGGCTGTTTCGTACTAGCTTGAGACTCTTCATCAGTACGCATTCACCACAGTTGGAGCCCAGGAGATTCTGGTTACAAGGCAAACTCGTAAACCATTAGGCTACTTGGACCCGAACCAATGGCCCATGAATTCCAACTTCTACCAATTCGTAATTTTAGCGCGACCACCAGCCAACGTCATCGGAGAGCACTGAAAATTAATTTGATGCTCTCTAGTGACTAGCTGCAGGACCAATTTGCCTGGAATTCTAGTGAGAAGTCATAACCAGTGAGGTCCATCCAGTCAGTCACGTGTGAGGATGGATGTCCCACTGGTGACACTGGTTGGTGCCAGTTGCGCTAAATCACGAATTGGTAGAAGTTAGAATTCATGAGACATTGAGTCGGATCCCACTGACTGAATGGTCTACGAGCTTCCCTTTTAACCGGATGATCCTAGATGCGAAAACCTGTGGGTGCATGCTGCCAGTGAGTCGTAAACTAGGACGAAACATCTGTCCAGTACTCCTTGGTTTCCAATAGTGGTTCTCTAACAGACATCAGCAAATGGTTGAACTTGAATCAAATAAAATCCCTAGAAACAAACTTTCGAAAATATTTACCAACAAATCGGGAAGCAGGAGTTTGTATTACTTTTTATATTTGAAATGAAAAAAATAAAGAATAATGTCAAGCATATTTAAGATTTTCTTTTTTGCATAAAATTCTAATTTTACATTTTTAAAATACAGGAGAAAATGCTTTGGGCATGTTTAGCAGGATTGGCGACAAATGCTAAGTCTCTAGATGTAGCTGAAATTGCTTTTGCTCAAATTGAAGAAGTAAGTTATAATTTGCTTTGAAAAAGTTAATTATATTCACTTACATATTAATTTGACATTCATCATTGTTTATATTGATGGGGAGCTAATACGTGGAATCCAGTATGAGCATTTCGTCTTATTTGGGATTCATCAACTGGATGCAGTTGTATCTCCATTCAGTAATGTATGATATTTTCAGTGTGACTAAGAAATAACTCCCATCTTTTCAAACTTCTCAGTTTTACCGACTAAGCTAGTGATCCACACTGGTGCTGACTTCTAGTCTCACTGGCTACATCATACATCATTAGCTGGGGATGCAGAAACATACAACTCTGAAGTCTTTTAGGATGAAATACGCATGCTGGATTTCATTGGTAGCCAACATCAACTAAAATGACATCATGCTAATCTCAAAACATCGTTGAAGTGTCCTTACTTGGAGCCGAAATATCAAGAGAGACACGGCATTTCAGTCTAATATAATCCATCATTGGGAAATGCAAATTAACTTAAATAAATATCTTAACCTATTCTTTTCTGATGTGTGCACTTGTCATAGAATTTATGAAGAAAATCTGTGAATATATCTATAAACTACTGATGTAAATATTTCATGAGTATTGATTTGTGATATGCTTTGTTATGAATTTATTCACGCTCTTCTAAAATGTCATTATCTGTGGTATCAAGCAGATAGGAGGTGACGATTGATGAAAATACTTTTTATGCCTTAATTAGTCGATGGTTACACTTCCTAAACAATAATAGATGTGATAGGTCCCGTCTGAAGTTGAAATGAAAATATGGGCTGTCGCAGGATTCTAAACAACTGCTTACGAATTACTAGCCTGGCTATTCCATTGTAATGATTGATTCGTATTTCTGAGATATTGGTGTGCATGATGAAATGTACCACTAGGACAAACTTTGAGTAGAAACTAAAATTGATCCTATTCTAGGTAGATTTCTTCACGAATCATTCCCTCTTAGTTTTGTATTCATCGACTGCGTACGGTCATGATTGCACTATGGCTCTAACCTATGACCTTCAGATTCACGGGGTGTGCACCTTAGCATTCCCTACTGAGTCAGAATTTAGTTCTCTATATACCCCTACTGCCACCAAACGCAATTAGCAAGTACATATTCTTATACTGGACCTAAATAAAACGTTCTGTATTGATTAACTGGTCAGCATGTTATTTAATTTATCCAAGAATATCAATAAGGATGTCTAAACGGTACCACACAACTTAAGTATACAATATATCAAATCACTAAGACATCTATCCATCCGAAATTCATTAGTGTGATATTCCAGAACCTAATATGAACTATCTGTTGTGGATGAAAACTAAAATACATTTCGACTAATTAAATTGCAGCACTTTCAAAAGAGGCAAACTTGAAAAACCTGTATAAATTAGATTTCAAACGAAATCAGTCATTTTGCTTTGCCTGATTGTAATATGAATGATATAGGTATCATTATTGTCCTATCAAATCCTCCCAATAAATGTATTATTTGCTTACATTTTCCCAATTTTAAGCTAACTTGTATTATTCTAAAATGTTTTAAATTTGTACTTTATCCCTCTTATATTTATCAAGATCGATAAAGTGGAATATATAAGATATATTAAAAGTTTGCCTACACCAGAAATGAGAAATGCTGAAATGTTATTGCTGTCAGGTGAGTTGTTTCATTATTTTCGCAAGAATGATGTTTAAAACAGTTTACTAAATGTGAAGAACTATGGTTCATTGAAAATCTACAACAGTTATGCTGTCAATATTAGAAGTATTCACATTATTATTATTATTCTCTTGGTTTTCGAGTAGAAGATAGGGCTTAGACAGTGCATCTTCATTCCATTCTGTTCTCTGCAGTCTCATTAAGCTTTCATCTCCTTCCCACACGATCTCCTCCATATCCCTTCGAACTAACGCCCGACTCTTTGTTACCGATTCGGGTTTTATTTGGCAGACGGTTCGGTGCGCAATATCCTTCAACGACTGATTCATCATGTGTCGTTATAATCTCTATTTCCTTCGAGATATTTTTAGGGCAATAGGTACTTGGTTTGTTCGTTGCCAGAGTTTCTTATTACTGATTCTCTCCGACCATCTGATCTTCAGTATGGAGCCAGAGAAGGCAGCTCTTGATAAAAAAAATAGCAATGGCCAGCTAGAAATGCCTTTTATGGAATGTCTAGTCTCTGAACCATGTAGAATCACTTAGTGACTTGACATTAGTGCTGAAAATTCCAATCTTGATCTTTATGCTAAGTGCCGTAGATTCTCAGGCTGATTCCGAATAGCTATTAGGTGTGCAGATCAATAAATAAAAATAAGTAGCACATATTACATAACAGATCTAAGGAACTCTTCTATATAGACATTTTGACTATTCTGGGTTGTATGCATTTGCCAAGTAATCATATTATTTTACTCAATTTACTGTACTTGCTTCGTGTATAGTTTCAGAATGTTATTGGCTGAGTACATAATAACTCAATGAGTCAGTCTACTAGTTAATGAGGAAAATAATGAAAGTTACTGTAGGGGTGGTTGTTACACGTCATCCATTCTGTGATATCCGCTAGACGGCCCATTAAATTTACCGCATATTCCAATCTAATTAATTTCAGTAGTATATTTGCTGAAAATACTTCCTTTTTAAAAGGAAATTTTTATCAGATGACATTTTTTTAATACATCTTACAGGTGAATATCAAGAAGCTGAAGGTGTTCTGCTACAGAATCATTTATATTTTCGAGCCATAATGCTTAATTTGCATGCATTCAAGTGGAACAGGTGAGTTGAAAAATCTCTGAGAGATAATTTTATTGAACATGGTTAATTCGCGTATTATTGTTTTTATTATTACTTATAAATTCAGTTGCTATTGGACAGATTCGTATTAGCGAGACTCATTTTCGTCTACATCTGGATATGACATTATTGTAGTGTAAATTTAGATTTTCTACATCTTAACTGATTAAAAATACCCTTTAAAATTTTCAAAAGAATGGATACTGAACAAAAAGGTACTCTTCTCGATAACTTTATTATCAGGCTCTACAGCTATATATACATTATAGTGAATGAATGAATGAATTAGTGTTATGAACAACATTAATGTTTAAATTAATGTTTACTGCTGTTTGAAGCGAATCGCAATAGCCTCTGCTATTTGAAGCATACGGTGCTTCGATGATTTTGACAACTTATTAGGCACCCGGTAGATGATCGAGAAGGATTCATCCATGCTGGCTTTGTCGCCGGTTTGCACCAGATGGTTCAATATCGAACTGTTGATGATGGTTTTCACTACACCTTTACTTAGCCATAGTGGGTGATGTGCTCGAACACGTAAAATCAAGTTCCTAGAGCAACGACCAATACAACTCGCTCCACAAGCGCAGTTAAATTGCTAGATACAATTTGAAGTGGCTAGCTAGTCTAGGTACTTCATCTTTCAGTCGAGGAATCACCATCGGTCGTGCATAGAATAATACGTGTACTTCGCCAGCATTAAAAGTTCTTTGAACTGATTTTCTTAATTTCTTAGTAATTATCTCACTTGGTATATCGCCCTTGAATTGCAGTCGTATATAGAGGCTTCTTGTTTACAGAGAGTGAGTAGTCCTTTTTCGCTTTCTTTCTCATGTGTTTTTTGATAAATTTTCAGGATAGCTATTTTCGATCAAAGTATTATATACAATGCTTAGTTCATCTTCTGGTAATATAATCATCAGATGAGCTCCACAAGCGCAAAAAATGAAGGCAGTTCAAACAAAGTGATGGGAAAGGATTACAGTGATATTTTATCGTTTTCCTTAACCAGTTCATAAAGTTTGCTACTCATAATTAATAGGATTTACTGTATGCTTCCAGAGTTGGGTGGTTCACTTTAGAATACTCGTGAACTACTCACACGATCAGGGGTTCCATTCCTGGCTGGTGTATCCCTCAACCTCACTTAGCCAATGGTAAGCCCCGTGAAGAGGGTAAGCTGGGCGTGGTTTGATTCCTTCTCATATATACTGAACAAATGACTCTGTATGTAACTAATCGATTCATTCACTCTTCAACCTACAGAGCACTTGAATTGGCTATCAAACATGATATGGCTATCGATATTGTTTTGTCGATGCGACACGCCTATTTGAAACAGCTTAAACGATCTGAAGTATTGAATACATTCAACTCACAACCAAAACAAGTAAGTGATATTTTATGAATAGGAATATTCTTAAAAATAAGAATTATAACCTTGTGAGTTACCACCGTTCTTACCAATTTAAATTGTTCGATTCCCAGTCAACACACTCACGAACCTCACTTAGCCGTTAGTAAGGCAGGTAAAAAAAGAGGGGGGGGGTGAAATTGAGTGTGAGGCCTAAAAAGCCACTTTATAAATTAAAACACAACACCACAGGTTGAAGCTCCCTATGTCACACTCAGAACAAAAAGGAATAGAAAAAAGCCGCTCACAAGCTGGATCAAACCGATGTAGACACTGAATAAATGTTTCACTTACTTTTAAACTGAAATAATCAGCAGTGTTACGGTAGTGATTAAGGTGAAAGAATGGAATCCATTTAAATGATCCGTATATTGGCTAATACTGTTTAAGGTATTCAAAAGAAACTTAGGTGATATTTCACTTTGAAATGCGTAATTGAAACAGTACGAATGATACTGTAACAAAGCGAGTAGTTAGCTTATGTGTTTATATATAAAATTCCCAAAACATCTATCTATAGAGGAATTTGCTTTAATTACTTTTCAACTTTCTTACTCAAATAGTCCTAGCGATTATATTTGCTTGGTGATTTCAAGAGATTAATATGATATTGGTTATATCAGGCTATGGATATGGTATAGCTTAAATACTCCCAATTCGAATGAGCGCTACATGAATACGAGTAAAAACGAAGAATACATGATGTGATAGGCTGGCACATAGCAGCAGAAATATTATAAAGAGACAGTTTCATATGTTTAACTTTGAAGCCTGACTATGAAGTAACACTTACTCTGGTCATAGACTATTAAGAACTCTGAAGCTGTTCAAATAAATGGCTCAGTTTAATTTAACTTTACCTTCTTTGTTTGTTTGTCTGTTATTTTTGTTAAGGTCATGCTAGACGAGTTAAAATTAAAAGAAAGAATTGACGAAGAATATTCAAGGGAGATGAAACAAGTTCAAGAATTAACCAGTGTACAATCCATGAATTCATCGAGAGCATAATATAAATATAATATATATGTGTATATAAAACATTTGATTGAAAATTTTGTTTTGAAAAAGGGGGATCATTTCAGTGTTTGTTTTTTCCAAATTGCACTTTCATTTACTGTTAATAATTGATATTCAAGTGTAGGTTTTTAGGGATTTGATTGGTTACAGGATTTCATCATAAGCTGACATTAGTTGGAGAACCATTGGAAAACCTGAAAGTACTAGACAGCTGTTTCGTCCTAATTTAAGGATTCTTCATCAGTACGCACCCACCGCCAGGGTTCGAACCCAGGACCTTTTGGTTACAAGGCGAGCTTGTATACCATTAAGCCATTGGGACCCCCGATCCAATGGCCCATGAATTCTAACGTTTGTCAATTCACGACCCCTAGCCAATATCTTGGGCGATTATTCGTCATGACGCTTGACCTGCTGCACCCTACTGGTCACGACTTCCCACTAGAGCGCTAGGTAACTACCTACATGAATAGGGCAAGTCGCTAGTGAGCATCTCATTGATATTCATTGATATGTTAGTAATTGAATCTTATCTTTCAAAGTCACTGTCATCAGCCTTTTTACTCCAAGTGGAACGAAAGGCTTCAGGCTTTAACCTTTGAAGTTTTAGTAGTGCTTGTGTTTTGTTTTTATAAGGTGGGGTTACTAGCCTCATACCCAGCCATTCCTCTTTTCCAAGCTTACTACTGTATAGAAAAGGTTAATCAGTCTGTTAGACGGGAAGCGAACCCAGGCAAATCTGGTCGACACTCTGTTCGTCACTACAGAATAAAAACAGCATGTGATAGAAGTCTGAAGCCGGTTCGAAATGCTTTTGGTGACACGTTATGTCTTTGAAGTATATGGAAGGACTGATCGACTTGACATCAGTGTCGAAAATTCGGATCTTGTTCTTCATTTTTTTGCAGTGATTTCAGAACAAGGGAGATCTGTATTGCCTTTCCGATCCTGACTGGCTTTGATACTTTCATCTGTGTCGGCTGTTGCTGAAACGGTGGTGCCTGCATAAGCGAAAGAATTGACTTCTTTTAAATTCCTCCCATTGATAGTGATTGCTGCTGTCAGTTAGGCATCCTTAGTAATAATAATACGATAAATTAGATGCAACCTGTAAGTGGAAGAGCAGGTAGCCCAACTTTCAAACAGGCCGTCAAGGCGAACCATCTCTGTCATACCCATGTCCACTTGAAGTCCTGTCTTCGCTGCTTCTGTTGCCAACTTGTCGGTTTCCGCATGTAAATCTTCGTGTTTTTGTGACATTAAACATAAATCGTCTGCGAAGTTCAGACTTTCAAGAGCCTTTTTCTCGGTCTATTGAATGATCCAGTCTACCACAATCAGGAATGTCATAAGTGATAACAGAGAGGCAGTCAGGTGTCTTACTCCTATCTTCACTTCGAAGACATGACTGCGATTTCCATTGTGAATCACTTGACAGGTGAAATTATCATCATGGAAATGTTGAATGGAGTTGATAAAGGTTATAGGCACAACGTAGTGTTGGGGCAACTGAATTTTATATTCCAAACGGAAAGTGAATACAGTTTAAATTCTAAAACGAATAGTATTACTTTGTTCGCCAGTATAATTATTAAAACGACTGTCAGACGAAATGTAGACTTTTGCAGAAGACCGTAAGATTTTGACCTGCAATGCATTAATAAATATACTGACAAAGAGTTAACGGAATTCGAAAGAAACCAAATAAGCAATACGAAAAATGGACAAAAAAGCGTTTCACTTATAATGCTTTGATGCAAAATATCTCCAGGTATTGGTTCACGAAGTCTTTACCATCCAAATTAAGAAACTTATGTTGAGCAAACAATTAGTAATTACACTAGTTAATTCAAACTTACTTCATTTATTACTAACTCTATTGACTGACTGAGCACTCAGGATGGAATTTTGCACATAGTTATAGCAATTTGAGTTATGGCACTCCGTGTAGCATAGAAAGATACAGGAAAGAGATTCAAAAGTACATGTGCAAGAGAAAAAAATAGCTACGTGGAAAGGCATGAGGACTTAATGGGTCTAGGAGTGGATATATCACCAAAAGCATCAAGTCGCCAGTCCTTAGCATCATGAGGACCCCACCAGCCAGTCAGCCTACACCGCTACGTGATACAAACCAACTGTCAGTAGCTTCATGGGCTGACTCGAGGTTTTGAATTGACCAGCCCTAGCTCTTTTCTTACGTAATCCTGTATCAAGTGATATGGCTTGACAAGGAAGTTATTGCCTCGTCATGTGCAACACGTGTCCTAGCTATCTTAATCGATGTAAACACAACAGCATCGACTGACTTACAGCCATTACCTAGCACCTTATGGCTAACCCTAATATTATACAACTTCACACCGGAGTTAGAATACTGCTAACCTCTTCATGTCTTCCACTTTCAATAACCATATTTTACAGCTATAAAGAAGAACAGAGAGAAATGGTGAGTAGTACACACGGTCTTTGATCAATAGTTGTGTATAAAATCTACACCAGGGATGACATAAGTTCATAAATGCCACTCTACATGTGTCAACAAATGTAGGTTCATTATACACAGATCAATCTGATCGGTGCAGTTTCACAACCGAAATAATCAATTAATGTACAAATGGAAAGATGAAAAGCAACATAAATGCGGAGAAAAATTGAACGAACAATAAACAGGTTGGTTAATCAACTACTGTTAAGAAAAACAAAAATAAAACCAAATAGTGAAGCAATACCCTAAGCGACGTGAGTAATGCTATTGTGGTGAGATCAGGCCGTGAGAAAATATGTACAAGGCTGATTCAACAACCAATCACAGCAGACTTAACGTGGCAAAATATGATTCGCAGATAGAGAACTCTATTTGTCGAGGAATCCCGAAACAACCAATAAGAAGCCTGCGTTTGTCTGCCTAACTTCTGATAAACAACCAATCAGAAGACTGCGCTTGTCTATTTGCATAAGCTATAATAATGTATAGGAAATATATATAAATACGTGTTGATTTTCGTACTAAAACGATCTGTTGCCTGGCCCTTGTCTTCTGTTGTTACAGTATCAGCAGACTGGTATTTATGCGTACGACATCTTGGTCGCTTCAATTAATAAAAATACTGAAATAAGTTAGTGCGAGAGCATCATGGAGTAATGCGTATTTAAAGATATCACATTTAAGAGTGAGATTTCTACTACTTTGAAATAATGGAGAATATTTGTAACTGAAATGGATTTCTTTATAGCGTGGCTGTGTGGTTTAAGTGCGTAGGTTTCATTATCTTTACAGACAACATGTCCAGCTCTTAAAATTCACTTTAATAAATATCCACCTCTTAATTTTCAATGCGAAATAAATTTGTCTTGAAATTCTCTATGAATGTTAGTACTGTTTATCCTGACAGCCTTGACTGTGATTGGTTGTCTTTGGAAGTTATGTTATCCTTGTGTTGATATGTACTGATTGATATCGACGGTTTCATCGGCAAAACGGTTAAATACCAGGTTAACGAAACAAATTACTCCTTTGCAACTTCATACGATAGCAACACCCACCAACAGAATATACCCATTGACTGTTCTTTCAATTCAGATCACATCTATGACTGTAATTCCACATACTCATTGGACTAAATTAAATTACTAACTGGTTGTGCAAAATTGACTCGGATGCTAACCGCAGGCGGTTAAGATTCAAATCAACATTTTAAGTCATTAGTTGATGAGATGGAACATTTTGTGCGGGAAAGTTGGATTTGAAATGAAAATAAAGCAACCAATGTATCTTAACAACTACTTTCTATTCCAAGCAATGAGCCACAAAATATATTGCATAAGAGCTAGTGGTACTGTCTGGGGGTGCTAAAACCTCGGTAATGGAGGTAGATAAGTTCGAACCCGTGGGACATTGGTTGGAAGTCGCGAGTCTCCGGCAATGTTTTGATATCACCACTTTTATATTTTGCAGTAACGCTGAGGTTAAAATAAGTACGCCCAGTTAGACATAGACGCACTGATCACGAATACTGCTTGACTACACCACCAAAATTATGCGACAGCTATCTGTTCTCCATCCTTTGCAACTCAAGCGAGAACACACAATATGGGCTGGGAAGTTTATTTCGGTATCAGCCACAGTATCTTTTAAACAATACTGTATTTTTTGTAATTAGTTGTGTTCTCTGAACTGGATGACCTAATTAGGAAGCTTTCGTCGTCCTTCTGGACAACATCTCCCTTCAGCGCAAGTTTTAGCATAAAATGAATCGATTTAAATTCTCCATGAATGATAGAATTGTCTCCTGGTAACCATCTTCATGACTGGTAGTTAATTTGCATTAGTATTGATCATTTTTTATTGACTTGGATTTTAAACTTTCTCGTCAAATGATTTACTTTTTATTACTTGATAGATTTAGTCTACATAAACGTTTGCTAATATGTGATCCTGGATTCTTATACGATGGAGACCCACCACTTTGGCCGGTGTTATGTCTGTTACAGTTCATACAATTTATTTTGTAAATGGTATTATCTTCTTTTTCTGTTGGATCTTTCGGTCTGCACAATATCAAATGAATTGATTGTGCTGGCTAGATTGTGTGCTATATCTATTTCGAACAGTTTTAATATTCTAGCTGTTATTCCATAGATATTTTTTATATATAATGTAGAATGAATTTTCTTGTGGTCTTTGATGATGGTTTCTTGTTGGTGTTTTGACTCGATTTAAAAAACTTTTTGATGAAATTGTATATGGATATCCGTTCTTTATGAAGATGCTTAGTAGGCATTTTTCTTCCATTCTCTTCAGCACTGGAGTGCTACAGCGTGTTTGAACTCTTTTAAACAATATCTGCACACAGTTTCTTTTATAAGTTGAGTAATTTAATCCGTATGCGTTGGTTTTCTATATACTTGTGTTTCTAAATTTCTTGTGTTAGTTCTCCCGATTACGACATCCAAAAATGGGATTTTGTTGTCTGATTGTTCTTCTCATATGAATATGATGTCTTCAAATATGTTGCTTATTAGTTTATGGGTATATTCCAAATCCTTTCTTTTAACTATTATAAACGTATCATCTACGTAAAGTACCCAGAGTTTTGGTTTAGTTACAGGTAGAGCTATTAATTCTAATCTTTGCATGACGGCTTCAGCTATTAAGCCTGATATGAGCGATCCCATAGGTGTATTGAATAGAAAGTATGTTGTAAGACATAATTCTATAAGTCGTATCCACGTTGAACATTGAGTTTTTGTTTTAATCACTATAGAGTAACTGCTGCATAGTTTCTTTTGCTGGTTTGGACTAATTGAAGTATATAATGCTGACATCAAAGGACACCATTATTCTATTGTCATCCACATGAATGTTTTTGATTTTCTCTAAAAGTTGGATTGACGAATCAATAGAATGATCCCATGATTCTGTTAGGTATTTTAATCTCCTAAAAATTTCTTTAGACAGATTATATGTTGGTGTTCCTGGAAGCGAAAAGATTGGTCGCAAGGGTATGTTTGGTTTGTGTAGTTTTGATCTACCAGAATATTTCAAAAAGTCATCAAAGTTACGTCGATTGGTCTGTAACCATGATCAGTAAAACGGTGGGCGTTATTTCACGTAGACCAATTCTTATTGGTTTATTTCCAGCATGGCCTTGACCGTTATATCCCAATAATGGATAATCAATTGTTTATCTACCTGTATGTCAGCCAATCAGACACAGCTCCAGTAAACTTTGGATGTGTTGCTACATTGGCTTGGTAATTTCCGACTGCATAACACCGATCAGATTAAGCTGTTTTATCTTTGTTAAAGTCGACCTTACGGTTACAAGGTAGTCTTGTTCGTCTGATATTTTCGTGGCTCAAGGTATTAGTGGAGAACAGTTACATTCGATCCCCAGCTGAGGTGTTTATTCTCGTTCACTATAATGAATATCCATACATTAGTCCCCTAGGACTGGAAACAATACGATGACACTGAGCATGTACGGCTTAAATAAGGTACGCAAAGAAGATGTTCCACTCCATCCAATACCAGATATGATAAATTCTCTATCACTCAATGACGAAGTGACTGGTAGAGATTTTTGAACTGGTGAAGAAAATCTGTCGAGATACAATTGATTTTGCCAGTTCATTTAAGAATGTCAAACCTAGCTGATGAAAGAATGGTCTCGTAAGATGTCGTGTCTCTCTTCACTTATGTTCGACTAACGGAAACCATCGGTTCTTTATGTAATTTAATTCAATCATATAATACTGATGTCTGCATACCGATCCATTATCTAAAAGAGCTATTACTGTGGTGTATTTTCAACGTGTACCTCAGAATCAGTAGTGAAATCTACAGGCGAAAGACATGGCATAGAAATGAGTTCTCCTTAACAACTTATCACAACCTACTATTTTATGACAAGCCTATAAAACCCTATGTTGTCAACAACGATCGATAAAATTCATCTCCATAAGCGATACGCGGACGATGGTTTCATTGTTTGTGATGCGAATCCGAAATCTCTGAAGCCTGCTCAAAACCTTCAGTAGTGTCCACTCAAAAATCAATTTCAGTTTAAAAGCAGAATCACACTCAACGTTTCATACCCGTCATGTTTAACTCCTAAGAAAGAATGATAACTCACTGAGGAGATCCATCTACAAAAAGTCTATATGGAACTGACAGTTTATTAATTTTTAAAGTTTTATTCTTCTAAGTCGAAAAAGGATTCTCATCCATTCACTTTTCTGAAGCATCCACAAAATTGGCCCTGAGGAATCTGTTGACGAAGAGCTACAACGTTGTCGAAGAATCTTGGTGGATAAGGGTTCGTCACCGAAGGAAGCCGTTGAACAGTTTCAGGCCGACTTCAAAAAGGATTTTGATGCTAAATCTCCAACTTAAAAGTGATACTGAGGCAGAGATTTCCTGAAATAGTCTTTCAAGATTTCTCACTAAAAAACATACTTACTTTACTGCCAGCCTAAGAATAACATTTTCTTCTAGGAAACACTATTTGACCTGCATGTGAAAGACAAGCACGGTCGCATTGGTCCCTTGGAACCACCAATGGGGCTAACTACACTGGTCGTACCATGCATTTGCTTGTAGAATGCCCCCCGGAAACACTATCTAGTCTGGCTATCAAAGGGAGAGCGTAGGTGTGTCCAAAGCTCGGTAACAGTACATCTCGTGAAGTTAGGATACTCAACTCCATTTGAGAAATCTTTTATACTTCTCAAAAGTAGTGAGATCAAGACATTTGAACATAGCTTAAGCATTGGTGATTCAAAAATATAGTTATAAATCATGACAATAATAACAATAGCTAGTTGAATAAAAAAGGGATTTTATTCTATACAATTAGACAAAGAAAAGCAGCGAGTTAAACTGAGGAGGCAGTAGAAAATACATATGAATACTAATTATTGTCATTATTGTTATTATTATTATTATCTGTGGTATCCATGGGTGTTTGAACAGCTTCTTCATTCACGGGTGCAGTATTATTATCATTAACGTCTGTAGTTGTATCGACAACAGAGCCCGCAATGGATGCATCGTCTCTACTCTCCGTCGGTTGACTAGTCTCGCTGACTTCATTATTATCAACATCCATTTTTTGGCTTTCTTGTTGTTGCTGTTGTTTATCATCCGGATCCGTATTTGAAAGTGACGGCGGTAGCGTGATTGTCGTTGTCGAGGCGGAGGTGGTGGCAGTAGTGTCGATCGGTGGTATACTGTTGACATCAGTAATTTTCAATGATTTATCAACAGTTGCTGTTAATTTCGCTTTAGCTTGTTGCTGCTGTTGTTGTTGTAATTGAGTCATTAAATATTCCAACTTCTGATCGTATAACTCACGAACATAAGCACTCATATGTGGCATATCTTTAATGACTAGTGGAGATCGATCAAGACAATCAGTTTGCATACGTTGTGTTGCTAAAGCCATTGAACTGCGTGGATCCTAGTTGGAAATAAAGATAAGACATAAAGGGTGAGAAATTTTAGATAAAAAACATTGTATCCATGATGTAAGAAGTGAACAGTAACATATTCAAGTGAAAAACAAATAGTCAATGGATGATGTTGGAAAAGTCCATCTCGATTAAGATGGCTAGGGATATGCGTTAATCAAATTGAGCAATCACCCTCCTTAGAAGAGCAGTCTTATTTAAAATAGGACTAAGTGAGAATAAGGCATCGATTCATGAAGTTTCTAACTGTTTGCTCTAGTCAATTATTGAGATGTCGACATTTTGCCTGAGTTCACCGGGAGATTTAAATTCATTCATAACAATAACACTGCATGTTATCTCTCAAATTGTAAACGTATTCCCTACTCACTGTTTGATTATTCTCTCTCACATTGATTTTAGTGTACCGTGGTTTCATTACACTTGTCTTTCTACTTTTAATTATGCTTTTCTGAAGTATGACCATCTGAATTGGCACACTTTTCTGCTAAGTTCTGAGTTTTTAGATCAATTAGTCAAATGTAACAGGTATATATTCTTGATATAAGTATAAAACTTGGGCACTGTGGTAGAGTATAACTCCATTATGGATAACATTTTATTTTGATAAATCACACAGTGTTGTACAGTAATATTAACTGATGACGTTACGAGCACAAATTATTGCCACTCATAATCATATCAAGTCACTTTTTATATACATGTGTGGAATCGATTAGACGTAACTTGATATGATTATGAGCTGTAATATTTGTGCTCGAAACGTCATCAGTTAATATTATTGTACAACACTGTGTGATTTATGAAAATAAAATGTTATCCATAATGGAGTTATACTCTACCACAGTGCCCAAGTTTTATACTTATATCATTGATATGATATATATGATTATGAGTGGCAATAATTTGTGCTCGAAACGTCATCAGTTAATACTACAGTATAATACTGTGTGATTTATCTTATCTATAATGGAGTTATATATTCTATAGATGATATGAATACGACGATGCCCTTCGCTTTTTGATAGGTCTAGATATTTAATATCCATGATTCATTTTGTATAAAGATGGAAAATTGAAGTGAGGACTTGAGAAATTAAAAAAAAACTAACAAGAATACGCTTGAAATGTTTACAGCCTCCACAAACGGACCAACCGAGTTTCAACATAGAACTATGTACAAAATTGCAGCAGTAAAAATCGCCATACATTATAGTAGCACACGAAAGTAGAGAGAAAAATAGAGAAAGGAGAGATTAAAGAGAACTATAATTAGCAGAATACTAAAATGGAGAAAAACATGACGGTTTAGTGGATATGAAGGACCACATTGAGGACGACTTCGACATATACTCCTCAGCCATTTCAACAACGACGCCACCAGTCAGTCAGTCTATACCTCCACACATGTTTCAAGTCAACAGTCAAAGACTTCATGGACTGATGTTACCTTTCGATTTGATCAACCTAACCTCATGTTAGCTAACACTGCCTATTGAGAAAAGCGACGGCTCGAGATGCGCAACAAGTGCCCTAGATGTAGCTTCGCGAAATCATCAGCTGACTTCCTTAACCGCAATATTATCCATCATATAATGCAGTTTAACACGGAAAATAGAACGCCAACATCTATGACCAAAGACAGACAGCCTTTTATATCTTCCACTTTCGGTGGTCATGTCTCACTGCCATGTAGGACAGACAGAACTGATATGCAACAACACACGTCCTATAATCGATAGTTGGATATCACCACGTCTACGTCAGGGGTGACGTCTGTTGGCAAATGAAACATCACCTTTTTGTATCCTTGCTGAGATTTCGTCTACAATCCGTCAACTGGGGCTGACGTAAATTCCGAAACACTCCACCACTTTACTTCCCATCTTTGAAATAAGAGTCCTCACAGATCAGTAATGCAGCATCAACTAACATTTGACAGAAACGAATCGTATCCTGAACAAATTGTTTAGATGACCCCATTGTGACAGCGTCTTAACCTAGAAGGACAATATCATCCGTATAGTCGTAGTCAATGTTTGTCCCATGGTAACAAGTCAGTACCCGAATCGTCAATGTCGATCAGGGTCAAAACCTGTTGGTACATCTATTCTCAAATTAAACAAAAATGAGGACAGTGTATAGAAGAGAAGAAATGTGCACATTTAGTAAGTGAAAGGTGAACCTGACCACTGTGCACTGTAATGACTATCATACATGAGTTTAAACATTTTGTAGAAACAACATAGGAAGCAAAGTATATATGCAACTTTTCGAAAAAGGAAAACATTGGTTAGGATATTTGCGACAGAGATACTTATGTTCAACAAAGCTGATCCTGTGGAACTCTTCTACAAGAGAGAATGATTACATATAATGCCTACTAACACTTCATGCTTTAGTTTCAAATGAAAACCGGACCAAGGAAATGGCTTAGAAATCACTAACACTATTAAATTTAACGTTAGGTTTCGGGCAGCGACATTCTGCTTGCACACTAGTGATTCATTGACAGAATTCTCACCAGCCATACATATATGCTCCCTGCTAACGCACCCTTAGACCTCGCTTGACGGGTGATAAGCCTAGTAAAGACAGAAGGTTAACTATGAGGCAAGTAACTCCACCACATGAAAAAACACACAACACTACACCTGCTAAAACTTCGAACCTCAAGCTAGAAGCCTTATGTTCTACTAGGAACGTAAGAAAAAATTGGAAGAATTGTGAATTTAGTTTAATGCATTGAAAATACACTGACTTACCATCCATATTTCCCAAGGTGTTAAATGTAATTCAATTGGTTTCATTTGTTCCCCTGGCAAACGATTCAATAGCAAGTCAAATGCTCGTTTCAATTCAGGACAATTAGAGAATTGATCTATCCTGGCGAAGATATATAAACCCAGTCGAGCACGAGATAATGCGACAACCAGACGTCGGACATCACGTAAATGCCCAACAGTACGTGTACGTACTAATGATACTAGAATGTAGTCATTTTGTTGACCCTGTGAAACAAGGATAATAAATAATTCACACATATACCAACGGTTCGCATTGAAAATGATAATAGTAATAATTTGCTCTAACTTATGTAATCATTCTTTCAGGCGTGAGGCTAGCAACCCACCCTGTAAACAAATTGCTACAGAATTCAGAGAACCTTGCACCAAAAAAAAGTCTGTGTAGAACATGGAACGTCCGAACTATGTACGAGACTGGAAAGCTGCCCAGATCGCCAACGAGATGAAAAGATACGGAATACAAGTGCTGGGAATATGTGAGAGCAGATGGAATGGGAGTGGACTCACCAAATTGTCAACAGGTGAGTCAGTGATCTACTCCGGTCACCCAGAAGATAACCACACGCACACCGAGGGCGTGGCTATCATGATGTCACCAACGGCAACGAAAGCCCTGATACAATGGGAGGCGATTTCGTCCAGGATAATGACCGCCAGTTCAACTCCAAAGGAAGGAAAGTGTCAATCATACAATGTTATGCACCCACAAACAACGCAGACCTCGAGAGAAAGAAGAATTCTACAGGCAACTACAGGCAACAATGGACAATACTCCAGCTGGCGACATGAAAATACTAATGGGAGACATGAACGCCAAACTGGGACCAGACAATACGGAAGGGAACTCATCATGGGTAGAGAAGCTCTAGGAGAAATGAATGAAAACGGAGAACTCTTCGCCGACTTCTGCGCCTTCAACGAACTGGTGATTGGTGGCAGTGTATACAAGCACAAAGATATCCACAAGGCTACATGGGTGTCACCAGACGGGCAAACCAAAAACCAAATCGACTTCATCTCAATCTCAAGGAAGTGGAGGCGCAGCCTACTGGACACAAAAGCAAGAAGAGGAGCAGACGTTGGCTCAGACCACTATCTCGTACAAGGGACAATCCAAATCAAATTAAAAGCTTTCAGGGAATCAGGAGCTGCAGATAGACCACAAGCCAAGTTCAACACTCAAAAGCTGAAGGACCAGGCTACAAAGGACATCTTCATTGCAAGCATAAAGGACAAAGCCGAGACACAAATCAACACTAGCGAAGGGTCGCGTCGAAAAGCACTGGAACAACTTGAAAACGGTGTGGAGCCAAACCTGCATAGAAATTCTAGGCAGAAAAAAGAGACAGGACAAACAGTGGCTCACTACGGACACTTGGAAACTAATAGAAGAGAGAAGGACAGTGAAGCAAAAGATTATCCAGTGCACTGACGAGCAACAAAAACAGGAGCTGAATGCAAGCTACAATACACTGAACAAAAGAGTGAAGAAAGTGCCAGGGAAGACAAAAGAAAATATTATGAAACCATGGCAAACGAAGCAGAACAAGCTGCAGGCAAAGGAGACCTCGCCACACTCTACCAAACAACTAGGAACCTTTCGGGCAAACGTTCGACACAGATTAAGCCAATAAAGGACGACAATGGAAAGTCAATCACCAAAGAGGTGGAACAGAGAAAGCACTGGGTTGAACACTTCAAAAGACTTCTAAATCGTCCGCCACCTACAACACGTCCAGCAATACCAACAACGGAAGCAGAACTACCAGTGAACACTGACCCCCCGACGAAATCAGAAGTCCTGAATGCAATCAAGATGCTTAAAGCTGGGAAAACACCGGGACCAGATGGAATCCCAGCAGAGGCTTTGAAAATAGACCCAGAGACAACAGCGGACTTGATGACACCACTGCTGGAGAAGGTGTGGAAAGAGGGCAAAGTACCCGAGGATTGGAAGAACGGATACTTATTCAAACTTCCAAAGAAAGGAGACTTAAGTCAATGTAAAAACTGGCGTGGAATTATGCTTCTGTCCATTCCAAGCAAGATACTAAGTCGCATCATCCTGGAGAGAATCAAACAAGCCCTAGATGAAAAACTTCGTCCGGAACAGGCTGGATTCAGGAGAAACAAATCATGTATTGATCAAATCGCCACTCTACGGATCATCATTGAACAAAGCTTGGAATGGCAGTCACCTCTCTATCTCAACTTCATCGACTTTGAAAAGGCCTTCGACAGCGTCGATCGAGAGGTCATTTGGAAACTACTTCGCTACTACGGGGTCCCATCGACAATTATACACCTCATCCAACAGTTATACGACAATGCTGCATGCCAAGTAATCCACAACGGGAAACTTACGGAAGCCTTCGAAGTGAGGACGGGAGTGAGGCAAGGCTGTCTACTATCACCAATGATCTTCCTGATTGCAATTGATTGGATAATGCGACAGACAACGGCAACCAACGAGGGAACAGGCATAAAATGGACTGACACAAAAGACTTGGAGGATCTGGATTTCGCCGATGATATATGTCTGATTTCCCATAAACTGGAAGATATGCAAGTGAAAAGTAACAAGTTGGCAGAAGAAGCATCAAAGATAGGACTTCACGTGAACATAGATAAAACAGAGATGATGAAGATTCCTAGCCAACATCAACAGCAACAACAACAACAGACAACAATAAGCATAAATGGGAAGAACCTGAAAGAAACAACCTCCTTCACCTACCTGGGAAGCATCGTCTCAACTACAGGCGGAACTGACGAGGACATCAAAGCCAGAATCGGAAAAGCAAGACAAGCTTTCATTACTCTCAAATCTGTGTGGAGGTCAACAGCACTCAGCATCAAAAATAAGATCCGGATTTTCAACTCCAATGTGAAGTCAGTGCTACTATACGGATCAGAGACTTGGCGAGTCATAAAGAGCATCTCAAACAAACTTCAAACCTTCATTAACAGCTGTCTCCGCTCAATACTCAAGATCAGATGGCCAGAAAAGATCAGCAACAGGGATCTCTGGGAGCGAACCAATCAGGAACCGATTGTGAAACAAATAGGCAGAAAGAAATGGAGATGGATTGGCCATACGCTGAGGAAACCATCAAGTGACATCACTAGACAAGCCCTCGAGTGGAACCCGAAAGGGAGGCGGCGAGTTGGTCGTCCAAGGGTGACTTGGAGGAGGTCATGCGAGGAGGAGATGAAAGCATGTGGACAGACCTGGAGCAGGGTGAAAAAGTTGTCAGAAAACCGAAGTCAATGGAGGTGCGCAGCTGAAGCCCTATGTTCCTCTAGGAACTAAAGGATACAATAATAATAATAATAAACCAAAACAATACTTATGATAAAGTTTTGAACCCTCAATATTTGGTACATCATTGTGTCTAATTTACGCAATAACAGAAAATACAAAAAATAATATCACAGGGTATGCATAACCAGAATTGATAATAGCAGCTTTTCGGTCTTAGAAGTGACAATAAGGTCAAAAATGTACAAAAAGTGTAAAATAACGATATCAGTAATGTCGATAGCTAAAATAAGGGAAGATAAAAGATCCAATTATTTTGCTAACAACGTACGTAAGTCGTAGTGGGTTTTGCGATTAACACTATTCTATCGCATAGAACGCAGGAGAAACAGGGTATCGTTGAGGCATCGAATCTTTTTTTCAATAACTTCTACTCCTACCTGATGAGATGCAAGGAAGAACTGTGAGTAGAGAGGGCGCTGAGAGTCAGACACAATATGGATACAGTCTATTTCTCGTATTAGTACAAGTGTTTACCGAATACAGTAGTAAGAAGCTGATTTAGTCATGGCCCACTACTTGCCCTACTGATAACCTTGAATACCCATCGCAATATAAAAGTCATTTTTCAGTAGCCCAGGAGAGACTTTAGGCGAATAGTAGAGTACAATAGGTAAGATGCAAGAGTTAACAAATTGTAAAAGTAGAGTTTAAGTGATTCCTGATCGCATTAACTTCGTAATATTGCAGGTTAGACGGAACCTTTTTCAGAGATCGATAAGATATGGGGTGACCAAGAAAGGTCAAGAACTAGAACTATTCCAAATTAATTTATGCTTGACTTAGTTTCAATTTCAGTGCTCTTTATGCTACACTAATTCGAATCTATGAAAATTGATTGTTATGCTTGCTTTTGAATTCAACATAATTCAGTTCAGTTTAAAGATACAAGAGAATATATACAATATTAATGAATATTTTCTATATTTTGTTTTGTAAAAGATTAGTTTTGTTTTTACGAGTTGATCACGGATCGATATCAGTTAGAGAACCATTGAAAACCAATCAGAGAGTTCTGGACAGGTGCTTCATCCTACTTTGGGAATCATAGGCAGTACGCACCCACTGGAGTTCCAACCCAGGACTTTCCAGTTATAAGGCAAGCTTGTATAACATTCAACCACTGGGACCCGACTCAGTGGCCAGTCATGAATTCTACCTTCTACCGATTCGTGATTCAGCGCGACCCCGACCATTGTCGTAGGTGGGACATCCATCCTCACATGTGATATCTGGATGGACCTCACTGGTCACGACTTCTCACTAGAACTCCAGGAAACTCTATCCTGTAGCAAGTCACTAGCAAGCATCAGATTAATTTTCTATAGTTTGGGTTGTAAGGGTTCGTTCATCTCAGGGTTGATGGATGAACAGACAATGAAAAGACAGTTGGAGTGAAACAGTAGACAAGTCTGGTCTAACTACGGCACACATAAGTGTACACATATTTCGGCTACACTAAATGTGAACAAGTTTTATCAGCATTGAATTGAAGTACAGAACAGTGAATTGAGTCATTTGTACCAAAATCGACCACCGTTATAATGTATATAACCTATATTACTGTGGGGAGATGTGAATGACAGTCTGATACATGGAAAAATGTATTGCAGGTAACTGAATCCTAACTCACTATATAATAGTGATAATTTGAAAGACAAATTGTTTTGTTAACTGGGAAAGGTGAAACGGTAGTTGTAGTATTTATTACAAGCAGTCAACTATCTCTCATCGATGCTTCTGTCTTCTCATTACACTGACCATGTCTATTTCCACAACTATTTATGCTTATAGGAAAAATTGTAAACTAATACTTTCAAAAAACAGATTAGATGACTACTCATCTAAAGTGTACGTTTTCAGGTTTACCAGCCAAGTAAAACTAATCTTAGTATATGTGTAAAACTTGGGCACTGTGGTAGTAAATAATTCCATATTAGTTTGTTTATAAGATGTATCACATAGTGGAACAGTATTATTTACTGGATGACACAGTTTCGAACAAAACTTATTGTTCATAATCATATCAGTTGTAATCACACGACTTCAAAACTTCAGTTTTATAGTTTTCTTTGTTTTCTCCTACACGTACTCTCTTCAGTTGATTCGATATACAAAGCTTCTGTTATCAATCTCTCCCTCCACCCTGTGACAGGAGCTTTGTTCATCGAATCAGCTGCAAACACGTGTAATAGGAATGATTCAACACCTCTCCCAGATATCTGGAAAATTCTACTACCCCTAAGACAAATAGGAGAAAACAAAGAAAACTATAAAACTCAAGTTTTGAAGTCGTGTGATTACAACTGATATGATTATGAACAATAAATTTTGTTCGAAACTGTGTCATCCAGGAAATAATACTGTTTCACTGTGTGATACATCTGATAAAACTAACCTCCTCTTTCAAATATTCTTATAAAAAAACGAATCAAACACATGCTTTTAATAATATACAAATGACAGAACAATAGACGTGTCAAGGTATGGTATACTAGAATATGAATATTATTCAATGGACCAACTGATTCCGTTTGAGTGAAAATGTACTCCTGGTTGAAGTTATTGACAGTAGAGTTTACAGTAATACATTAACCATCGTCACCATCAGTACAATCAGAGGACAAATAGGAGAAGCATAATACACTACGTCAAGATCACCATAGCACATTGATGCGACAGCTACTACACAGCTCCTACCAGCGAATAACACATCGAGTGATACGTTAGTCACAACTGTCAGTACTTCCATTCACTGGCGTTTGAAATAAGTTCATCGCCTAATACTAGATAGTGAAAGTGACAGCTGATACATTATTCATAGTGATTGCGCCGAGGTAACTAAGACCTGTGGATTTCACTGAGTACTTGTCTTCAAATACCACTAAAAGTACATGAATACTGCAAACAAATAAGTCAAATTATAAATACCATTAATTATATGATTTAAACTGCTTTTTCTAGCAAATAAGAGATGCCTGGAACCTTGTAGCTACGCGAAATATCTTTGTCAAGCGTTATTTTGCAGGGATTTGATTTGTTTCACACGAATTGATATCATTTATTGACAACCACAGAAAACTAGGGAGTCCTGGATATCAGTTTCGTCCTAGTTTGGAACTCATCGGCAGTACGCACCAACCAGGGTTCGAACCCGCGGCATTCTAGTCGCAAGGCTCAATAGAATACGAGCTCACTTTGCAACCAAGATGTCGTGGCTTAGATCTCTCAAGGGATGCGTACTGATGGAGAGTTTCAACCCAGGAAGAAACAACTGCCCAGTACTCCCTGGTTTTTAATGGTTCTCTAGCTCATATCAATCCATGGTCAAACTTCATACGTAAAATGTCACCAAAAATGTTATGGAATGTTATGTTATGGAACTGTCAATGTTCGATAAACGAAAAATGATAAAGCCACATGTCGACTAAAAAAACAAAATATACCACTAGGTTAAACCAACTATTCAAAGTTATTTGAGATGTATTACATTTTACAAATATGGACTGTCTTTCAATAACACTATCCAAACAGCTCTCAGTAGAAAAAAGTTACAAACGCTGGGGTGAAACATGCATGACATCTTGGTGCATCGTCACTAGATTTTCAGTCAGTGGGGTCTCTGTTTCGAAGCTCCTCCCCTCCTACGCCATCAGTTTCAACCTGAGCGACTGGATTGTACCATAGGCATTCATTCACTAGAGTGGTTCACAGCCTCCTGTTACATTTAAAAACCTGTTCCGCGTGACTCAATTCAAACAAACAAAACTCCAATTAAGAAATAATAGACGAGTATTATCAATCACAACATTGTCATCTATATAATACTACTGTCTCCAAAAAGATAAAGAATATGAACATCTGGTTAGCTAGAACCAATTGTCTGGATATAGTTGACAATTACTGAGACTATGTAGTTACAATCAGAACTGACACTAAGAACTGAAATTACAAATACACATCTGTTTAGAATTGTTATATGGTAGTAATAATTTACTAATGAAGTGGGTTCTCACAGGCAAACGTATCGATATCATTCTAGTTAGCATAGTCAAAACAATTCTTACTTATAAAATTCAGATTTTGTGTGCAGAAATAAACAGAAAAACATACCGACAAAATCAGCTTTTTTGACTGTTTTTCAAAATAAATAAATAATAAATGAACTTACTTGAAAACGATCTACAGTTGTTACTTTACTCGGATTGCCCAACAGTGGATTTTGTGAACAACGTGCAGCGATTACATCACGAATTAAATGTTTTTGACCATTGTATGTAGTGAGGATGGTGATTTTCTCTGCTGGATAGCCTAATATACGCATATACATATAGACGGCGACGACATATTCAGCTTCAGCAAGATTTTGATAAAAGTATGGACTTGGCTCAGATTCACCAACACCTAAATAAATTATGAAAAGGAAAAAAGAATACAACTGGATATGCGTGCTCTGGTATATATGTGAACAAATTGTAGGGGGGAGGGAGGTTCGTTGGGAACTGAGTACGAGGTGAGGTTAAATTAGAATTGAAGACATATCTGTAATGTTGACAACTACAAGTCATATCCACCCAAAACTTAATACAAGGCTGTTATACGTTTTTAGCAGTGGGAACCAACTTCATCCAGGATCTTGACTCCACGATTCAACTCAAAAGAAAGGAAGGTCAAAATTATCCAGTCCTACAGGAGAAGAAGGAAGATTTTTACAGACAACTACAAACAGTAATGGACATCATCCCGAATGGCAACATCAAAATCCTTATGGACGATATGAATGCTAGCCAGATAATACAGAGAAGAAAATTATCATGAACCGAGAGAATCTGGGCGGAGTGAATGAGAACGGAGAATTCTTCTCAGGGTTCTGAGCTTTCAATGATTGGGTGATCGGAGGCAGCGTGTACAAGCACAAGGATATACACAAAGCAACATGGATTTTGCCTGACAGACAAAACACGAACCAGAGAGACTTCATCTCAATGTTGCTCAAGGAAGCGGAGATGCGGCCAGTCTTCTGAACACAAAGTCGAGAAGAGGAACAGATGTGGGCTCAGACCATCATCTAGCTTACGCTGAAGCTGAAATCCTTCAGAACATATAAAGAGAGACAACAATTCAAGTTTAGCATTCAGAAACTGAAAGATGGACTGTATTATGCATCTGGCTATGCACAGGGAATGAGAAGACAGGAAAACATTGAACTAATCGATAAGAAGACTCTGGAAGATATGGATTTCGCACGTGGATGATTTATGTTTAATATCACACAGACGCGAAGACTTGCAGGCGTAAACCAACAAACTTGTTGAAGCAGCCAATGAAGACAGGACTGTAGGTGAACATATAGAAGACGGAGGTGCTGAAGATAGGCAACCAATCAACAGCATCAATCACCATCTACGGGAGAGATTTGACAGAAGTTACTTCCTTCCCTTATCTAGGAAGTATCATTTCAACCACAGCACTCAGTATAAAGAACAAGATCAGCATTTTCAACACAAATGCGAATTCAATTAGTTCTTCTACACGGGTCATAAGCTTGCACTGTATGTCATGGAAAGCATTTTCAACTGGTCAATGCAGACTTTTGTCAACAACTGCCTTCTCTGGCTCCATACTGAAGATCAAATGGCCAACCGGCCAGAAAGGATAAGTAACAAGAAACTCTGAATAGGAACAAACCGACCAAGAGCCGACTGCTCAACATATATATGTAGGGGAAAGTGGAGATGGATAGGGCATGCTTTGAGGGAACCGTGGAGTGATATCGCACACAATGCAGGTCATTACTTGAGTGGAAACCCAATCGGAATCGACAAGTGGGTTAATTTAAGTACAGTTGCACAGCTTTTGACAATGACTTCGTCGACAAAAAAGTCATTTCCTTCAATGAGTTGCCTTTTTATTTTCTTCGTGACTCAAAGAGTATTTTTTTAGTGACAGAATTAATTCTCTGTCTTACACTGGAAATGTTTGACCTGTTATTCATTGATTTCATTTAGAAGACAAATTTAGTATTATACCGGCAACAAGAAATACTCCAATAATCAACAGTTTCATTCGTTTAATATATTTCTATCCATAATAATAAACGAAAACTAACCTTTATAATCTTCAACATTTATCAACTGTACATCATATTTGAAGCCTGGATTAGCTAAACGATACTGAGATTCACTTAATGTATGCGGTAAATCAGTTAACTGATCATATCGCCAACTGTATAAACGAGATAGGGATGGTCGTGCACGACCTTGTGCATCCAACTGTACGGTTGGTACACCAAGTTTTACTAGACGAGTGAACAATGATTGACCCATATTAGAATAATTATTAAAGGCTTGATTTTTTACCACTGGCGGCAACTGATGATGATCACCAATCATAATCCAACGTTTCAAACGATTTCTACCTGATATATCAGGATTTTGTAATAGTAGTGGGATGAAAGTTTCAATTTCTAGAATTTGTGCAGCTTCTTCCATTAGAATTGTATCATAGGTAAAGCCTAGCTGGACTAAATCTCTTCGACGTAATGCAGCATGTGTACACGTCATAGCTACGATTTTCGCTTCTTGTATTAGCAGGTAATTCGCCCGTTCAGTACCAGTACGCATTAATTCGAAGGCACGGAATTCATCTAGTTGGGTAAATATTGAATGAAGATGACGGAAATATGTTTGAGCAAGTGCAACATCTTCCAACAGATTTCGACCCTATAGAAGAAATAGAAATGATAAAATATATTAATGATGCATAACATTTTCATAGGTTGAATCCCTGTAGACAATCATTATTATACATATTAATAATCTGTCTGTCTGTTTTCGACATAGAATTTTGCACCGATGTGCAGCAGTTCAAGTCACCACACTCCCTCCTTGTAGCAGACAAAGCAAGAGAAGAAATGCAGAATACAGACAGTAGACAGGGATATGAGACAAAAGGAATAGTAATAACGAAGAACAAAACAGTTTCATTGGGTATTATAAGTCACAAGGAGTGGATGCGCCTGCACTAGGCATTGAGAACGATTTTGAGCCATTTCACCAATTGTTACCAGCTTTCATTGGTTTTTACCGTCTCGAAGACCCCAATCAGGAAGTCTACATCTTCCTACGTGGCTGGCTTAAACTAACTGTTGTGGATTTCATTGAATGGTGAAACCATGGTTTTGGTTTCACCGCCGCTAGCTCTTTTCCAGCCTGACCCTATGTTAGCTAACATTTCCCGTCGAGGAAGGTGATGGCTAGGCATCTGTAACACATGTCCTAACCATCTCGGTCAATACTTCAGTTACAATACAGACTCTGCAAGTACTGTCTGTCTGTTTTCGACATAGAACTTTGCACATATGTGCAGCAGTTTGAGTCATCACACTCCCTCCTTGTAGCACACAAAGCAAGAGAAGAAAGTAGATGAAATGCATACTGGAGACAGTAAACAGAGGTGTGAGACAAAGGAATAGTAGTACACATTACAAGTTCACATAATCCAACCATTGGAATCAATGACAGAAGAGAAAATGGGTTGCACTATCAGTAATCATACTATGCATGCATATAACTAACTAATTCATTAATGGAAGCTTCTTTACATAAAAAGAAACTTACAGGGAAAAGTCGACACATAATCTCTTCTGATGGTGTTTTTTGACCTGTGAAAAATTCTGTGAATGGAAAATCATTACGAATTAAACTAGGATCATAAGCCATCTCTGTGGCTGGCTGAGATGTTGACTGATTTTGTTGTGCTGATGCTATCCAGTGTGGATTGTTTGATGCCACTTTACTGATAAAATCTTCCCAACGTGATAAAACCTCTTGAACATAAAAGTATTGTGCTGTTTCACATGTTTGTAAATGAATATTGTTCATTGGATCAGATGAATCAGAGTTAGACAGATCAGTTGAAGGTTGTGGAACAGCTGACGATGGGCTGAACGTTTTCGCTAGACGTGTAACCTTTAGATGATATATTAAATGGAAAGGCGTGAAATATATACATAAAGATATACGTAACATATAAACACGAAATTCTCGAAAACTTACAAAGTGACAACGATAACAAATATAAGAAGCAAAAATTTATCAGTTAGCTAGTGGCGCAGACTGAATTCTATCCGTCTAGTTTGCAATGTGGTCACCAAACTAGGTAACTCGCCATCACCGTGCACTGTTAGAAGATTGAAGATAACTAACAGGATGCCCTAGAAGTAGGTTTCGTGCTAGTTGGCAAAAGTCAGCAAAGCGTATCAGCAACTTTTAAAGAAGTGATGTCCGCTCTGAAATTTAAAACCATGTCAACTAGCGCTGCAGTCAGAGACTCTGAACTATTTAGGGTCTCAGTGGGCTTTCTGTAGGGCTGTCATGGATATATTGATTGGTCAATAAGTAATGAGTAATGTCATGTGTTTATTTCTTGGTGTAGATCCTGACTAATTCCCATAAGTTTCACTTTTATACTAGTTCACATTAAATTAAATCAATCAATGATGACTTAAAAGACCCAATTAAAGTTTTAACAGTCACAAATCTATAGATTAAAGATTATGAGATAGCATCATCGAATCAACAACTTGTGAAGGAGGTGAAAAGCATTATTGGTTATGAATCAACTTCAGTTAGGGAACTACTGGAAATCGGGCAGTACTTGTCAGCTGTTTTGTTCTTGTTTGGGACTCTTCATCAGCATGCGCCCATAACTTTAACCAGCATCGAACGGAAACTCCCCGATGACACCGCCGGGAGGCCTCTGACTGGTCGGTTTCAACACAGAACTTTACACCGATGTGCATCAGTTCGAGTCTCCACACTTCACTCAGCACACAGAGCCAGAGAAAGTAAAGATAAACGCCAAATAGAGACAGCAAATCATAGATCTAATTGGGGACGTAACTGATTCGCTGCCAATAATTTTTACGTCCGTTTATTCGTAAACATAAAGGTGCGCGAACCAGGGCGTGATCGGAGTCTACACACGTGTTCAAAGGGGATCGGCAGTTTTCGACTGACCATCGCCAACGATAGCCTATCGCTATGTGGTCTATCTAAGTTCAACGTTGATTTGGTGATGGAAGTCGCCAGGTTACACAATGTCTGTCTTTGTGCCTTAAGTTAGTGCTGACTAGGAACAGATGATTATCTGAGCAGAACTGTAGAAGACGTTCATCGTTGTTGGTCGGTCGGCAGGGAACTCCATACGTGCCACCTGCATACTTACCAGTCTGCCACAACTTCCCTACTTGGGCATTGAAGTCGCCTGCTAAAACACTAGATCACAAATTAGCTAAAAAGTCAACCAGCTCGCCTTGCAACCTGAAGGTCCTGAGTAGGATCCTTGGTAGGATCTTATGTACCGTTGAAGAGTCCCAAACAAGCACAAAACAGCTTTGCACAGTAATCCCTAGATTACAGTGGTTTTATAGGTGAAGCTGGTTCGTGGTCAAACTTGAGATCAGTCAAGTACCTGTAAACTAGCTCTTGGAAATTTAGTTGAGTGCTGACTAGTGACTGACTACAGGGTCGGTGGCACAGCGGTTAGGACTCTCGCTGACCATACACATAGTCCGGGGTTCAATCCCCTGCCAACGGACACCTGATATCAATGGTGTCGGCCTGCAAAATTCGGGATACCGATATCACATGCTGAAAATTCCATACTTGTACCAAAAATGCGGTTTGGAATCAAGCTATTATAATCAAAGAATAAAAACAATAAGGTAACGTGAAGTGTTGTGAGAAGTTTGGTGTGAGGACAGAACCTTGACGATAACATTGGCTAGCGGTAACACACTATATATCACGCATTGTCAGAAGTCAGAATTGATGGGTCATTAGATTCAGTCCCAGTGGCTGGATGGTTAACAAGCTTGCCATGTAACCTGAACGTCTTGAGTTTGATGATCCCAAGTGGAGTCATGGGTGCTTTAAAAATCATTGGATATAATATCAAACTTGTGGATTAGATGAAAACTATGACACCGTATCATGTTTTTTACTGATTAATGAATTGCATATGCATATTAGACAACTGACTTACTTCTTGTAAAAGATGTATACGTTTAGCTAGAATGTAATCTACACGACCATAACGTGAAAAATCTTTCTCTGTATCTAATCCTTCTTCACCATGACCTAAACGTAGAAGATGACGTTCATCAACATCTAGTGCGATAATCTTTTCAAATAACTGATTCAATGCTTGATTTGAATGTGTTACAATAAGAATTCTGAAAGGCAGGAAATAAAACAATACATTAGAAAAAAGCAATAATGTGAATGATTAAGGACAACTGACATTCGTATCCACTCGAACATATAATCAGAATGATGAAAAACTTTGATGTGACGGAGTACTGCTAGTTTATGGGATTGTCTAGCTCGACTAGAATGCATCTACAGACACGGGAGTATGACCAGCTGATCACTTGACAGTATCCCCCACATTGCGATCGACGCAGAAGTCATACTGGGAATAACGACAACGACCGAGAGCAACAACCGCGACAACGTTTATTAGACTAAATATATGGCATATCATATTTACTAAGCTTCAGGAACTTAAACCAGAAATAAATGATAAAGATCTTATTGGTTGTATGACATAGCAATCCCTCAGAAAATTAAGCCATGAATAAACGAATGAAAAACTCTTCAACTACATTATCATATCAGTGGAGGTATAAATCATGACTTCACGGCTGACAAAGAAGCTTGTCCGCCCTGAAAAATAATCACTGTAACATAACCAAGTATCTAGGCAACTACTATGTGACAATTTGTGCCCTACTTATAGACCTTATCTGTGCTGCATGAGATGAAAGCAACATATGACTGGCTCAGAGTAATCAGCTTGACACACAGGGAATAGACCTAACCTTTAAAAGTGTTCAAAGCACTTATTGGCTTTCGAAATCTAATAATTGATTAAATTGGTTATTGCATGGAGGATTTAATCATGAGCTGACATCAGTTAGAGAACCACTGGAAAACCTGGGAGTACTGGACAGCCGTTTCGTCCTAGTTTGGGACTCCTCAGCAGTACTTGTAAATTGGTTATGTCTTTAGGAACCACTCCTTGAGAGCCTTTGAAGTCTGATCATGACACAAAGCACAATGGAGAAGCCTCAGGAGTTGCTTTCCCATGGTTTCCGGTGACCAAAACAAGTTCATAAGCCATTTGATGTTTTTGTTTGGGATTCTGCATCCCATGTACACCACAGGTTTGGAATCCGAGTTTTCCACCACCCCTAGGTGGATCAGAATGTCTACCAGTTCGGCTGTGAGCGCCAGACATTTGTATTCACTCGTTTTCTTTTGTGAGAAACACCATCGACACTTGAAGGCATTGAATAAGACTTACCTAGCAGAGGCTTTGTACGCGTGGCCACATGACAGCATTTCGAGAGGAATGCTCGAGTTTAGACACTGTCAGCTGTACCAGAGGGCTAGAGATGGGGGTCATTGGGACAATATGTGTAACTAATGACTTTGTACAAGGTTATATAATTATCTTTGTTACTCGAAACCGATGCCTACAGTCTCATCTTGTTTTACATCAAATGACCACTAATTCTAATACTGTCTAAAGTGAAAGGAAAAAAGCTAAGCAAACACAGTGAAACAACAACACATGTATACAAAAAGCAACAATAATAATAGTAATAATTACCTTTGATTAGGATAATTATGATACAAATTATGAATAATCTGTACAGCCACATCAGTTTTTCCAGTCCCAGGTGGACCAACTACTAAGGTAAGACCACATTGCATTCCAGATCGAATAGCCTCTACTTGTGCTGAAGTAAATGGTACTTTATTACCAGGCTTAGAACTGTTGGCGCCTAATGATAAATGACTGCTGGGTAGATGACCACCAGCTTGAGTAAGTAGATCCCATGGTGGATGAAGTGGGGGATCATAGGCTTCAACAGTTAAACACGGTTTCTCATAAGCATCATCATTTTTTAATTTATTACTTGAACTTGAGTGATCAGTTGACATTTTATCGTTTGAATGATGATTTTGTATTATCATGTCTGATGGAATCATTGCTTCAACTTTTGCTGTTGGATCATTTTCTAATTTTGGAAAAATAAGTCGATATGGTGGTCCTGGTGGATCTGTGGAATCATCTAAAGAAAGTAATAAAAGAGATTATACCGATTATGGGGAAAATTAGCGATCATAAAAAGCCTCTTTTGTCATTAGGATTTCTACGGATAACTTTGATTTGAAAGACTAATAGTAATGCAATCTGAGTCCTAGAAGGATTTCAGTCAGCAGTCTAATCGACTTACTGAATTCCAACATATAGAACTCAAAACAGAAGTATAGCAGTTCAAGTTGCCACTCTCCATTTAACACGCAAAGGTACAGAAAAGGGGGAGAAAGAGGTTCAGACAAACTTTAATAAACAGAAGTGTAAGATGAGAATACGTGACGGTTTATTTTTTTTTTATATTTTTTTTTTTGATTTACAGCTTGATTCCACACTGTATATATATATATATATATATATATATATATATATATATATATATATATATAAACACTGCGCCATGTAAGTGAGTACTATCTAGTTAGTATAATTTTGATATTAGATAAGTCTATTTGATATTAAAACACAATGATACAATGTATTGATAATAACCGGATGGCGTTTCGAGCACCACTTTATTTTTTTTTATTTTTGATTACAGCTTGATTCCACACCGTATTTTTGGTACAAGTATGGAATTTTTCAGCATGGATATCGGTAGTCCAAATTTTGCAGGCCAACCATAGATATCAGGTGTGCGTCCGCGTGGGCTCGAACCCCGGACCATGTGCATGGTCGACGAGAGTCCTAACCACTGCGCCACCGACGCTCAATAATCATATCAGTGTATTCATATGACTTGCTAGTTTACTTCTTAGGGAGTAAGGCTCTATTATCCTCTTGCCCAAACATCCCATAGAAAATCAGTTAGCTCCTTCCTCCATTATGACTGTGACACATGGCCAATGAAAGTGGAAGACATGAAAAGACTAGCTGGCCTTGATCACAGATGTCTGCGTTCTATCTACCATGTTTGGTAGTATAGTAGGGTGAGTAATATTTAGCTTGGGCTTCGCATGCTAGGTAAGGAGGGAGAGTTAATCGTTAAGGTTGTAAAGCTATTGGGATGTCCAGGATATATGTTACGCATTCCGAGCCATCGCCTGCTTCGACGGGAAATGCTATGTGACTGACGTAGGATTAGGTTAGAAAAGAGTGAGTGGTGGTCAAACCAAAAAATGGCATCAGTCAATAAAATCTTTAACAGTTAGTTTGAGCTACCCACGTGAGGTGTTGACTGCTGCCTGTTTGGGGACCTCAGTACACTAAGAACTAATGACTAGAAACAATTGGTGATATGGCTAGTAATCATTTTCAATGGCAAAGATGCATTGATTCTTTGTGATCTGCAATATTCCCTAAACCCTATTGTTTTTCCATGTTAGTTAGTATTCCGTCTCAATCACATTTCTGCCTATTATAGCTCCTGTGAATTATTGAAAACATTTATTTCCCGATATGAATTTAAAACAAGAGACAAATGTTATTAAGAAAGCAGGATTTAATGAATGCATCAACTTCTGAGTGGGACTCTTCAATTGGATACTCTACATACAGTAATATATATATATATATATATATATATATATATATTTATAAAGTATTCGAAGGAAATAAAAGTCAATAACAACCATCCAAACTATTTCAAAGAAGGCTATGTGTATCAGTCTGCCATTTAAATGAGATGATGTACAAGAAGTAGTGAAACGAAGACTTGGGAAGGTTATTAGGCGAGCTTATTATGCGTCCAAGCTTGTCTTCTTTAATTCCAACAAGCAAGTGCTTCAACAATCTGAGAAATACCGGTCATCAGTCTTCGATACTTCAATGCTTGTGGAAACAAATACTTAGGTCGTAGGGAAAGGCGACTGTTTACTCGTCGCATAACGATACACCACTAATCCAAGTGATTGAAAAAAATCTTAAGTCAATGTATCAAACATGATATTGACGCCATGTCAAGTCATTCAGTGTTGTCAGCAGACAAACAAACAGAAAGAGGCTTTGCATTTGGGGGAGGCTTGTGCAGTTAGAGTTTATGGACCCGATCTCTATGTACAGAAAGGAATGGAGATGGTTTTGAATCTGCCATGGTAATATTTTTGAATAACTAACTGTTATTATTATTTTATTAATTTATTCTGTCCTTTATTACTCTTGATCCATTTAAAACTATCTTTTATCAGTAGCATAATCTGAACTCGTTTCATTATCATTCAGTTTGTGATTCCTGACATTTTCAAGTTCTTTCTCTCATAACTAGCAGTTTATTGCAGTGATGTAAATGAACCTTACCTATCTGAATACGACCTATAAAAGATTTGCACCAGTCGTTTTGTATTATTGACTCAATGTAGTACATATACTTATCACTCATATACCTCTCAATGTGTTCCTAATAGGAATATATGTATCTCTGTATGTAGAGTATTCAGCTGAACAGTTCTACCAAAATTTATTATTATTATTTTATTATAGCTTGACTCCACACAGTATTTTTGATACAAGTGTGAAATTTTCAGCATATGATATCGGTAGCCCAAATTTTGCAGGCCGACCATTGTGTGCGTCGGCCAGAGATCGAACCCCGGACCATGTGCATGATCAGCCAGCGTCCTAACCACTGTGCCACCGACTTACATTTATCATTGGTTAAATTAATATTATTATTGTTATAACTTAATAATATAATACAGTAATCTGTAAATTGGATTTTACGCATCACGTATTTGGTTACATAAATTGAATAATTGATTAGGAGTATCGGTTTCGAATTTCCAAAAAGAAGTCTACAGATGCCTTGTTTAAAAAGCTGTACATCATAAACCAAGTGAACACTTCTTTGCTTAACTTATTTCTTCCTTTTGAATGTCCACACGGAAATTCGCCGACTATCGAGATTTGCAGGCCCCTAGTTCATTGCCAGCTGCTCAGCAGTCCGCTCAGTCATCCTATATGGCTGTGAGACCTGACATTGAGAGTGGGGGACATGAAAAGGGTGGCTAGCTATCTTTGATCATAGGTGCCTGCGTTCTATCTCCCGTGTGAAGTGGTATAATAGAGTGAGCAATATTGAGGTTAAGCATCGGTCGAGTGATTGGTAAGGAGGGGAAATCAATCGACGAGGCTATGAAATTACATCGACTGAGATGGTTAGGACATGTGTTACGTATGCCTAATCATCGCCTTCCTCGACGGGAAATGTTAGCTGACATAGGGCCAGGCCGGAAAAGAGCTAGCACATGGTGGTCAAACCAAAACATGGCCTCACCAGTCAATGAAATCCACAACAGTTAGTTTAAGCTAGCCACGTAGGAAGATGTAGACTTCCGGTTGGGGTCTTCGGGACGGTAAAAAGCAATGAAAGCTGGAAACAATTGGTGAAATGGCTCAAAATCGTTTTCAATGCCTGTTGAAGATGCATCAACTCCTTGTGACTTATGATTTCCAATGAAACTGTTTTGTTTTTAGTTATTACTATTCCTTTGTCTCACACCTGTTTACTCTCCCCAATATGCATTTCTTCTACTTCCTTTTCTTGATTTGTGTGCTACATGGAATGTGGCGACTTGAACTGCTGCACATCGGTGTAAAGTTCTATGTCGAAAACAGACAGCCAGCCAGTTGCAACCTCGATTTTCATTTCAAGATCAAACCATCAACCGTTAAATCGACAAAAGTTTACTGGACTAAGAATATTTCAGACAGTCTCACCATTCATAAATATTCATTAACAGATTTTGGCTAAAGAAGCTCCACAACGATGATGTACAACGCATGATTGTGTTTAGTTATTCAAATTTTCAAGTATTTGTTTTGTAGGGATTTTGTTTGATTGGTTGGAGGATTTCATCATAAGCTGACATGAGTTGCAGAACTATTGGGAAACTTTCAGACAGTGCTGGACGGCTGCTTCGTCCTTATTTGGACTTTTCATCAGTACGCATCTACTTCCAGGACCTTCTGGTTACAAGGTGAGCTGGTACACCATTAAGCAACTGAGACCCGATCCAATGGCCCATAATTTTTTTAATTTTCTTAAAAATTTATGAGAAACAATCAAAACTAAAACAAAAAGGCAAAGCAGAAAAACTTACCAATCATCATAGAACTTTCATTTCCACCGTTGGATGATTTCCATTTACGACTTTGTCGTTTATCCTCAAATTCACATTATACTGTGATAGTGAATTTCTCAAGTGCTCTGGTGATAAAAATGTATCAAACCAATTTTGTTTCGGTTCATAAACATCTGGACGATGTGTGTAGTGAGCTGCAGCTGGATCTAGATAACCCATCAACAAATCTAACAGCCATTCAGGGACAACAGATTTTATATTCATAAGATCCCTGTTTTAATAAACAGTTAAATAAAAAAAATAAGAAGTATGAATATAAGCATCGATGGTTTTCATTGAAATACCAAAGTAGTTTCTTGGTGATAACATCAGCAAAAAAAGTTCATTTCGAAAATCTATATACAAAACTGAAGGCTTGATACCTCCATCAGCTGAAGCAGTTGAAAGTTTTAAATCAACTCTCCTCGACTGTTGTTATAAAGAATATGAATGACAAATGGAAATTACATAGCTTATTAACCAAAGACAATAGGGAGGCCCTAAATAAGGTGTGAAAGAATGAGAGTATAATAATTAATGAGCCTTAAAAAAAGCTCTGGCGTAGTAATCATGAATTGAGACAGAATATACCTAGATAAGATGAATGAAATACTACTCAGTGATCATTGAAAATTTTATCTTCCATTAATCCGATCAAAAAAGTTGTGAAACAACTAACTAAGTCACCGAAAAAGGCTTCAACAACAAGGTACCATTACAAAAGGTTTATATGGATCACTTAGGCCTACAGGTATGGGCTACCAAAAGTGCATAAAAATGGTTCGCTACTTCGACAAGTGTTGGACAAGTATAATTCTCCGTATTGCACAACAGTAATATATTTGGTGAAGCTCCTGAAACCTCTACATAACGAGTTGGCAAAACATGGTGTAAAAGATAGTTTTGAATTTGTTGAAAAAATAAGAGATCTTAATGTAAATGACAACTTTATCATATCTTTGTTCACCAATGTACCGTCGATAGAGACAGTGGATTTTATGTCATGAGATTACTAAGGGGAACACAGAAATAGGCATATCTGTATCCTCCATGAAGGAACTACTTTGGAGATGCCCACTGAATATTCGTTTCTTAGTCAATAAGGAATACTATAGACAAACTGAGGGTGTAGCTATGGGTTTCCCATTAGGCCCAATCCTCGCTAAGTTGGAGAATAGACCACTGAAAGAAGTAATTAATGAGTTGGAATGCTACTGTCCATATGTGGATGATACATTTCTGGTTATGAAACACGAGAATGAAGCGATGAACATTTCTGACAAGTCCATTGATGCGTAAACAGCAACAGAAAGCAATGGCAGTATCTCATTCCTAGACGTCTTCATGGCAACGAAAGATGGCACACTAAGAAAGTGTGTATAGGAAACCTACAACAACGGGTCAGTACACTTATTTTTTGGTTTCAGGATTCATCATGAGCTGACATTAGTTAGAGAACCATTGGAAAACCTGGGAGTACTGGACAGCTGTTTCGTCCTAGTTTGGGACTCTTCAGCAGTACGCACCCACCGGGATTCAAACCCAGGCCCTTTTGGTTACAAGGCGAGCTAGCTCGTATACCATTAAGCCACTGGGACCCGATCCAATGGTCCTTGAATTCTAATTTTTTATTTTATTTTTTGAGTTTTGAACCTTTGAAGTAGAAACGTAACTTGGTGAATTGTCTGGTTTATACAGCTAGGACAATCTGTCCAAACAACTTCAATGAAGAGCTCAAGAACATCAGAGAATTACTTAGTAAAAAATGGTTATCGAGATAAGTTCATTGAGAAAAATTTGAATTTGGCACCAAGGAGAGTCGGTATAGCAACAGCTCCGAAAAAACCATTGTTCATAAAACCGCAGTTCCTCGGTGATAACATCAGAGAAACAGTAACACAGAGAGTGAAGAATGCAGTTAAAAGAGCTTTCAATGCGGCAGAGATACGTTGTCGCTTCACTACCACCACTATTTTGTGCTCGAGAAATAAGGACTAACTATCTAATTTTGCCTCTTCTATGTGTATCTACCAGTTTGACTGCAACTACGCATGTTCATCATTGTATTTCCGAACATCATCCAGCATGGTTAAGCAAGGAACAAATAAGATCTATTCGTAGCTCTAATTCAGCACACCTTATAGACAGCGAGCGAAAAATTGATGTTAATACATTTAAATTTATTTATTGCATTCTTACAAATCTTAATTTTGCTTTACGAGTTCGTCTTCTACAAACAGCTGAAGCCACCAGAATCCACCTGAAGACACCAAAGCTGTGGGTTCAGAAGAAATTCATTCAGCCACTTCCTTTACCTTAGCCATTATTTCCATATTAGTTTGTTTATTAAATGCATCACACAGTGAAACAGCAATATTTACTGAATTATTACATGAATGTAAAAAACTGAAAATCCCTCCCCCTCCTAACTATTTCATTATTCCGACTAATTCATCTTTAACTGCCTATTACGTAATAAATTTGAACACTCATTTATTTCTTAATCACTCTATTTCTTCGAGATTAAGCATTATGTAATACACTTGTTTATTTTTTTTCAATTATTTCTACCCTTTAATTGAGTGAATTAATTTTCTTCGTTAATAATCACCCCCTTGACACGCTGATACTGACTAATTACTGGTAAAAACATATCGCCACTTGATTGGTAAAATGTATTGTATTAAAAATGCTATATATATTAGAGTAGAGCTCTTCGCTCAATCCTATTTCGCCTTCTAAATGTCTAAATGGGGGATATTTTAGACTGAAAGCAGAAAAAAACACAACACATAATTTAAATCATCTACAGTATTGAGATATCAAACTGTTAGTCAAAATGTGACTGTATCTTATAATATACCCTACAGCTATTAGATGAGGAAGAAGCAATTTGTTTTGTTCTCCTCTACAACTGTGAGACACGACCATTGAAACCGTAAGATGTGGAAAGGCTAGTTGTTTTTGACCACCACTTTTCCGTGTTGAGTAATGATATAATATGGTGAGTAATATTCAGGTTTGACGTTAAGTATTAGGTAAGGAAGAAAAGTCAAGCCAGGAGAGACATTTAAGTGATCCATCACAACAGGTCCTTGAGTGGAGCCCGAATGGGAAGCAACAGGTCGGGAATAAGTTGGAGGGTGACATAGAGTAGATCACTTAAGAAATAAAAGCTTGTGGGCGACAGTCATGGGGCCAGTTAAGAGTGATAGTAGAAAACTAAGTGCAAAGGAAATATGTTCGTGGAGCTCTATTTTCTATTCGGAACTCAGGGAGTCAATTATCATAACAGATGAATGCGTATGTCAACAAATCTACCATCAAACTGAAGACACATACTTCAGTAGATAATTTGTCAAAAACACACTAACCTTATCGTTTCTAGTACAGCTTTAAAATTATTCTCCTTTGGTTTACGTCTAATTAAAACATTGAATGTATCGTATAAATCTTCAGGTGAAGCCTGATCAGCGTCATCTGCTTGAGCTTGTAGCGCTTTAATCTCTTCAGGTGTACGTCCTTCACGTTTAGCACGAATCACTTTAGATCGTATCACTTCACCACGCATTTGTTCAGCTTTTAATCGATCTAAATCAACTTGATATTGGACAGGATCTAAGCGTACACGCCAGGTAGGCAGAGTTTCGACTAGACTTGGTTTTTCACCTAAAAGTGAAGGATATAAAAGAGACATAGAACAAAATTATGTTAGATTGGTATAGTTAGGATTTTTCATAATGGAAAATACAACATAACTTGAATCAGTGGTCAGAAACAGTATTTTATAGCACAATTATTTAATAATGTGTTAACAATGTGAATATTTCTTTATTGAAACGGATAAGTAAGAAGAGACCTAGACATGTGTATTGTAGAAATTTTAACTGGAATGAAGATAGACTCCATTAGTCTAGATTTAATTATAATCTAAATTATCAGCTCGATGCTAATTTATTTTCTTTACGATACAGCGGGTTATCAGCTATACCTGATGTGCATAGACTTGTGATATCAGACGGTAGAGTGGATTATGAACTCTAGACCCACTGGTTCAAACTAGATGGCTTCAACAAATCAGTCTGTGCCCAATTAAAACAGACAGATCAATGAGAAAAAATTATTTTGTTACAATTTTGATCATGGAATGATATCACAGTTAGAGAAACATTGAAAACCCGGGAGTATTGGACAGCTGTTTCGTCTCAGTTTGTGACTCATCGGCAACACGCACCCACCCTCTTGAAAATTAATCTGATGACCGCTGCAGAACGAAGTTGCCTGGAGGGAGTTTTAGTGAAAAGTCCTGACCACTGAGGTCAATCCGGCCGGCAGTGAGGATAAATACTCGCCGATGACATTTGCTGCTGGTCGCGTTAAAATAATGAATTGGTAAAAGTTAGAGTTCATAGGCCATTCAGCCGAGCCCCAGTGACTGAATAGTCTATGACCTTGGCTTGTAACCACAAGACCCTGGTTTCGATTCCCGGAGGTGAGTGAGTACTGCTGAAGAATCCCGAACTAGGATGGAACATTTGTCAAGTACTCCCTGGTTTTCAATGGTTCTTCTACTGATATCAATTCATGGTCAAACTTGAAACAATTCAAATCCCTACGAACCGACTCTTGAAAATTATTTTGTCCCTTGAAGTTGACATAAATTTGTGAACGGTTATAGAAGGTAAAAATAACAACACCACTACTACTGTTCATGAGAATAACAGCAGTAGCATACTATGAACCAAGAAAATTACAAAGGAAGTACAGATAATAAGATACGCATGATTGATGGTAAGTTACAGTAGCTCCAAAATGTTGTTTTATGACAGAAATAAGCAGACAGTCATAATATCCCACTTAACAATAATAACCGAAAGTATGCTTAAGCCTTAAAGTCAACGTCTATCGAGTTGACTTGAAGCAGTGCGATTTGACAAGATATTTAATAGTCTACTCAACATAACATTTCACTAATCCTCTGTCAGCAAAATAGTTAGAATAAAGTGGAGGTGCGGTTTATAAGACTAGGCGCTCAACTTTCAAACACTGAGTCACGGATCCAAACTCTTTTCCACCTACTGAGTTTCATATAGCCGGATGGCGTTACAAACTCTCACATAATACGTAAGACTCATCGGCATCTGTTTCTGTTGTTTGTCGATAATGGAAAAAGTGATACCTTCTTGAAGAACACTCGACAGGTAATCACTGTTAAGAAAAAGTCCAAAGAGGCAGTAACCAAAGAGTTAAAAATTTCTTATGACAAATGCCACTGAGGACGGCAAATGCAACCACATAAAAAATAAACCAAACAATTAGAAACAATTACCTACCTTTCAATGGCAAAAAACCGAGACGTTCTTCATCTGATACTAATTTGCCTTCTTTATCCACTTGACCTTCAATTTCACAACCACGAACATAATGCAAACCAACTTGTGGAGCAAATGGTTCATTCACATTAAATCTATATAGGTGAGGTAATCAAAGAAAAAGTGTCAGATATGATATGAGTAGTTAAAAAAATATGTCAAAAATCAAAAGATGTATAAGCCAACAATATTGTTCTAGTGATGCTGTTAGGTTTAAATTAGCTAGAAATGGAAAGCATGTTTCGGCTTATTCGGCACTCATCAGAGAAGATACTGTATGATGACGAGACAGTGCCACTGATTGGGTTTCAACATAGGATTTTGCACAGAAGTGCAGCAGTTCGAAAGTTGCTACATTCCATGTACCAGACAAAGACAAAGAAGAGAGAGAACAAAGAGATTTAGAAGAACTATAATTAGCAGAAATGTGAGGGAGAAAGAATAACATGGAATACATGAAGGTTTACCGAGTGTGGAAGATTAAGAAGAGTATATCTATTTGCGCCACTGAGAACAATTTTACGTTGGCCAACATTGCCAGTCGAGATAGGCGATTGCTTGTTATGAGTAATATGTGTCCTAGCTATCTCAGTCAATGCATCTTCACAATCGAATCGACTGGGTTTCCGTCTCTAACTAACAATACGCCTAAATACAATATTACTCATCATATTATACCACTTAACATGGGAGATAGAACGCAAACATATGTAATCAAATACAGTTGGTCACTTCAAATCTTCCACTTTCAATAGCCATGTCTCACGGCGTTAAAGGAGGACAGAACGAACTGCTGCGCCGCCAGACATCACATCGACGCCAGAGATGACGTATTTTGGCAAATGCTACATGAGCCATCTGTATTTGTGCTGGGATTTCGTCAGCAACCAGTCTTTTTAGGGCTGACGCAACTTCCCAAATAGGTGAAATAGTCAACATGTTCTACCACTTCATCATCTTTCAGCTAGGATTCGGGCAGTCTGGTCCTGCAGCATCACCTTACGCTTAACAGTCGTTAAAGTCAGTGAGAGATAACTCCATTGATGACATACAGAAATGAGTAAAATGTAAATCCCTGACTGACACCACTGGTTGTCATTCCTTCAGATTACGACTCTCCATATGCTTTTGCCTAGCTGCGTGAGTTCGAGTAGTGTCTTGAATAGTTAGATAGTGTCAGCACTGGTCTTGGCGGGAGGAATTATGTATTAGCACAAATAACAATGAATACTAATATTAGTTCAGTACCAATATCAAGTTTGTACAAACGAGATACGTTGATATTCAGTTTTTTTTCCTTTCTCTACATGCCATTTGCATTCTTTGAGTTGTGGTTGAAATATAGAGCCATCAAGTTTCAGTAGCGTTGATATTATTTGTCTTAAGGGGATGCGGTTTTCTCGTCTAACCACCCAACCCCCCCTCTTTACCTGGCTTACTACCGACTATGAAAGGTTTGGTTTAGGGGAGCATCCGATAGGAATCGATCTCGAACTAGGTGGGTGGTTGAAAGGCATTGTACCACTAAACAATCAATGCACACTATGTATTTTATATTTCATTTCAATAGTCCTCGTTTCTTCCTCCACAAGCTAAACAAGTTGGGGAAAAGCACTTATTACGTCTCGATAAACACTAAAACATACCATATACTATTACAAGTACTACTACAACAACTGCTACTACTGTGAAGAGATAAAATCAACGGGAAGAGAATGATGAGACAGGTAACCTTAGAAAGGTATTCTATATTCTCAGATCAGTTATATCTCTCCTATTGAAGCCAGCTTGAGATGACTCAAACCAAATGAGAGTTGGTGACAGTATGCTTTACTAACACCAGGATCTAATGATCGAACAGTGAGTTGAAGGTGTAGAAGAAGATTTTAGCACTCAACTGATTTCATTAGGTTTCACAAAACAGATGTAGCAAGAAAAACATCCAGTGTCATACACAGATGCTCTTATTCAGAATTCCCAAAAAGCAGCTTTTTATGTCTTAAATGAAGGAAAGCCTCTGTATGACTTAGTTCATAGATCAGAATGATTGTATCACTAAACATGAGAAACAAGTCCATTAAACATATTTTTATTTAACACAAGAAAGAGAAACGTACTTCCATCCTTTTGGTTGAGTTGGCCTTATTGTAACCAAGAAAACTGGATCATGTCGTCGTAGACCAAGCCATTCTTTACGAATATCTGGACGAAGACCAGCAAGCGCTACACGAACATCAGCACGTACACGTGCTGGATGCTTTGAACCTAGGTCGGGTTTAGCAACTTCAACAATATTGAATGCTTGTATTGGTAATGCCATTCTTGACCAACCATCAAATACTGCTTGACCGAATTCACCTCGCCAGGCTTTCAGGCGGACAATAGCATCTTCAATATCCTGTGAACAGAAAATTTTGCAGCACATGTGATTACATTAAAATAAGTCTCAAAATTCGTCTTATGGTTTGATAAATTGCTGATAAAATCGTAAAACGTTCATCATAAAAGACAGATATCATCGGAAATAATGAAATAATACAGTCAAATGCCTTCTGTTTCAGAGGTTGCCAGTAATAGAAAACGTCATCTGTTTATTACAATCATACTCTTGAGTTCCGAGTGAAACATAGGACTTCAGCAGCACATCGTCTTTTTAGCTGGCTCAATGATTGCCCATAAGCCTTCATCTCTCCCTTACATCGTCTCGTCCATGTAACTCTCAGAAGTCCAACACATCGCTTCCCATATGGGTTCCACTCAGAGATTTGGTGCATGATGTTATTCAACAGTCTCCTTATTGTGTCCAATCTGAAGGACACCCTTCACTGCGACCATCAGGGCAAAGTTAGAGACATTACACAGCATCACCGAGAGGAACTGGGTGAAGTAATACTGGAACTGCGTGAAAGTTATATCGAAGGAAACCTGTGTAGCCATCCGAGGAAGGAAAAAGCGGTAAGACAAGGAATGACTCTCTACGGATACGTCGAAGCTAATAAAAAGAGGAGGGTGGCAGTTTAAGAACTGAAAGTCGAGAGCTTAAGTCAATAAGTTACATATTCACTGAGACAGAAAATGAGGTTCTATCTCTCCTTCCACATAGCTATAGGCATTTATGATGTTGTGTCTATCAAACTTTCTTAATTTGTCTGCATTCACTTCAAGGATGCCACATAATGTCTCCTACTTTCACGAGAAACATGATCCGGATCTTCAAAACTAACGCCAAGTCAGTCAGTGTTTCTATGTGGTTCAGAGACTTGGTGCATCACGAGAAGCGTTTCCAACAGGCTGCTTCGAACTTCCATCAACAGCTGTCTTCATTCCATACTGAAGATCAGATTGCCACAGAGGATAAGAAACAAGGAATTTCGGCAAACGAACCAACTGAGTTTTATTTATTTATTTATTTAAACGCATAAAAAACTTGGTACATTATGGCATCAAGAAGGATGCGCCACACAATAATAATAAAACAACACAGATCAAAAAAAAGAAAGAAGAGAAATAATATATATATAAGTAGAGAACGGATAAAGAACTTCATCTAGAAGGAAGACAGTCATGCTTAACAAGTTCAAACAGTGTTCGTTAACTATCATCGGGAAGGGAAGAAAGAAGGAAATCGCAACACATTCGCCACTGATTACGATTCTTGGCCATATCCGATAACGTTTCGAGCCATCGATTTGAGCTATCTCTCGGACCCCAACCAGGGAGTCGTGACACACCAACCGATGCTAATCTAGCACAAAAATCCTTCATCCCACGACGCCACGTCATGGACTGACCACCTCTCCGCCTTTTCCATCCCGTCCCAGGGCTAGCGAACAGAGACCTGTACGGAAGCCTCTGGGGTGACATTCGGAGCCTATGTCCAAGCCACCGGAGCCTGTGTTTCCAGATGACGACATTCAATGAATAGTAATCTCCACTTTGTTCAAACACACGCCGCCGAACCTCAGAATTACTCACGCGATGATGCCATCGAACACAAGCAATCCTGCGGAGACAGCGGTTATCGAACACGCAGAGTCGCCGCACATCCTCAGCTCGGAGAGGCCAGGTTTCACAGGCGTAGAGCAGGGCAGCCCACACCGAAGCATTGTATACCTGATGTTTGACAGCCAGGCTAACGTCGCGACGGCGCCAGAGGTAGCTCAATTTGATGTATACCACCCTAGCCTTCATTATACGGTTGGAAATCTCATCCGTCACCCCTCCGCCAGCACTCACACAACTACCCAGGTACACAAACTTATCAACAACTTCAAGCGGTTCACTCACAAGAGTGAGTGCAGGTACAGGCTCCTGCCAATCTTGTAATAGTACTTTGCACTTAGACGGCGCAAAGCACATACCATACTTACAGACACTGATCGCCAACTGATTAAGTGCGATTTGGGTAGCCTGCATGCTATCTCACAGTAAGACGATATCGTCTGCATACTCGAGGTCGAAAAGTCTATCTCCAGGTAGCAGATCTACACCACCTTCACGCACATCCTTCAGAGCTGACTCCAGAATGCCACCGATGGCAAAGTTAAGGAGAAATGGAGAGATTGGGCGACCCTGTCTAACCCCACTGTTGGTTGGGAACAGTGATGATAGTTGGTTGTATGCTTTTACTCTACCTGAGGTGTTTCTGTATAGGGCTTTCAAGATGTTAACAAATTTATCAGGTACACCTCTCTCTAACAGACAGTTCTAGAGGACAGTTCTGTCCAACGAATCGAAGGCAGCCCTAATATCAAGAAACACAACGAACGTTGGCCTGCAATACGTGTGGCAGTGTTCCAACAACTGACGAAGGGTGAACACATGATCAATGCATCCACGACCTGAACGAAACCCAGCCTGCTCTTCGCGAATCAACTCTTCACGTATTTTGCACAGCCTGCGAAGCAAGACGGCAGCCAATATTTTAGATGCGACTGGTAACAGACTGATACCCCTACGATTGTCACACGAATTACTTCGATCCTTTTTAAAGATAGGGACGATAATGGCTTCGTTCCACATTGATGGTACACTCTCTGTCTCCCAAACCTTCCCGAACAACCCAGTTAGAGCCATTGTGAGAGTCTCGCCACCATCTTTAAAAAGAACCGGGGGTAAATTGTCTGGGCCGGGCACCTTATGGCTTTTCAATACTTGGAGTTCCTTACGGACCTCTACTTCGGTGGGTGGCTCGGTACTAACCGACCAAGGAGCACTGGGGCTAGTGATAGTAGACACTGAAGCTGGTGGCCAGCTAAACTGCTTCCCGAAGTGCTCTGCCCAGCGTTCCAGGCGTCTTTTCAAGCTGGTAATTGGCGTGCCATCTGCCTCACAAACCGTCTCACTGACACCTTGTTTCTTGCCGCCGGTGGCTCGGATGAGTTGGAACAGCTTCCGACTGTTGCCAGATGCAGCAGCTGACTCCATCTCACACGCACGTTCTGACCACCAGGCTTCGCGGTCCTTAAGTAAATACTGTCTAATCTTTCGCGTGAGTGCCTTTCGCACATTGTTGTATTCGCTGCCAGCCGGAATGGACCGGCGTTCATCCATGAATTGCAAGGAACTCGCAGCAACCCAGTGGTACGTATCGCCTAATAAATATAAAGAAGTAAATGGATATGGATTGGGCAGATAATTGAGTGACATCACACCCTGGGCCCTTGAGTGGAACCCGAATGGGAAAAAAACGAGTTGGGCTTCTGAGGGTGACATGAGGGCAGCATATGAGGAAGAGATGAAAGCTTATGGGCAAACGTGGGGCCAACTAAAAAGACTGCAGAGAACAGAGTGAAGTGGGGAAGTACTACTGAAGCCCTATGTTCCACTAGGAACCCAAGGGAATAATTATGATTATAGCATTTAACCGTATAACAAAATCCATGACTAAATTGGCCATAGTCACACCACACTATTATCCTTTCCGTAGTACAAGAAACTCACTGACATACGGAAAAACTTGTGTGCACACGTTTGAAAACTTGTAATTTTTGACCAAAAACTGATATAAACATACAAATTACAACTAATAATAACTGTCAACTAACCTGCCGAATTTCATACGTTGACTCTAAACGAAACAAGTTGAAATTTCTCAGTAAGTAATCTTGTAAGGTTAGGAATTGTAAACCCAACTTTGGTAGTGCTAAACAATTTTCACCAGAATAATACTCTGTTGGGACATGATTCTCATCCCAGATTAATTCTTCTGTAGGATACAATGATAAACTGTTAATATACTCCAATTCTGATTGACGACGAGCAAAATGATGAATTAAAATCTAGGGAATACAGACAGAGGTAGAAAGAAAAGTAAGTAAATGAAATCTTCCATAAGAGTATATGAAATATTTTGAATTATTTAGAGTAACATTTAGTCAATCAATTGAGATGGCTAGAACACGTGTTGAGCATTTCAAGCCATCATCTTCCTTCGATGAGTAATGTAAGCTGACAGAGGATTAAGTTGGAAAAGTGTAAAGGGGTGTGAAGGGTTAAACCAAAACCTGACGTTAGTTCATGAAGGCTTTGACAATTGGTTCGAGCCGTGTAAAGAGGTGAAGGCTACATGGTCGATGTTCTTGGGGTGATAAAGACCAATGGCTGGAGATTATTGGTGATATAGTTCAAAATCTTTCTCATTGGCGCAGGTGCAATTACTTTCAATGATCTCTCATATCCACTGAACTGACATGTTCTATCCACAGTACCATTCTCCCTCCTTCACATTTCTGGGTAGTATATCCTTTCTGCATCTCCTTTTCTCTTTCTCTTATGTACCTTTTTTGCTACATGAAGTATGGCAACCTGAACTGCTACACTTCTGTGAAAAGCTCCATATTGAAACAGTTTAGTCAATCGCCTTTTGCATGAATCATTTGAACTGTGTATTTCAATTTCTCTAGATTAACTACTACAAACTGGGGTGTTTTACTGAATTTAAGTTGCTGTTTTCGTCGACAGATTCTTTACAATTTTCTGACGGTTGACCATATATAACACACGTCTTCTTTTGAATGGGTAATCCTATTCCCATACACCAATTAAACGGCTAATCTTTTCTTCTACCATCCAATTTAAGGAAGATAGCAGAGGGGGAATCACATGTATCCATAGTGAACCGATCAGCTTCCTCAGTGCAGAAAGTAGTTTAATAGTTGGGAAATTAATACTATTCATATAATAAATATACGTCTTATCAAAAGTAAACAGTCAATAGCACCCCAGTGATCTCTGACCTCGAACAGTGAATTACATGATACCGTTAGCAATAGCTCTGAAGCTATTTAAGATGCATTACACCAATCATACTTCAACTGAATGTGTGAGGATTGATCACCCACGGTAAAAATAAGTGGGATGAGACTCCAGCTCCAGACTGGACAGTTGGTAAGTCGAGTGCTCAAGTCGATAAGGAGTAATCACAATATTACACTAATAGTAGTTAAGCAACAACAGAAGACAACGGCCAGGTAACAAATGATTTACTAAGGAAATCAACACATATTTATATATTTTCATGTACATTATTATAGATTATTGTTAGCGGACAAACACAATCTTCTGATTGGTTGTTTCTCACTGAAAGTTAATCTTTCATCTTTTTGTGGCCCTTTCTCGAATGTCAGATCATCTATCTGCTAATTGTATCCGCCTATGCGGTCTGCTGTGATTGGTTATTGAGTCAGTCTTTGTTCTTCTTCTTTTCTTTACGTAAACACTGACGTAAATTGCTGTTCACCAATTTGGTTAGCAGACAGCTTTCACCACAATTCCAATTCACTCCTTAAGATGTTAGCATGTATTTAGAGCTTGGATATTGTAGTATCACGTAATTCAATGTCAGTTCTGTGATTAGGTACACCATATAATGAGATATTATTTGCTGCATGACGTCACAACCACAATTTTCTCTTCATTTCATCGTACCGAACATTTGATACACCCTAGGGATATTGTCATATAACTGAGTGAGTATAATCTTTGGCAGATAAACCCAATTCGCTGCTTTTATTTATAAGGAAGGAAGTATTCCCATAGAAAATAGATGTGCGTCGGTGGCACAGTGGTTAGGACTCTCACCGACCATGCACATGGTCCGAGGTTCGATTCCCTGCCGACGCACACCTGATACCTATGGTCGGCCTGCAAATTTGGGCTACCGATATCCATGCTGAAAATTCCATACTTGTAACAAAAATACAGTGTGGAATCAAGCTGTAATCAAAAAATAAAAATAAAACGGGGAATTCAGGTATTTTAGGATTATCATAGAATTTGTGATTCAGAAGTGTTCAGTTATGGAGATTGGAAAATCCTGATTCTAAACTGGTGATTTCCATTAGCTTCAGAATTAAAAAGGAAAATGAAGCTGCTAGCATTAATCGATTGCTTTTCAGGTTATACTTCAACTCAGAAGACTAACAAATAGTGCCTTGTTTCGACGCATGCATAGTAACTCAGACTATACATAAAGCACGAAATGACAATTCACAAAATATGTTGACTATAAACAAGCCTTTCTTTAAATGATTTGATAAACCATGCAATATGTTTGACTACCTACCAATTTCCTTTAATATTTGTACAAATTCTGAAAGGGTAATTTTTAAAAAAAGCCCACTAACCTCTATCAACTTACCCGAATTATCATATCTTTATCCATATGCCTAGACTCCAGTTTATCTCTTAAACGTTCTAGGTTTAATTGATTTGTTTCATTGGCGTCATTATCTAGACGAGGTCGTTTTCCAGGCCTTTGTTGTTCATCATTATCATTGTTATTATTGTCATCCTCTTGTGATGTCTTCTCGACATCTTCTTCATTAGTTTCTTTCTTCAATTCAACTAAACCAAAACACGATGCCATATGATAGAGCTGGTCTCTGTTCAAAACAGACAGATGTTTACGCAACAGTTGAGCAGTTTCAATACCAGCAGGATGTGAAACAGCGAACGGAAGAAGTTTATCTTTATGGAATCCAAAAGCTTTCAATTGAAGATCACTCAGTTTTGCACAATGTCTGTAAAAAATAATAATAAATGACAAAAATAGCCATAGCAGTTAGAATATTTTTGCGCTATTCACTCCATCTAAGATCGGTAAGAATGCAGCATAAATGATGGTTCAGTGGTAAAATTCTCGCCAACCACACATGTCATCTGGCTTCGTTTCTTGGCTAAAACACTCTTGAACCCCCTTAGCCGGTATTTGTCCCGGAAACAACGGAAGGTTAGGCGAAGGTAGGCAAACAACCCTACCCTGTAAAATAAAAAAACCACTGCTGAGATTACACAGATCATGATTGATGCCCCAAGTTCCAGTCAGAAAACAGAGGAATGGAAAGAAATAAACACGATCTGTCCAATATTTGATAAATACTAAAATATATTAACAGCTGCGTGTGTTATAAAAGTCGAAAGATGCATGTGTGTCATTCCTTATTCACTACAGTTGTTTTAATAATAAAACTTGAAGTTCACAGACGAATCCTCCTTTGAAAAGAGACAGAACAAACATTGGCGCCGAATAATATGGTTCCATTTTATTTCATCATTTCTCTTTAGATGCATACGACATGAGTTTTTCTATAAAAACCAGTTATCGTGCAATTTAAACAAACATTTAGTTTATTATCATGAATCAGTCTCTCAGTATGGATTATTGTCATAAAGTCACAGTGAAACAAAACATTAAGGTGATAAAGTTATCTTATTATTATTATTGTTCTCTTGAGTCCCTGGTGGAACATAGGGCTTCAGCTGCATGTCTCCACTTTCTTCTGTCTTCCTTCTGCTGTACTTTTCACCTGCATCCATATTAGTCCATACTGTTTCAACTCCTCTTTACACGATCTCCTCAGTGTCACCCTTGGACGTCCCACTCGCCACTTCCCTTTCGGATTCCACTCGAGGGCCTGATGAGGTTATCTTACACCATTAATATATATATATATATATATATATATATATATATATATATATATATATATATGAGCGAAGTTTCGCGTAAAAAATAAACAATTTTGTTGCTAGGGTGGTAATAAGTTATGATCAGACAACATAAAATGCAGTGATTAAAACTCATACGATTAAAAAAACAAAATTTGGTGCGTACTAAGTCAAATGAAAGTCTTATATTAAATAGATCGAATAGCTTCAACTCGTTAATTACCACACACCTGATAGTCACAGAACACCAAGTGTACGCGTCAGGAGTATTCGAAATAATTAACAAACAAAAGAGCTCGAGACCTATGTCTGTCTGTTTTCGACATAGAACTTTGCACCGATGTGCGGCAGTTCAAGTCGCCACACTCCATGTAGCACACATAGCAAGAGAAGAAAGTAGAAGCAACGCATAATAGAGATAGTAGACAGAGGTGTGAGACGAAGGAATAGTAATAACGAAGAACAATATGGTTTCATTGGAAATCATAAGTCACAGGGAGTGGATGCATCTGCGTGCCAACCATGGAGACCGATTTTGAGCAATATCACCAATTGTCTCTAGCAATCGGTTTTTATCGTACCGAGGACCCCAACCAGTCAGGAAGTTTACAGCTTCCTACGTGGCTTAAACTAACTGTTGTGGATTTCACTGACTGATGAGGCCATGTTTTGGTTTGACCACCATGTGCTAGCTGTTTTCCAGCCTGACCCTATATCAGCTAAGATTACCCGTCGACAAAGGCGATGGCTTGGCATACGTGACACATGTCCATCTTGGGTTTTCTGAAGCTAAAGCAATATAATGACTGAAACCTAACCTATGTATTCATCAAAAGGAATCCATTGTGGGATTTCAATTATCCTGGTAACTCTCCTCTCGTAGTAGTTCTTTGTCTTTAGATTTCATCATTTTGTTTCGATCGCTATTCTTCATTTCTCGCTTGACTTTTATAACAAACCCACATAGACTGCATCATCATCTTTTCATTCGACTTCTTACGTATCAAATTCCGATTTTTTGATTTGACACTAATAACTAGTGTGATGTGTCTAGTCCTCTCATTGGTGCAGACTGAATTCCATCAGTCAGGTTGTAATGTGGCCACCATTCTAGGTAGCTCGCAATCACGGTGCACATTGATTTGGTGGTGGCAGACGATATAGTCCTTCTAGGCGAAGACGCTGACGAAATGCAGATCCTTCTAAACACCTTGAGCCGCAATCTACGAATGTTTGGCATGCGATTCGCTCCCGCCAAATGCAAGATGATGTTACAGGACTGGACTACATCGACGCCTAGTTTAAAAATAGGAAGTGAAGTGGTAGAGCACGTTGACCGCTTCACTTATTTGGGAAGTACCATCAGCCAGTGCCAACGGGTTGATCTCTGACGAAATCTTAGCACGAATACAGGGGGCTCGTTTCGCATTTGCCAGTTTACACCGACTCTGGCGTAGACGAGATGTTCGACTATCGACCAAAGGGCGGGTGTACTGCTCATCAGTCTGCTCCGTCCTCCTTTATGGTTGTGAGACCTGGCCACTGAGAGTGGAAGACATGAAAAGACTAGCTGTCTTTGATCATAGGTGCTTGCGCTCTATTTCCCGTGTAAAATGGCATAAGAAGGTGAGCAACATTGAGGTTAGGCGTAGCGTTCTAGGTAAACAGGGGAAATCAATCGACGAAGTCGTGAAGCTACAAAGACTGAGATGGTTAGGACATGTGTTACGTATGCCAAGCCATCGCCTCCCTCGACGAGCAATGTTAGCGGATATAGGGTCAGGCTGGAAAAAAGCTATCGGCGTTCAAACAAAAACTTGGCTACAGTCAATGAAATCCACAACAGTTGGTCTAAGCCACGTAGAAAGGTGTAGACTTCCAGGCTGGGGTCCTCGGGACGGTAAAAATCTATGGTTGGAAACAATTGGTGACATGGCTCAAAATCGTTCTCCATGGTTGGCACGCAGATGCATCCACTCCCTGTGACTTATGATTTCCAATGAAACCATATTGTTCTTCGTTATTACTATTCCTTCGTCTCACACCTCTGTCTACTATCTCTATTATGCGTTGCTTCTACTTTCTTCTCTTGCTATGTGTGCTACATGGAGTGTGGCGACTTGAACTGCCGCACATCGGTGCAAAGTTCTGTGTCGAAAACAGGCAGACAGACAGATTAGACGGTTGGAGGCAATCGGCAGGAAGCGAGCTACCTGGAACGGTGGCCACATTACAACCTGACTGAAAGAATTCAGTCTGCACCAATTAGAAGACTAGACACATCACACTAGTTACTAGTGCCCAATCAAAATATCCACTACAGTCCTACAGGAAGTCAATCGCGAGCTCGAATAGCTGTGGTAACGTCTCTGATGCAGCACTGGGTGTCATGAGTTCGAACCTCAGAAGGGACATGAGTTCCTTCAAGGTCGCAGAGACGGCTCGCTGAGTGATGAGTGCCAACTAGCACGAAATCTAGGTTGAAGGCTTCCTGTCGAATGCCTCCAGCCATCCAAATATCAAGAATTACTCCACGCCTAATCCTTAACCCTGAAGTAGAAACAAAATAGTCATACAGCACATAAACTCTACGACAATACATACCTCTACTGAAGCACAAAAATAACGGTACACTTACTTTTTGTCCATTTCTGATTCATCCAATGGTTCACCAGTACTTTCATCAATATGAAAATGTGCATAGAATGCCAACAAGTCGACTAATTCTGAGAAGAGTTTTCCATCAGGACGTTTGATAAGAGCAGATCTTTGACAATAGACAACAACATGTCTATCATCAAGAACAACATTGAGAATTCGACGTGTAAGCAGCATACTTTCCAAATCGATGAGTAATAAAATGAAACGTTCCAAATAGTGAATCAATAATGGTTCTATAGGCTTGAAAAGTGAAGTCAAATATCAAACAATAGATAGTAGAGAGGATAGACAATAATGGGAAGCAAATTAGAATATATAGTTGAGTACATTACGATAAAATTGTGTTCAATATTACGTAGATGTGCGAAGTCAGTATGAAATCATAAGCCTGGTTTATGGATTCTTTACTCAAGAATGCTGGTGTGAAATTATACCTGAGTAACATCACAACCGTAAAAACCAAATAAGTTAACTACTGATTAGCCTGGATACCTCACTGATAAAGAATGATATGTATTAACAACTATACGCAAGATTGTACACTAGGCAGTGAAATATGCTAACAAGGCTAATAGTCAACAAAATGTCTGTCTGTTCTTGACATAGAACTTTGCACATATGTGCAGCAATTCAAGTCGTCACACTCCATGTAGCACACAAGGCAAGAAAAGTAGAAGAAATGCATAACAGAGACAGCAAACAGGTGTGAGACAAAGGAATAGTAACAACTAAGAACACTATAGTTTCATTCGAAATCATAAGTCACAAAGAGCAGATGCATCTGCGCCATTGAGAACATAACGGTAAGATACAAAATAATTCAAACAAGAGTAGTGAAAATGTTAAATGAAAATCTTAAAGATAATAAAATTAATAAATCTGCTCCGTGATAAACAATTTGAAATCATTTTACCAAGCCTTCATCCATTGATTCTAAGTACCTTAAGAACTCCAGCCATATAACGAGTCTAAGATTAACAACTTGGTACTTGACGATTTCGTACCTGCTTTTTTCTGAGTGTACCTAATCTGTTCCCACATAAGCCTACTTCAAATAACATTTTTCATTTAAGAAAGTGGTCACTTTTCAAGTATAACACATTTCCTATCCATAACTGATACCTCCGCCAAGACAAAAATCCCATTAATGAAAATAGAAATTCGAAAACAATTACTTTGAAATCAAAATTCATTCAGTATATCACTATACAATGATTTCGTGGTATAATCCGCTGCTATAGCATTAGTCTGTATACTTAAATTTCGTCACTTCACTGACTTATTTACCGCTAATATGTAAAAATAAATTCTTAAAAAATTAGGCAAAGTAAATACTAGGTAATGAAAAGTGTTAACAAACCTTATTTTCATCTTTCTCAGGTATAGAATTCAATAAAGTTAGAAATACATCCAAAATTCTTGGGATAAATGAATGCTGAAAAATCATTTTATCTCTTTCTTCAGCTGTCACCTTGGTCTCACGATACTTTTGCAACTTCTTCAGTAGTCGAGCATATCGTGGATGAGATTTCAATTCAACACTTAACCGACTTGGTTGAAGATGATCCTGCCATATAGCTAGACTGTATAATTCACGAAGACTACGTCTTAGGACACCAACTTCAGCTAAGTTTGTAAAACAATGTGATAAGAAAATGATAAGAACTATATGTTCCAGAATGCATTTCTTCTGTTGTACTGGATTTAGTGATTTTTCAGTGTTCTGTTGCTGTTCATTCTTAACGCCATTATCATTAGAAGAATTTGGATCTATATCATCACTGAGAAATGGGTTGGCAGCCAGTATATTTGAAGATTCATCAACCAAGATATGCAGTACACGTTGAATAAGTCCACTAAATTTATCTGCCGACTCTACGAAAGTCTATAATATCGATGAAAAAAGAAAAATAATGGTCATTATAGGATAACCAAAAGCTAAGGCATTACGTGTATACTAGTACCACAGAGTAAACACACATATACGAGACCACGAACCGTATAACAAAAGCAATCAAAACTACATGTATCGCATGGCAAGATAGTGTTACTTATTTGAGGTCGGTATTCATGGCTTCTACCGAAATCAGAAACAGCTCAACAACCAAGAACGTAATTAAAGAGACAGTTTTCATATCACAGCTTTCTAGCACATAAATTCAGATTTTATAGCGGCGAGTGACGGATTCGAGTTTCACTGAGGGAACTACTCTTTGAAACCGTTCGCAGTTAGAACAGTCTACAAGTCCTGGGGAAGACAATACACATAAGGTGGATTTCACTACTAGCCATTACTATGGAAACAGAAATAACTCATTCCATTATATGACGTATTTACAATACTGGAAGATAACCGCAAAAAAGATATGGACTACACATTCATCAACAGCTTCACTCATCGCTGACTTCACTACTTAGCAAAAGAATGCATACTTCCAATGTGGTACATTCCAAAACTATTGTGATTAGATCATTCAGAAATGCAGCAAACTGGATACGCTACTTCGGAAACACTTATACAATGTAGAAGTAATAACTTCTGACTAAATTTATCTAGGTAGGCTAATGACTCCATTAAACCCGTTTGATGGGTGTTGAAAGTATTGCGAACTGACTTATTGACTGGTTTTATTACATCAGAAGGCAATAGGTACGCTTTTAGTTAACAAACCAGTTGTCAACAATTTGTTTTTCGACTGCTAAGGAATCACATAAGCGTCCAACACACGTCTATGAACGCTTGTAATGCAACAATGCATTTAGCGGTTGGACAATGAATTCAGCTGAAATCTGCTGGTTGCACCCACAATTATTCAGAGCTTAAATAAAATAAGATTAGCAAGAAAGGAGACCTAGTGATTGCTTAACAATAACGCTACGTCGAGAATTGAAAGAAGTTAGAGTTCATGGGCTACTCAGTTCCGACCCAGAAGTTGAATGGTCAACCTGCTCGCTTCATGACCTGAAGGTAATGAGTTTCACTTCTGCTGGAGTCACGGGTGCACATTGCTAAAGAGTCAGCAGCTAGGAAGAGACATAGCTAGTGTTGTCTGGTTTGCAATGATTCTCGAAGTGGCGTTAGTTCATGACCAAATATACAATAAAACCAGAAAAATACCCTGAGAACAACTTAGGACCTTTTCTAGGCATAGTGAAAAAGTGCTTGTATAATGACTAATTACAGCTGCAAAGAATGATAGAGGAAATAACACCATAAAACAATAACTGAAAGCTACTTTAATGTATTTGACATAATAACCCCCAAAGAAAGTCAAAAGTTAATGAACCTGTGCCACGAATAATGGCTACTCGATAACCATAAAAATTCTACTAAAATGCCAGCAAAAGTGTCTTCATAAGACTTTCAATTGCTTTTCAATTAAATCCGAATTGACGTAAATATTTCACTTCTCTAATGACAGTCCAACTGATAATACTTACTTACTTTACTTCGGCTATCTCCTACGGGAGGATGAGCCGGCTTCATGAACGTCTCGAATCATCGCTGCCCAGGCGCGGCAATTTGTAAGAGAGTTCATGTAGTTTCATGGGAATTTGGTACGAGTGATGTCCCCAGCGTCGCTCGGCCTTTTGTTTGAGAGTGCAGCTCTAGCCTTTACACAGCCAAGTGTGACCTACAAGGCAGTAGGAGTGGAGTAAGGAGTCCACTATCCATTGGCAGCCGGTGACCGGAGTTCGGTTCATTCGCCTTTTTGAATGGGGCCAGACATCCAGGACATCCAACAAGCCCTTTGTCCATACGTCTGCCGGTGAGCTCCAGTAAGCTTCATACGCCAGTCGTTGGAGGTTTGGAATCAGGGTTTAGCCATCTCCCCTAGACTGTCATCCAATGGACAGTCAACCCGGTGAGGAGCGCCGGGCATCCGCTTATGCATACTGAAAACGATCTTTAAATAAACTGTCAACAGGGATATTTCACCAGCAAGATTTTTGATATGGGGTTATCAAATGCAGTTGACCTTAATTTTATTTCATCCTTGGTTACTTTAGATAAGCCTCCAAGGTAGTGAAGTGACTCAGCACTACAATCACTTTGATCATAAGTAAAAAGCTGGCTACCAGTCGATGTAAAAGTTTAAGAAATACTTGAATAAATGGCACTGTTTTCCCAAGAAAATTGGACATGACCAACAGCGTAAGATGTATAACTTCATTGCTTAATTGCTGAAAACTTTGCTACTTTCTTCGAATAGCCTATATTTGCTGTTTGATAGGCCAAAAATATGCGGGTGGACAAATAAGATACATGAAAAGTCTAGTGAAAGGATTGCACAACTAACCGGCCATATTGGGACACGTCCACGAGCTTTTTCATTGACCATTGCACATATTGATAATACGTGCGCACGACTGCTTTTGTCTGCATCGAAGTGTGGCCAAAGCCATTGTTCTAGATACTGATTCAGTTCAAGAGCCAAACATCTACGATGTGAAAATCCGGAAGATAATAATTCCTCGCGGTAAATTTTCTCCGTAATTTTTGGCTGGAAAGGTCCGCATGCATCTTTACCTGTTGTAGGCGCTGAAGACTGACTAGATTTTACTGATTGTTGACTTGTAAGCCAATAAGTACGGGCAAGCTGGCTGATTCGATCCTGAGACACATAGTCTACTGAATCACGAGCTGACATCTACAACGTAGAACAAAAATCTAAATGAATTTTATAACCACAGATAAGATGGATCAACTTACATACAACCTATATGACTGGCATAAACACAAGAGAGGAATCCCACCTTTTGTACAGGGATGTAATTTTGCTCGATATTCCACGAACTGTGACCTATTCTAAGGTAAATATTGTCTGAAATCCTTATCTATGAAGTTTCTTTTTTCTAAATACCATGTGACAAGTTTTATTCTTTTTCTGACTGACTTTGGACAGCTTCGTATGTTGCTTTAAAAACCAAATCCTCAGGAAATATCTACTGCTATGGGTTTGAAAAGATTTACAGCAGTTAATGATGACGGAAAGCCATTTTGTTTGCAACTTTATTACGATTAATGCTCAAGGTCGATGTTAAGTGTCCTAACAAGGCGGTAATATATCAACGAGCGATGTCATTTCTAAAAAGTGACTTCGGTGGTCTTAACACTTTCTAAGCCAGTGCACGGTAATGTTCCTTCCTATGCTGATAGTATCCGGACTTTTCCAGCAGCTCTGATTATATTTACAAACCCCTTCTGATACTAATCCCTGGAAATATTTTGAGGAAATATAGCGGTGATCAGTGCAAGACCAAACCTGTAAATACATATTTACAGGAACCTAATTCATATGCATTAGATCCCGAATAGGAACTCTACACATTAACAAAAAGTGAACACGCACTACGGTTTCTAATATTTAAAAAACGGTATTAAATAGCAAAATAATAGTAAATACCAAAATTTCCTTGTAATGTTCACAAGCATGAAAGTAGCGTACCTCTTAATATTTGATCGACCTTCACTTCTAATGTCCAATATTGCTTTCACAATCTAATCCAATAACGTTTTTACGAGCTAGTGTAAACCAATTTAATTTCTTTGTGATCGCTTCTTGATTGTAAGGTATACGTTCCTGATCTTCGGTAAACTTCTGCGTAGCGTGTAAAAAAAATAAAAATAAATAGCTCGTCCCGCCACTCGACTGTCGTAGCTTTGGTTGACTCCAAAGGGAGTAGCGCTGGGATTATTTATATGTGGTTTGTAGTATGAGGTGTGTCAAGACTGTTACTGCTGTGAATGTAGTTGATCCTTTCGGCAGTTAGTCCTCCGGTATCGTCGACAAGAGAAAGGAGATAGTAATAACAATAATAGATATAATTAGTGAAGTTATTCAGACTAACAGGCAGAAAAGGAAATAGGAAAGTGTAACAACAGTCAGCGGAATAAACTTGAAGAATAATGTATATATATATACATCGGTAATAATAATAAGTGCAGTTAAAGTTGTCAGGACGGGAGAAAATGTAAAGAAGTACAACGACGAGTTTAGTTGTCTACCCCTGAACGGTGCATGCGATTTTAAGGGGATAGGCCATTTGGATGCAGTCCCTGTGTCGCTGCATGGTTGTCCAGCCTTCGCTTAAAGGCGTCCAAAGACGGTGCAATAGCTACATCTGCCGTTAAGGAATTCCAGGGACGGCAAACCCGCAGTGAAAAGAAGTTGGAGCGCACCCGGGTCCTTGCCTTCTGGTGAGCTATCCTTCTGGGATTTCCACGAGGGAGCCTATACCTACTCAATGCCAGAACACCTTTGTTTGGGTGATTCTGGTCATTTGTTACTTTGTAGGCATTGATTAAATCCCCTCTAAGACGTCGGTAGCTAAGTGTGAACAGGCCTAATTTCTTCAGCCTTTCATTATATGGTTTGTTTCGGAGACCAACCACTCCTTTTGTTGCCCACCGTTGGACTCTTTCCAATAGGTTGGCGTCTCTTCTCAGCATTAGGGGTGCAATAATATTATGCACCTCAAGGTGTGGCCTGACGTATGTTTTGTACAACATTAGAAAGAGCTCAGGAGTGAGTGCACCTAACTGTCTATGTGTAAAGTGTATGACCGCATATGCCCTCGCTACATCCCCTGTGTAATTTACGCTTGTGTCCATTTTTCCGTTAGAACTAGACCTAAGTCGCGTTCCGACGTTGTGCAGGACAAGCTTTCATTGCACAGGGTGTAACTTGCATTCTGCAGTCTACAGGTGCGCAACTTCACTACTTTGCACATTTTCAGGTTGAAAGTCATGCCACTGGCCACCGCCCAGTCTTCCAGAAGGTTTAGGTCTTCCTGTACCCTATCGGAGTCCTCCGGACACTTTATCGCCCTTCATATCTTTACGTCGTCATCGTATAGAGGAGTCGGGAAGCTTAGACGGCGTGGTAGACCATTGATAAAAATCAAAAACGCCAGTGGTCCTAGGATAGAACCCTGCGACACTCCTGATGACGATCTGTGCCAAGATGATCGGACTCGGTTAACTTTAGTGCAAAATTGCCTGTCGGCTAGGTAGTCCTTCAACCATGAGAGAAGTGGCTCACCTATACCTGCCTGGCTTATTTTATGTAGGAGAAGGTCATGGTGAACAGTGTCAAATGCCTTCTCAAAGTCTAGGAAGACCACATGGACTGGTACGTTCATATCCCAGCATGATGTCCAGTCGTCCCAAGCTGACAGTAGGTTAGTGACGCAGGATCTGCCTTTTCTGAAACCATGTTGGGCTTCATGGAGTATATTAGTCCTATCGAAATATTCCCTGATGTGGTCGTCAATAATACTTTCCAGTACTTTTGATACCACTGGGAGTAGAGCTACTGGTCTATGACTAGTGGCGTTTTGCCTGTCCCCACCTTTGAAGATTGGAGAAAGGATGGCTCTTTTCCACTCCCTTGGCAGTGTCTCCGAATCCATTGAGTGTTGGAACAAGTCGCACAGGGGTCTACAGAGAGCTTCGGCGCACTGTTTCAGAAAAGATGGCCTGATGTCATCACAACCTGGGGACTTCCCAGGTGTGAGTCGCTGTAGCTTCCTTAGTACTATTGCGGGGTTTATTTGAGGAGTAGTCGCTAGGTCTTCCTCCTGTGAAATAGTGGTGCCACCATTTTGGTCCGTAACTGTAATATCCACATTGCTGTTTAGCTGTTTGGCGAAGGCTGAACTGAATGTTTCAGACATCTCCAGACTAGTGAGATATTGACCGTTTGGGCCTACTAAGGCGCATGCCCCTTGGTTTGTCGGTTTTCTGACATGAATCGGTACAAGTTTTTGGGGTTTGATAGGAGTTTTTTAGGCAAGGTTAGCCTGGAATGACCTCATGTCCCTCCTGACTCTTGCATTACACCGGTTCCTGAGTTCGAGGTATGCATCGTGGTCGGTCTGACTCTTAGATACACGCCACATAAACTAAGCCTTCCGCTTTGTTTGCAGAATACGTTGCGTGCCTCTCTTCAACCATGACGTCTTTCTCTTGGGCTGTGTTGTGACTAAGGGGACGGTATCCGAGATTGCTATAGGAGTAATCTTTTTTACCCCTTCCCAGTGTTCATCCACAGATAGGCGGTCCCATGCTAAGGGCCAGTCTGCGTCGGACAAGAGCCTCCGCATTTCAGCATAGTCAGCTTTGCTGTAACACAGATATGGGCGCGTAACATCCCACTGCAAACGCTCACGGAGAACAAGATCAAAACCTATGACTGCATGGTCACTGCTTCCTAGAGGAGTCATGATCTGGACATTTTAGACGAGTAGTTGGTCACTAGTTCGAATACACTCTAGTTTTGATGACTTTCCGCTAGGGCCCCACCTAGTAAGCCTGTGTTAACTAAATCAATTTCTTTGTGCTGGTTTTTTGGCCGCAAGATAAAGGTTCGTGGTTCTGATTAAACGAATGCCCATCCTGGATTCCGCTGCTAGCCACCATCCACCAATTGCATACAAACTTATACATAGTTTGTTCTGCTTAGCAAGCGTCAAAGCTTATGCAGACTCAAAAGAGGTGGTGTGAGGATTGGTTATTTGTTGTTTGTGTCATGCGGTGTCTTACGGTTGTGACACTTCTGTGAATGCAAGCGCTATTTGTCCGATATAGAGGAAAGGAGAGGTAATAATAGTAATGACAGCAGATATAATTAGAGTGGGTTACGTAGACTTAAAATTAGAAACTACAGACAAATGGAAAATGAAGTTTGATAATTACAAAGTAAACAAAATAAAAAGGATTAAAACAACAACAAAAATGAATGAATAGGTGCATCGGTCAGTAAAGGGTCCTTGGATTGAGGGACACCAGTTTGAAAGCATCCCGAATTCGTCAAATAGCACTTACGTGCAGTAAGCATACTTACAATTATTCCGTTGCACAAGATACATGGAAGGTTATGGAATAGTAAAGGTAAGATTATTTTAAATAGGTAGAAGCGACTTACACGCTGTAATCCTAGGCATCTACCACAGGGCGCGTAATGGTTGAGGATTATGTTACCAATGGAAACTACGGTAAAATATTCATAAAAAGGCGAAACCTCCTTTTTAAAAGTCACTTGGTGGACCGATAACATTGTCTGCAGTAGTATTATCTGCAGGGGGCTCAACACATTAGTGGGTGTCCAGTTAAACTTATGAAGAAGTACTGTTACAATGACAACGATCAGCTACAGCTGATTCGTTTATTTCATACACAGTAAGGAACCAGATTAATCGCTGATTAATCCGCACTGAATGACAAATGAAACATGAAGGATGTTAAAATTGCCATCATATTCGTCATTAAGTTTTGATTTACATTTACATGATCTTGGTATAGGAACCTTGGATACAAGTGCCATGCTTTCGGTGGGGAACCAGCGGATTACTGTACATTCTTTTTCTAAGGTCAAAGGGGTGTTATTCACTCTGTAAGGAAAAAGACTGTGAGGCTGCTAAAGAATGTTTCACATATGCATCACCAACTGATTGTCACAGTGTGCAATGTGTTGGAGCAACTGTATGGGTGAAAAAGAGTGTGGTGGCACTGCTACACGATTTCATGGGGGGTTAAAAATAGGACACAGTGATGACAAAACACTATGAAAGTTATTTATGACTTAATCCAAAGTCTTTTGTAGCTAACTTGTTTTGTCGTAAGTAGTTGTTCACTTTGAGGTCGCATTTCATTATTTTACTGGCGTTTCTCACCTTCCGTCGTCGTAAACTGTTCTTGACTTGTTACCTGAGATAACCTTGTCGCGTCATCTACACTCCAAAGAGATGTTTGATGTCCCGTCCGGAACACTTGTACTACATTATCAATTTGAATAGAACATTCCCTCTGAATCACAAAGAAAGTGTTTCACCACCAACACGGGAAATGTTTACCGTATTGTTAAAATACTTCTCGCTGTGGATAATTCGTAGTTTCGTAACACAATGAGTAATGTGACAGCCATCATATTTTTATGGAGTAAAAACAGGTCAGTATAAACGTTGAATTATATAGCCGTCACCAAGGTCGTTCTCAAGGTTGAGTGTCATTCTATACTTTGTTTCCTTTTCTGCTGATAGTTTCAGTCACCTACTGACGACCATTGTTTAGGCTAACGCTGTTTTTCGAGTTCTCAGAAGCCATATTGGGGAGAATTGAACTTCTCCAGAAATTTTAAATTGGATTAAAACATAGGTAGAGATAATATAACATATAAAATACAATTACAGAGGGTAAACATGAAGGAGCTATTTCGTCCTTCAGTTTATAACGTAGGTTTGCTATGTACAATGCTAAACAAATTGGTCTAATTATTGAAACTCAGTTTATAGACCTAATCTTCTACGTATCATTTTTGCAGGTCCTTTTTGTATTTCTCTCACCGTACTTATGACACTTTAAATCCTCTTGGTCGTTCACTGTTTAATTTTTCAATGACATAGTTACTTGTCAAGGTGATTTTAAACTTATCAATATACAAGCGCTGTCAACCTTTTTTGGGCTGTTGTATTGAGACGGTAAAAGCTGTCTTACCAACATCCAGTCATTTCCTCCGCCTTTGAGTGTGGTGGCATTATTGTTATTGTCGCTGTGGACGAGCGATTAGGACAGATTACCCAGAACATTCAGTTAGTGTTCGCCCATAGTCTACTAGGTCTTAGTTCCAGTAGTAACAAAAGTATGTTCTGAAGCAAAATATAGCTTTCTTGCAACAAAATGTTAGTTTCGACTAAATACGTTTTGCCCCAGCACAACCAAACGTTAAGGAAGCACAGATGTCAATGTAGTTGAGGATTGAACGATCAATTCATAGTTGTTTGCTCAAACCCAACTCCTCCATAATTTTCGCAGGAGTCATCAATCCAGCAGTCATCGTCTCATCGTTCACTGTTCAGTGGAAGATAAAAAACTATTAGAAGTATTATCGTGATTTATTGGTATAAAATTTATTCTTAGACCTTGTGTAATAAACTTATTATTGGTTACATATTGGCGAAAGAATAAAGGATTCTTGAGTCGTGTATCTGTTTTCTGGTTTTTCGCGTTGGTTAATACAAAGTGTTTCTAAAAGTCTTCCAGGGACAGGGTGAGGTCCGGCGTAGTAAGAGCTGGACATTAACTATTTCCGAGATTTGGCTGACAACGGAATAGAAATGAATAAATAAGTTTTAGCTTCTTCAATAGATTAGAGAGTTAAGGTGTGTTAGTATAAATAGTTCTCATGTAAAAATATTGAGAAGTAGTTTATTCAGGAACAGCTCCGAAGATCCTAAAAAGTAGAACATGTAGGACAGACTGACCCGTAACGCGTCGCACGCATCTGTGTAGGGCCCTCAGGATCACAAGTTGATGAAAAACCGACAGAATTCATAGGTGTTTTAGGCAGAAGCTGAGCTCATTGAACATGTCACTGAATATAGGAATGAAGAGTGCTATGAAAGACAAAATACAACTGCATGTCAAATTGTAAAATGAAGCAGAACATGAGGCAGATTAAAGAAACCTCAAACCATTATACCAGATAACCAGTTTTCTCTTCAAAAATGGTCAATGTAGGCGAAACCTATAGAAGACGTTCAAAGGAATTTAATTACCAAGTAGGAGGGACAGAAAGAGCAATCGGCAGACCACTTCAAGGTACTCTTGAATCGACCATTGCCCTCAAATCACCCAGAAATATCATCAATCATAGCACGCACAGAACTGCCAGCGGAAATTGATTCTCTAACAAAATCAGAAATACTAAATGCAGTCAGGTTACTGAATGGAGCGCTGGAAGGTAGCAGAACCAGACGGACCCAGAGATCTCAGCACGCGTGTTCCACGACTGGGCTAGATTCAGTTAAAGCAGACCGTGCGCTGATCGCATATTAAATCTGCGCGGTACTGTCGAACAGAACACAATGTCAATAAAATCTAGCTAGGTAACTATCTTTTTTGACCCCGAGGCTGACTGGCGTACGCACCGACATAATGATCTGATTAGGCAGTTTCTGACTGATGGGTGTTGGAGCATCTTCAGAGTCATATAATCAACCAGATGTTGATTACCTTTTCACCGTGAGCAGATAAAAGGGGGGGTGATAGTGTTCTTAAAAACTACTACATGGATGTTTGTGGCTTTCAACTTTTCGTGTCACCCCTTTTCCTCTGCTGTTAAGCCTTTGAACTTTCATTGTTTAATTATTTTTTATTATTTTGATTACAGCTTGATTCCAAACTGTATTTTTGGAACAGGTATGGAATTTTCAGCATGTGATATCGGTAGCCCAAATTTATGGGGCCGACCATAGATGTCAGGTGTGCGTCGGCACAGGGTCGAACCTCGAACCAAGCGCATGGTCGGCGAGAGTCCTAACTGCTGTACCACCGACTTTCAATTAAATTTCGTTGCTTATTTTATCACTTTCATTTAATTGTAAAACTATTATAAGGGCGAGGTTCAACTCCAAGCACCAATAACTGCCAGTAAGCGAATGGTCCTGAACTCACTAATCACATGAAAACGGGTATTTTAAATTAAAAATACACATATCTATGATAATAATGTATATGAAAGGCATTAAAATTTTGCGCAGAGTACTATTCTCTGATGTGAAAAAAATGACTCCCAGTTTGCCATGGGAGTATCAGTAGCGGAGTTGAACTGTGATCTATGCGTGAATTTGTCTAACTTGCTGAAAACAACACCCTTTTGTGCTTCGTGAATAACTCTAGCAGTGTTATTCAATCTTCCTTACAACCCTCCTATAGAATTGGTATGAGTCTCTGTAATGGGATCTTTAGTATGATTTACTCTCTGGTTATATAACCCAGGGATGACAGTCAGTTATAAAAACCCCACTCATCTGTGTACTATGGATCCTGATTTCATAAATCCATTGTTAGTGGATATGAGTTTCTGTCTGATACACTTTCGACAAATTCTTTCCGTAAATCGGTATCGTACATTCCAGTCACTCAAACACTGATTGCTTTTTCGCAACCACGGTTATAATTCCTGCTAATTAAGACTGTTTAATCCATATAGAAAATCACACCTCTTCTCAAGAAAGAAGTAACTCCTAAACCTTCCAAGATGTAAAATCTCTGTAGTGCTGGTACCACTAAACGGTTGAAACGGGACTATCCTCCATTTCAGCATCTGTAGCCCTCACAGAGCGTTTTAATACCTAGTAATTACAAAATTCAAAATCTGCATCAGTAAAAATTGGACCCAATAAAACATGTTCCTACGATATTATATAATTATCAGCATACCTGGACAGACACTAACTTGTCTCAGACAAATTTCAAAACGTTGAACGTGCCTATCGACCGATCTACTGATGATTTTCATACTACACCACATCACTACATCAAGGCAATACTAGAATTATCGGTATATATAATATTTTTTGAACTAGGTTGAGCGTGTACATTGAAGATTCAATGGTAAGCGGAAATTTCAAATATATTTTGTGTTTTCGCTAGGTCTATTTTCGAGGTAAGCTCTCGTCTTTGTTTCTGATGATTGGTCACATCTTTTTATTAATGTTCAGTGGTTGTCTTTGCATTTCCTTTTATTTTCATAAGTATAATTAGAGACCACTGCTGCGAGCAATCAAGAAAACTGTAGTTGTCTATATGTATAAACAAATATATATGCAATTCAGATAATATCTAAGTGTGAAAAAGGTGAAGAAACGTAGACAAAAATTATGGTCAAGATTGGATGCATATCTTTTTGAAATTCTACAGGAGTTATTTACCGACTCGACTGGATATATAGTAAATTCTATGAATTTCACACTTGAGAATTTTTGGTTGTGTATAGAAGGCTTATAGCATGTGTGAATCCTTTTTAAGTAAATTTTTGTGCTTCTCCAAACTCTTTTTGAATAAATCAATTTAGGTTGCAGACACAACTTCTTCTGGGAGTCGGTCTCAGGAGTTTATGACTCGGTGTGAGAACCAGTACTCAACAGCAATATGATTTCTTCTTGGTTTTTGAACTCTCCTCCTATGTCATGTAAGGTGTTTCCACCTGGTGGGAAGGAAAAGAGGGAATAGATCAGGTCTGTAGCCCTTATATAGAAGTTTAAACATTGTAATTAAATCTCCTCTGTGTCTATGGCATGACAGAGAGAAGAGATTTAAACTGTCTAGTCTTTCCTCGTATGCTAAATCAGTCATGCTGAGAACCATGCATGTTGTCTTCCTTTGGACCTTTTCTAGAATATCTGAGTCTCCTTTAAGACAAGGACTAGCTGTTTGGATGCAGTTTTCCAGTCTTGACCTAGTAGAGGCTCTGAGAATTGTCTGTAGGGATCCGAAACTACGTACAGCCACCGCGTGATATTGTGCTGTGGTTTTCAAATCGTGAGTACCTGTAATACCTAATACCAAATGAGTTTGAACTGATGGGAGTGTTATTCCCTCTAGTTCGTAGGATCTGTTGCTTGAGTGTTCGATGAGCATGGTTGCACATTGATCGGGATCATCCATTCTCTGGACCACTCTGACAATTTGTTGGGGTCCTTTTGCGTATCCCTGTTGCCCTTCATCTCTCTCCAGATTTTTGGGTCATCTGCGTATAGGAACATGGGGGAATCGGTGAGCAGATATTGATATACAAAATAAATAGGAGAGGTCTGAGTACGTGCCTTGTGGCGCTCCGCTACGCACTGCTGTCCAGGAGGAGAGTTTCGAGTTGATCCTAAGCCTTTGCCTCATATCTATGACGAATTCCCTAGTCCAATTTGGTAAGCTGCTTTTGATACCAAGACTTTCCAACTTTACGAGTAGTCTTTTTTGTGGAACCTTATCGAAGGCTTTGCCGAAGTCTATGAAGATGACGTCAACGGGTCTTCTGTTTTCTCTTGATTTGACTTTCTCTTGCAGCGAGGAGATTTGACAGACATGAGAGGTTTCCTCGGAAGTCACGCTGTGCTCTGGATAACAAATTGTTGTTTTCCAGACACGCCATGATACTTCTCTTGATGATTCTTTCCAGTGTCTTCATTAAAGTGCTAGAGAGACTAATAGGACTGTAGTTTGAAGGGCTTTGTCTCATTCCTCCTTTGTGGATGGGGGTTACTATGATGTCTTTCCAGTCACATGGTAACACTCCATTTAGGAGAGATAGCTCGACGATGGTGGTTAATGGGCCGGGTATGTGAGGTAATAGCTCCTTGAGAAGTCTTGGATGAAGATTATCAGGACCCATTGATTTTCCTGCATCTAGTTTGATCAGGGAGTTGAGCATGATATCTTGGTCAACGTCAACACAATCTGTCCTGTGTTCCTCTGATGCAACAAGAGCTGATCCTATGGGGATCCTTCTTTATTTACTTTCTGTTTTCGTGGTAAATAATTCCTTCAAATATAAAAATGCCATTATTTTGTCAAGCGTTACCGAGCTTAAGCACAAATTCATCTCTTAATTTTATGTGGTCTGTAGATATTTTGAAAATTTGTCGGATTTCAAGAATTCGACAGACGATTTTACATGTCACTTTTGATTTCTATTGCGGATATGGTAGGTATAGGTCGTAATCCAAGGAAATTCACGTTATAACCACTTGCTCTGATTTCTTCAATGTCGTCTAAGAGATTTTCTTCATATAGCTGTTATCAGTTTATCGGATTACCCACATTCATGTCATCTTGTCCACAGATTCATTGTTGCTGGAACATATACCCAGATTAGAAGTGTTTTAGATTCATTTCTTTACGCAGATAGTAATCTTGAAACTACGGTCCGTTAGATCCTGTGTTTGACTCCTTACTTCAGTTTTGTAAATCAGCTAGAGTAATGGGAACAGTCAACATGAACTGTGTATCAAATCGTTAGTTTCGCCAAAGTAATTTTTCGAATGATTCCCCATAAAGCAACATGTGAGGGAAATCCACTTCCTTTGACCTTATTAATAGATATATATCGTGTTTTGTGATTCTCTGCATGTATCATATATATATATATATATGAAGAATTGAGTGTATTAGTGGGCAGTGCAGTTTTAGTTAACTGCATTTTGGTAGGAGATACAATGTTATGCAATTTGTCTCTCTGTTAATTGTTGTTAACAAATAGCTTTTCTAGACAAACGGGGGTTGGAGATTTCTGTAACGTTAAGATGGATGATTACGCATCAAACAGAAGTTCTCATTTCTTCAAATTTAAGCGAACGACTAATTACTATGAGCAGATAAGAATTTGGGGCGAACGTTTACATACTGCATACATCTTTTAATGGATAAATGTATATAAAGACTACATCAGTGATAATGCTAGCTATCAAACGCTGGACAAGCCCATTGCATCATTCGTGAGATTTAATTAGGAATCAGCTCACTAGAGCTGGTTCAGTTCTTCAACTAAGTGGTGTGGTCAGTACAATCAGCTATTTCGTATGCTGATCTCAAACTACGAGTCTCTCAGGATCACACCTGTTTGATAGGACTAAAATTATTCAGGCGTTTGCCTAAGTTTTTCAAAAAATTGTGAGTTTTGTCAGGACCACCACCTTATTGAACTACAATATCTGGATGTTTATTGTTTCCAAGCGCCTCTTAGTGTTTACTGGGCCTAGAATATTAGATGCTGTAGTAGCCAAGCTGGTCTATCTATCCATTTAATAAAATGCATCTACTAATCGCCTACAACAGCCTTCTGTGACAACCTCAGGTTCCCATACACACCTCAGTTAGTCTAGTAAATGATCCTTCGACATCTCTGGGCTTATACCATTGTATCCTGCTGTTTCGTCCAGCTTCAGATTGGAGGTAGCCTTTTAACATCATGAATGGTTGGACGACCGGGTTTACATTGTATCCATTTTGCAGTTGGTTAGTGGGTAACTGTATTACAACTGTAGACCATCTGATCTGATCCTCGAAATGTCTTTCTTAGCGTTATAGCAGTCTCTTAAGAAATTATTAAAGTTACTTTCTGACCATGGTCGGGCTCACTCAGCATCTATTTCTGTTGCTTTGATTGCCTAACACTATTTGCCATCAGTGCGCAGAATTTAGTGGGCTTGCATTTAGACAGTATCTGCTCGACAATCACTTATTAACTGATAATCTCATGTGTGCTGTTAAAATAGTAAAAATATTAGGCAGGATTAAACTTTTTAATTTATTTTTAGAGTTGCAATTGTTTAAGACGAATTATTTCACAATCCACTCTGGTAAATTAAGTCACCTTAATATAGCGTTCATGTAATAGGTTAGTCACATTGTTACTATTGATATATAGATTGCATGAGGTATTGATTATCTTAGTAATACCTAGACATATTGCATTGTTCTCAGATCAGATGATTCTGTGTGAAGTTTAAGTATCTGTATGTATGAATCCAGTAGTCTGCACAAGTGGCAAATAACCGAAAATACGGGTGTAAACACCTGTTCAGAATTATATGAATTTAATTAGTAGTAATTAAGGATAACATACAAGCAGACTGAACAGAAATAGAATGATCTGATTTATTACTAGTTCTTTCGAGCATTGTTTTCAATAAGAAGGTTGATAAACATCCGGATGTTTTTTTTACCACGGTTGTCTCCAAACCAAGTTCACTTTTAAGTTTGAAAAAATTTGGGCATTGGGTATATGATATTCATTATAATAAAGGTTTTCTTGTATTTCCCAATGAATGAAAAACAAAACGATATTGTTTTTACTGACGTTTCGCTATTTAATGCCAATAGCTTTATCAAAGTATTATTAAACCGGAATTTACAAAATCTCAACATATATATATATATATATATATAACAAAGAGTTAAGGGGTGAGAAAATAGACTACTTAGTTCAAGGTAAAGGGACATATTAAAAGTCAAAATAGCAATGAAGATCACTAAACCAAATAACAACAAAGGTTATAGTACGTCTGTTATGATATCAGAACAAAGTTTACTAGCTTGATCGTCGTTTGTCAGTATGGGGCCATTTTTCGGTGTCAAATTGGTCAATTGGTAATGATAACAAAACCAAGTGTGAATTTTTGGATTTGATCAGTGTGTAACATTATAAAAGTGGTGTGTGTTTGCAAAGTGAACTTGAATTTCACATTCGTGTTGATTTTGTCACTTTATGGGGGAGGGAGGTGTTGTAACCAGGTCAGATTCTGCTTTAGTCGATCATTGCCATTCAGGCAATTCGGATTCCACTTGATATGAAGTGCTTCTGATATTAGACGTTCTTTGTGGTTTCTAAAGTTTTTCTGGATTATTTCAATATTGTCAAAATCAATTTTGTGGCCTGATTCTATAGCATGTAGACCTATGGCTGATGATTTTTGAAGTTTTTCTAGTTCAATTGGATTTTTTGGTGGTTGAAGAGATGCTCTACGGTGTTCATTTCTTCTGATTTTGACTTCTCGAGATGTTTGTCCGATGTAGATCGCATCCCATTCCGAGCATTTTATTTTATAGACACAATTAGATAGAGAATCTTTAGGGATTTGGTCTTTTATATGGACAAGGTAGCTTTGAAGTGTGTCTGGTGTTTTGAAGAAAACTCTAATGTCTCTTCTGATGTCGTCCGACGTCTCTTCTCTATATGGAATGACAAATGTTGAGGTCCATGTTTTCGGAATGCAATTTCGGCCATTCTTAATCTCAGTGTTGCTTTTGTTGATGAAGTTCTTTGGGTAGTTGTTTTGCTTGAGAGCCTCAGTAATGTTTGACCTCTTTTCTTCTTTTTCTTTCCCATCCGTTATCAGAGAGTGTGCTCATCTAATGCTCTGACAAAGTTATTGGCATCAAATAGCGAAATGTCAGTAAAAACAATATCGTTTTGTTTTTCATTCATTAGGAAATACAAAAACCTTTATGATAACGGTTGTCTGGATTTTAATATTAATTTTTCCTTGATTCGTTGAGTGTTAATTAACACTGATCCTAGTTTTAGAGTTACATATTTAAAATGCAAATATTGCGTAACCCGTTGGCGTAAAAATGTCAGTGGAACTTATTGTGATGGAATTGATTTGCTATATTCTTGTTGATGCTCAGTTGTTTAATTTGAGCCTTGAAACATGTACTAAAATTCCAAACCATGTTTGTTGCTTGATCTTCACTTAAAACTGACCGATTATTGGAGGCTATTTAGTTTCGACTGCTGTTCAGTCGATAGTATTGAATTTAAAGGGTTAGAATCAAGATCTTATTGCACTAGTTATGTTCACCCATGAGTGTGAAAGGAGAATTTAAAGCTAAACCGGATTTAGTTTCACACTTCGCCTGTTAGGTATTAAAAGTTGCTTTATGACTTGAAGTTCACTCATTTTACCAAAATTTAGACAATAATGCCGTGCCAAAAAACCTATGGAATATTTTATATCTATTTCCAACAATCACGTCAATCACTTATATCAGTCAAGACGTCAAATGGTGTGGCTGGGAAAAGTTTGTTAACACACTTCTGATTTCAGTGGTTTCAAATAAGAGCTGGAATGAACACAGAATAAATAATGTCGCCGTGTTCATATCCAATTTTTGTTGTTATTTAGTTCTATAAACTCTTATTTATGAGTCGGTGGCACAGAATAGAATGCTCACCAACCCTGCACATGGTGCAGGGTTCTAATCCCAGCTGACACATTCCTTTACTTTGCTAAGCAAGTAACAAGACTGGTAAAGAGGTACGTTGGGCATGAGGCTAGCAACTCCATCCCGTAAAATTAAGTACCATTGCTACAGAAAATTCAAGCCCCTGGCTTGAAGCCTTATGATCCACTGGAAAGGAAAAGGGATAAAATAAAATAAAAAAATGATAGACCATTATGCTTTATGAGCAAAATCTTTTTTCTCAGTTCATTAGAAAATTATTTTTTATATAAATCTTTTTTCGAAGACGTGTATTTCATACTTTATTATTCTTCATTTTTATATTACAGATCTCAGTCAATTTTCACCATTTTTATTTTGGCTGAAATAGAATAATGCTATGGCTTCTACCTCTCATTTTAATAACTCCAATTCACAACAAGTCAATTTATCAGAATGCTGTAACAAGACTGGTGATCCTACCAGTTTATGGTGTGATGAATCATTAGAGAATTCTGGTAACATTCTGGATCATTGTATATGTTATCCAAGTACTCCAAGTTCATTTTCTACTACATCAGGAAGTACATCTTATTCACGTGATCTTTACACAACATCAAGATTACGGAGTAGATCAGAAGAGAAAACTCATAAATCTGAGTTTCCATGTGATATATCTATCAATAATAAACGTCTTACAAGTGTACAACTTGTTTGTAATTCATGTTCATGCCCTGAAACAAAAGGTTCAGTTCATTTATTAACAGAACAAAATGGTATTTTAGAAAAATCTCACTCGACTTCCAGACAGGTATGATCAACGTATACTTTTCATGTATGACGTTATATTTTGTACTGAGTAACACAAAATTTTCTGTCGGTGACATGTCTTTAATATGACTTTAATTTAAGTTTGTGTTGAAGGCTTTCTTCAGTTGAAAGCCTTACTAATTTTTCATGGAAGCTTACGTATCTTCGTAGGTATGAAAGGAGAAAGTGAAGTACTGAAACAAACTGTGAAAAGTTGAAATGATGCATTTTTTGCTAATTAGTCTGTTATGAAAACATCAAAATGAAATATTTTCTATACAGACATTTATTATTATACATAAGAAACTGAGGTAGTCTTCAAATCCGCTATATCATTTACTATTGCTATTATTGTCTGTTTGGGTTCCGGGTGGATCATAGTGCTTCAACAGTAGCTCTTCATTTTGTTCAATCCTCTTCAGTACCCTTTAGCTGGCTCCACGATTGCCCATAGTCTGTCACCTCCTTCTCAGACTATCTTCTCCGTGTAAAAAATGGATGCTCATCTCATAGTTTCCCATTCGAGTTCCACTCGATCGATGGCCCGGCGCATGATGTCATTCAGCGGTCTCATCAGGGTGTGTCTAATTCATCTTTGTTTTCCTCGGCATATTTGTTGAGCAATAGGTTCTTGTTTGGTCCTTTTCCAAATTTTCTTGTTAGGGATTCGTTCTGGCCATCTGATCTTCAGTGTGGAGCCAGAGAAGACAACTGTTGATAAAAGTCTGTAGTAGCCTGATTGAAGTGCTTTTCATGACGCGACTGCCAAGTTTCTGACCCGTATAGAGAAATTGAGTTGACATGAGTGTTGAAAATCCGAATTTTATTGTTTATCCTGAGTGCAGCAGATATACAGACTGATTTCAGAATGACGAAGGTTTGCCTTGCCTTTCTGATCCTGACTTTGACATTCTCATCCGTTCCGCTAGTAGTTGAGACGATTTTGCCTAGATTAGTGAAGGAAGTAATTTCTGTCTTTATGAACTACTGAAATTCTGTCTTCACCGCTTCTTCAGCTAGTTAGTTGGTTTTCGCCTCCAAGTCTTCGAATTTCTGTGACATTAGACATAAATCATCCACGCAGTTTAGGTTTTCTAGAGTTTTTTTGTCGATCAAGCGTATTCTTGTCATCTCGCTTCCCACAATCTTCCGCACAATCCAATTCACCGGAAATAGTAATATCAGTTCAAATTGGGTACAAACTATGAAATATTTGTTACTTGAATATCTTTCACTTGAAGGAATCTATTGTTTATTGAGGGCCTAAAATTGTTTTGCTTCATATTCCTATTGGCTTGTGGAGTTCTCTTTAGCCTTGGAGGTAACGTTTTTTTCAATGCGCGAATACCACTCAATTAAATGTGTATAGCATAGGAATTACGTAATTATGTGTCGGATGGTTCAGTTACCTTTAGAAAACGAAAATGAATCTTAAGCAAATAAAAGTCAAGCACAAAAGACTGACCATCTAAAATAGATAGGGTTTATTAAAAGAATCTATGTAAGCTTTTTTTCTCTGTGATACAAGTTATGAAGTTATCTTTATGCTATAGGTTTCTTCACGAACTAATATTGTTTTCGTAATAATTAAAAAATAAAACAAAGAGCTCTGGGCAAACTTTTCGTTCTTATTTGAGACTCTTCCGGGTTGTACACCAACAACCCCACTAGAGATGGAATCCAGAACATTTAGGTTACCAGCCAAGCATACTGACTATTTAGCCACTCCGTTTAAACCCAATGACCCTTCACTTTGATCCGTGTTACAGCCGTGGGTCCGCAGTGCTGAATTGTTCCAAAGTAGGACACAGCAGATGTCCAATGCTTCTCAGTTCTCAGTGAACCTCTAACCAGTCTTGGTTACCGAGATATGAAATTAGGGGCTTGATTTATATTTTAAAGCTGATTAATTTACTCATTTGTTTTTGTTTCGTCAATCCAGTAAAGATTTCAAAACCCAGGGCATTTTTCGATGAATTTACCCCTAATTGACCAAACATTACAATGAAAGATAAAGCGTGCCACATTTGATTATGAGATACTACATCGAGTTGGTATTTTTAAAATAACTTTTATAAGTCAGTGCTTGGATTCTTCCATGGTTACATTAGGAGTGAGTATAAAAAAAATCTCAGGGTATCTCTGCGTTTAGTATTATAGGTCACTCCATAATAGACATTTCAGTTGTGTGTGAGTTCCTTCGGCATTGTAGATGCGCCTTGCTGATGAGTGCCAACAAGTACGAAACCTATGTCGAGCAAGGCTTCTTGCCGACTGTCTCCAACCATCTAATAACAACAATCCTGAGTGTATCGTGATGGCGAGCCACCTAACATGATGGTCACATTGCAAACTTGACTGATAGAATTCAGTCTGTAGTAAACAAAGGAGTAGACACTTGACACCAGTTAGTGTCCAATCTAGAGTACCTTTAAAATAGCTAGAAAATGAAATCTTTTATATGATCACAGTACTCCTTTAAACACTTGGTACAAAGTCACATAAAGCCAATTATCTGAGGAAATGCAAACTCTAACTGACCTCCTCTTCTCTATCATGTCTATGAGAGGGAAATGAAATAAGGGCTGCATTTGCTTTGTCGATAACTTTTATATGCTCACCCTTATATTGGTTACAGATACAATAAACTGTCATTAAATTATTTTCTTCCCTCTGAAGTAATTAAAATGTGTAAATTTAAGCAGTATGGTTTTTCTTCAAGCTATGAAATACTGGCTATGCTAACGATTAGCTACACTACACCAGCAGCACTTAAACGTAGTATACTAAATTACTCAATCAATCAATATTCTATCTGACTTGTAGGTACCGATAACACATCGGAAATCGAAAAGATGCAGTCGTTTAGGAATGTGCTCTGATGAGTAGTATATTTAAAGAAAATAAAAAGTTAGGGCTGTTTAGGGAAATGAATTCTAAGTTCTAAACTTATCTGGCTAGTATGCCTGAGCTCTGAACCTAGAGTCTATGCGTGTTACCAGTAGAAAGAAGGGGCGTTTCAGCCTATCTGGATATGTATCCGTTAAATCAAGCCACCTGAAGTATCCTCAAGCAGCTTAGATACCTACTTAGTTAATATTGAGTTGATTCAGTTTGATTTGTTAATTTTAGGCCTAGATTTATTTCATTACTATAGGGTGTGCATTACATCACCCTCTGATTTAAGCGAAATCTACGCAGTGAGTGTTTTTGTTGTTGTTTGAAATGATAAAGTAGATCGTTTTTTGATGGAATCAATGTGTTTGTATTGATGAGAAGTGTTGCTAACAAAAAATGGTTGTTGTTAACAAATCAGTTGACTTGGTTGTTTGCTTGAATCAATATGTTTTATTTTTCACGTTAACCTACATCTTAGTTTGATTTATTCTCTGGAAATAGGATTTTGGTTAACAATGGTTACTTAGGTATCTGTGCTTCATGAAGAATTGAAGTTGAACTGACTTAACATGGATATTTGCAATATATATATCACTTGACCTGACTACAACTTGATTGGTTGTTTGATGATTGATTGTGTTGTAAGCCAGCTTATACCGAGCCTGATTGGTCGTCTGATATTTTACAATGTGTTTTTCACATATTGGCTAACCTATTCTTTCAAATTCATTATTTATTCTTCTTGTGGAGTATGTATTTAAGATGTATTTTAGTGTTAAATGAAATTTACGAAGGAAGAATATCCCACATAATTCACAATACATTTGTTAGGCCTATTTATCATAAGTCGTATTATATTTACTCTTGTGGAAATGTCTTCTAATTTTCAGTAATTGGTAAAAGCAAGAACAACAGTGGTGGTTTGTGCAGAACAATATGGTACCATCATTTATTTCGTTGGCTTCTCATCACCTGCTGCTTACAGCCCAAATAAATTATGAGGTTTAAGTACAGAAACGTTTTAACATACTTGCAAATTTTACATGTTGTCAGTTGACAGAAATTTCCACAATTAGTAAACAGTGCTTAGAAAATTGCGCTTATATAGTTTTTACACAGGCAGTTCAAGTTAAAAAATAATAAATAAATGTATGTATATAATGGTAAAGGAGTTACATAATAAAGATGAGATGTGCATTAGATGCATAGTGACTAATAAGTTAGGTAACAATGTACTGAGTTGAACTCAAATGATAGAAACAAGAGATAAGAAAAATTACAGATTATAATCTACCGAAAGCACACATGGAATGGACAATACTTACATCTTAATAATTTTTGTCCAAATAGCTATAAACGAGCACTAGTCAAGACTCTGTACTATAGAGCGAGGAGAATATGCTCTGCAGAGAAACTAGAGGAAGAATTTACGAATCTCGAAAAGGTGCTGAAAAACAACGGCTATACTCAAAGATTCATTAACAAATATGGAAAATGTGAAAGCTCAAATACCAAACAAAGCCTGTCTTCATTCAACTAGATTTTAAAGGTGAAGACATTGCAGAAATGGTCAACAGAAGACTGAGAACGTCACTAGCCAGAGCCTATCCTGCAGCTAATTTTGTTCCTGTCCATCGAACAACATGCTCTTTGGTGCAGTCAAAAGTCGATAGATACCTTTCTCATGTTAACTCCAACTGTGTATATAAACTTACGTGTATCTGCGGGAGCAGTTACATTGGAAGAACAGAAAGAAGGGCACACCTCCGATTTTCTGAATATTTGCCGAAAAGCCCACGTCTCAAGGGAACAAACTCTTATAGCAGCGCTATTACCAGACATCTCCTCGACACGGGTCATGAGGTGGAAATCGAGAAATCCTTCAAAATTATCAATAGACAAAGGAGCTCCATTCTCCTCAAGTTTGCCGAAGTAATTTCTATCAAACGCTTGAAACCGGATTTATGTGTCCAGAAAGAAGCAGTTATTAGTCTTTCCTTGCCTTGGTAACTGGATGTCTTTTTTCTCTCATCTGATTACGTAATCTTTGTCTTTAACCTCACCCTCCTTTTATAATCTGTAATTTTGCTTATCTCTTGTTTCTATCATTTGAGTTCAACTCAGTACATTGTTACCTAACTTATTAGTCACTATGCATCTAACACACATCTCATCTTTATTATGTAACTCCTTTACCATTATATGCATAAAGTTATTTTGTTTTAACTTGAACTGCCTGTGTAAAAACTATATAAGCGCTATTTTCTGAGCACTGTTTACTAATTGTGGAAATTTCTGTCAACTGACAACATGTAAAATTTGCAAGTATGTTAAAACGTTTCTGCACTTAAACCTCATAATTTATTTGGGCTGTAAGCAGCAGGTGATGAGAAGCCAACGAAATAAATGATGGTACCATATTGTTCTGCACAAACCACCACTGTTGTCCTTGCTTTATTCAAGTTGGTAGAAGATTTGAACATAGGCATTGGTGGAACTCGGTTAGTAGTAATAATTGGTGATGGTATTACACTTGAAGCTCGAGTTTGCAGGGTTTAATTAATTTCAAGATTTTTCACGAAACGACATGAGTTAGAGAAGTATTGAAAACCAGAGAGTAATGAACGGCTGTTTCGTCCCTTTTTAGGGCTCTTCCTAGGCGCAGATCTAAGACTACACCGGGGGGGGGTTCAAACTGACTACTTTCAGGTTATAAAGTGAGCTTGTAAAAGCTTCAGCTACTGGGACGAGAACCGGTGACCAGTCAGTTCTGACTTTTTCCGATTCGCGGTATGCAGTGTCACTGCTAGCCAATGTCATGGGCGAGTATTTGTCCTCACTGTCAGTTTGGTGGACCCAGCTGGTCACGACTTCCTCTAAATAGTCACTAACTAGCACTAGGTTAGTTTTTAAGTGTCGGTTAGGAGGGATCTGATTTCAGGATCGAGCAGGAACTACAGTTGATGTTCAGTAACTAGTCGGTAAATTTTTTCACCATTAACTTTTGCGAAAATATTTCAATTTTAAAAAAATCAGCGAGAAATATTTAAATTAGTGTCGAACAAAAACTCGATGGAATCCAGACTACCACAGATCCCATTAAGATGTGAGTTCTTATAAAACAACTCAAATACAACACTACATGTAGTCATAAACTATCACACAATAGGATGAGACAGTGCTACTCTTACAAATGTAATACAAAAGGGTGGAGGAAGAGACTGATAACTGAAGTTTTATTCATCGAATCGACTAAGAATATATGCAGCAGGTGGATGAATCAGCACATAACCCAACCCACATGTAAATTTTTCATGCCTTATACAAAATATGGGGAAGTAGAGCACAAGCTATAAGCTCATGGTCTCAAAGTTGTATGATTACAAATGACATGATTATAAACAATAAACTGTGTGAAAAACGTGATCCAGTAAACAGTACAGTTTCATAATGTGATATTTCCAGCAAACAGTGCAATAAGAAGTGAACATATCGATGCTGAAACACACGATTGTTTCATCCATGAAACACGAAGTTCATGATTAGAAATTAATTTTTAATTCTGTAATCGTGCATTAATGTGCTATGAAATATGGGGAAGGATTTTCAAATGGCTTTTTATTGAAGTTATTAATTAAATTTATTGGAGATTCTTCGGTTAAACCATTATTTTAAAGATAGACTGTTATTGACATAATAAGCGCATAACTGAAATGGAGACAAATATCTTTGTCGTAACCGAATATCGAGAAACACATTCATCAATCTGAAATCAATCTGGAAATCCTCGTCACTCAGCATCAACAAAAAATTCGGATTTTCAATACAAACGTAAAGTCATTTCTTCTATACGGATCAGAAACTTGGCGGGTGGGTCACAAAGAATATTTCCAAAAGCCTGTTGCAGACAACTTTCTTCGCTCTATACTGAAGATCAGATGGCCGGGTCGGAAAGAAGCACCAACAAGAAACTATGGGCACTAACAAACAAGACAAGAACCAATCGCCCAAAAACAGCAAGTATGCAGGAGAAAGTGGAGATGGATCGGACACTCGCTGAGGAGACCGCTGGGTGACATCGCTCGCGCGTCAGGCCATTGCTCGAGTGGAACCCGAAAGGGAAGTGGCGAGTGGGACGTCAGTGCAAGGGTGACATGGAGGAGATCGTGTGAAGAGGAGTTGAAAGAAGATGGACTAACATGGATGCAGGTGAAAAGTACAGCAGAAGACAGATACAACTGGAGACGTGCAGTTGAAGCCCTATGTTCCACTAGGAACCCAAGGGAGCAATAATAATAATAACCGAATATCAATAAGTTGCATTTAGAAATTGTCATCTCTGCACTAGTCGTTTCATAGGTTTTCTACTATCATGAATATTCTTGTCGTGTACACTCCACTTGATGCTTGTTATAATTTGAGAACTGAATGAGTTTTTAAACATGATCCCATTTAAACAGTACAAACTTTTATTGTATGAGTTCTTGCATAGATAGTAAAGAGGAGGCAGAGAATACGAAGACAGTTAACAGAATATATTTAGAATTGTTGCTTGTATAGTTGATTTAAACTCTATTGATTATAAATTATAACCAGTGACAAACATATTCAGTAGATAATGGCAGTTGTTCTTCCTTCAGTAAGTGGATGTTGAGGTGGAATTGTTCTTATTCCTGACATTATCTTCAATATAAAGGGAGAAGATAATGGGTGAAGTTAAAGAATCATAGCCAGAACCAAGTTCTTTCAAAAGTTGACCTTCAGGAACCGATCAGACACAGGGAATGCTATGATATGTCATTCCAAATCAAATCATACCTGCCTTTTTGAACTTGGGGAGCATAGATATAGTATTCTACTTACTTACTAGGTACTCTTTCTTCATATCTGTGGTATCAGGTGCGTTATGTCACTGAAAATTAAGGTTTAGTGGTGAAGTTAGGTTTAGAAGGCAGGATTATGGTTACAGTTAGGAGTAGGTTGATGAATGGTGTCGGAAATGTCAATGGATCTCAAAGTTCAGTGAACTACAGTCACTTGGATGAATGGGTTCATCGCACATGGCACGATTTCTCTATACATCATCTGTGTATTGACTAGGAGACATTCTTACAAAATAGTGTAATGTCAAGTTAGTGATATTTTCTGGTGTATTTTTCAACGATTATGCGACTTCTTTGCATTTGAATTCTGATTGGTTGTTCAGGGTTACTTTGGTTTCGGCTATGAAACTTTAACTTTGCTGTATATAGATGCTGTATATAGATCTACCCTAAAATGTCGGTACAACGAATAATTTTATTGTATGGAGCATTTCATTATGAGCTGACATCAGTTAGAGAACCACTGGAAAACCTGAGGGTACTGGACAGCTTTTTCGTCCTAGTTTGGGACTCTTGGTGGGTATGTACTGATGAAGAGTCCCAAACCAGGAAAAACAGCTGTCCAGTACCCTCAGGTTTTCCAGTGGTTCTCTAACTGATGTCAGCTCATGATGAAATCCTCCATACAATCAAACAAAATCCCTACAAAACCAATACTTGAGAATAGTTTTATTTCAAAAAGGGTAGTCTTATTTTAAATTGGTAAGTGTGTTCATCATATTATAAACTTTACTGATTTAATAGAAAGAATAATATAACATAATTGAAATCTTTCTTGCCTTTCTTTTTGTTAAAAATTATTTTTTCTTAGGGAGACAACTGTAAACAGAAAGAAAGATTATGTAACAAATCATACTCTTTATTCTGTTGTAATGAAGATTCGGATTCAGTTCCGCCTGCAATGGCTCTTATCAATGTCAATCGTCTTAGTACACGAAATTTAAATCTTATCAATTTAAATAATAAAAATGATAATACAATAGCTTATAATAATAATAATAATGAAAATAACGACAACAACAAAAACAACACCTCTAACGCTGACTTACAAATCTCCCATGCTAAAAAGACAAAGTCGCTTCTTCGCAACTCAAGAAAGTCACTGCCTGCAATTCATTTCGATTATGATTTGGAAGTGAGTCATAGCAGTGGTACTAGTAGTCTGTCTGATGCAGCTGTAGGTGTTGATGAACAGGATTTTTATCTACAAACTGATAAATTGCTCACAGTATTTTCAAATGGTTCGCATAGTCATAATATACAATTTGGACAAACTGGTGCATCAGCTAGAGATTCTGGTTTAAGTTCACATTCAAGCAATTCAGTAAATTATTCACCAAATTCTACACAATTGTCTTCTAAAGCAGTGAATACTGCTACTTGTCAGTTGAATCTATCTCCTACATCTCTGCCGACTCCGTTACCACCACCAGTCCCTGAACATGCTCCTCATTCACAGGCTAAGATTGCATTGGCACGTCGAAAAGAAGGAGGTAAGACAAGGTTGCGTTCTAGTAAATCAATCATTTGTTTATAACTGTTTCTTGTATGAATGTTTATCATGTTAACATTTTTTTCTTTCACGTTCCCAAGTGGAACATAGGGTTTCAAGTTAGTGGCTTGAAGTTTCTGTACCAGTGTTTATTTTACAGGATGGGGTTGCTAGCCTCATGCCCAACCTTTCCTCTTTACCAGCCTTATTTCTGGCTTAGCGAAGTAAAGGAGTTCGTTGGCCGGGGATCGAACCCCAGACCACGTGCATGGTCGGCGAGAGTCCTAACCGTTATGCCAAGTGATATTTGACAGAGCTGAAGTCACAGGCATGCAAGTTTTGATGGAATGTATGCCTGTAGGAAATACTTCTAGGGAAAAATGTGAACTGTTTTCTTAATGTCTAGGTTTTAAATTTTTTGTTTACGCAAAATGTAGTAATGCTCTTGATTAAAGTGGTTTTGTTACATTTCAGTTTTGAGCGACAATTGTCTTGAATTTAGTCTAAACCTTATGAGAATTTGACTAAAAACTAGGTATTCGCTCAAATAAATTATCTTTCCAGTGAAATTATTCAACATTTTCAAAACTGTAAAATCTTATAATTAATTATTACAAAGCGTTAAATGAGGCTTAATGGTTAATCCTCGTAGCTTGTGGATAATTACAACCAACATCTAAACTTCGACATTGATAAATAAGAGCAGTCATAAGGCGATTAACACAACTGAATAATAATAAAACTCTGATTATTATGCGTCCAGATAGAGGATTTAGTGTACTCCTCCCAAATTAAGGATGAATATGTTACATAAATACAGTTTAGTTTTGGAAATAACCCTAGATTTCGAAATTTATCTACAGCAAAGAATACAATATCATTTTAGAGGTTTTCCTCTTCATGTGAATGATTAAAGCCTACAGGAACACAACTGCCCAAAGTGTATGGCTTTCCGTTGATTCATAATTATTCTAAGTCTCAGATGTTAGCCAACCTCCATATTATGTAGTAGTTTAGAGATAGGTAGTGAAGTGGTAGAATGTGTTGAAACATTTCACTTATTTGCAAAGTTGCCTTACCATAAATAGACTGATTGCCGAGGAAATCTCAGTTCAGATCCAAAAGGCTCAAGTGAGATTTTCCAGTTTACGTCATCTCTGGCTTAGAGGTGATATCCAGCTGCCGACCAAAAGATGTTTGTTCCCTTCTCCTTTAAGGCAAAGAGTCATGGGCATTTAAAGTGGGAGATTTGAAGAGGCTAGTTGTCTTTGACTACAGATGTTTGCCTTCTGTCTTCAACGTTAAGTGGTATAATATTGGACAGTAATACTGAGGTTGGGCTTACAATGTTAGGATGGAGGGTTAGTCGTTCAATGAAGTTTTAGAGGCGAATGTACTGAGATGGTTAGGATACGTGTTGCGCATATCGGGTCACTGACTTTCTCGTCAAGCCATGTTAACCGACATAGGATTAGGCTGAAAAAGTGTTAGAGGTGGTCAAATCGAAACTTGGCATCAGTCCATGAAGGTTTTGACAACTGGTGTGAGTCATTTAGGGAGATTTAGAATGCCTGTCTGGACTCATCGGGTTGGTAAGAACCACTGTCTGGATACAACTGGTGATATGTCTCAGAATCGTTCTCAATGACGCAGATGCATTCATTCTTCTTGTTTCTTCTATATCCATTAAGTCCTCCTGTTTTTCCATGTTACTGTTCTTCTTCCTACACATTTCTGCTTATTATAGCTCTTTTGAGTTTCTCTTTGTCTGCTACATGAAGTATAGCGGCTTGAACTGCTGTTATTCTGTGCAAAGTTCTGTTTGTAAACTCAGGGGGTCAGTCGTTTTAGAACCTCTTATAATATATATATATATATATATAAGTATACTGTTTCTGCACAAACAACTATTAAGAAGAAATTATATTAGACATGAAAATGTAGAAGAATATGATTGTCGTTCCAGTTTTTTTCAGGTGCGCCAATATGGAGAAAGTGGGTTAATTATGTAGCATTTTAATCGCCCTTTGTCCAAGTCTTTCTCGATCGAAATTACCCGTTTAGCACACGTTTTGCTCACATTGCCCAGGTGAATTCCTTGACTGGGATAATAATTGATAGTAGATCGTGCGATGCAGTGCTGTCTGACTTGAAGAGCGAACCAATACCTTGCGATATTTATTCTTCTGTGTTTCTTTAGAGAATGCCTGACATCTGGTTGGAAGCCAGTTAAACGAAGTTCACGAGTACATATAATGAGATAAATACATAACTATGTGGTCAATTTTATTTTCTGGGTAATGGTAGTTTTTACTAAAACCTTAATGGCAGTCATTTCATGTACTGGGATTATGCTTTTACTCAAGCTTAGTAGAAACTTACGAATCAGCAGGCAGTAAACAGTTTAAATACTAGCCAAAGTAAACAATACAACTGGAAGTCATACTTTTACGAATTAAAACAAGGTGGACATCAGAAATAAGATACAATAGATTGAGATGGAGGTTATTGGTATCCCAAGTTTTAAGCAGTCAACCGTGTTAGAAACACAGTGGAAAGCGCTGAATATATGTTTCGCCCTAATTTGGACTCTTAAGCAGCGCACACCCTCGACTACATCAGGAAGAGAACCCTGGACCTTCGGATTGGCCACTCAGCCCCTTGAATCAGAATTCGATGACCTGTAAATTCTAACTTCTGCCAGTTCATGATATAACGCTGTTTCCAATCAATGCCTTCGATGAGTATCTAATTCACCTTGATATTAGTGAACCCCACTGGCCATGATTTCTCAGTACATCTGCAGGATATCCATTCAATAGTCACCAATAGGAGCTGGAGATTGATATTTAGTTTCAGTACAAATTTCATTACTAGCCAAAAGTCAGCTAGAGATCACTGGAAACTATGGATCAGTGGTTACCTAAATATCCTCAGTTTGATCCTTGTTGAGGTCTTGGGTGCATAGTACTGAAGCATCCTAAAATAAGACGAAACGACTCTCTAGAATTCCTTAGTTTTCAATGGTGGTGCTGGTTAGTGACAAAATCTACACTGAACTTATATTACTTCTGATTATAAATACATAAGCAGGTCATTTAAGTGTTTATCCATATTTTATCTTATATTCTTAATAACTATATGCCTTTAAATGACGACAAATACCAATATGGACTATTATTCCATCTTATATTCGTGCATCCCAAATACAGTTTCTAACATGATTTTGTTTACCTTTACTCGCTATTTATGCTCTACATTTCGTCGATATGTAACACTGCAGATCCTGAAGAATAAGAATTAGAAATTATTGAAAAGAATTGTTTGCCTGAAATCACTATTGTTATAAATGCATTATTTTTGAGATATTTAAATTATTGAAAGTAATAATAATCATTTAATAATGCCTATTATAAGTTTGATAGTGCACATGTTTTCAACTGTAATCTAAGTGACAATCTATTCACTCTCCCATTCCACCCATCTCTCGGAATTATTCGGTCTTAATGATTCGATGTTATCAAAAAACAGACAGTACACATTAATGCTGATAACAACAACGACCAACGGCAATGATTCCTTAACTAACTAGCTAACTAATTAACAATAAAAGCTGAATAGTAATAACATTATTATTTAGTTATCGTAAAAGAGTATTCTTTATCCAATAATCACTGTTTTAAAAGTTATTATACCCAAATGAGACATAAAAGAAAGAAGTTTTCAGTACAGAGAATCCTCTTTACAATAATTTCATAGTTGTAAAATAATCCTATTTATCCCCACGGATTAGAGTAGATAATAACAAGTATCGGTAAAGAAAGAAAGAAAGAAAGACCATATCTGCAGTATAAAATGATATCATTCTATTTCAAAGGTTCTCATCAGCTGTACACAACAACCTGAAATTAAAATGGTTGTAAAATGTGACACTAATATAAACTTAAATGTTTAAGTGATGGTATAACCTTTTAGGTATTTTGAAGCTGATTAGAACCTTTTATACTGCAGATGTGGTCTCTTTTCCTTTATCAAAATTTATCGATGGAATCAACGCGTATGAAATAACAAGCATGTTCTTGTGGCTATTCATGTTAAAATTTAAATGTTAGTAGGAATACTAAGATGCCAAAATATTGCTTTTATTCTGTTAAGTTCCCAGTGGAACATACGGCTTCAAGCTAGAGCTTTGAAATTTTGGTAGCAGTGGTTCCTTTTTACCTTCCCAGTCTTATTACTTGCGAAGTCAGGTAAAGTAGTGCGTCTGTGGCCGGGGATTGAACCCCGAACCACCTGTGTGGCTGGCGAGCATTCTACCGCAGTTCGACCGACGCACACTATAATATTGCTTTAGATAATTACAATTCAGAAATTGGAAACATTAATTTACCGATACGAATTAAAAAACAAGCAATAGATTTTATTAAGTAAGCAGGATTTTATGAATGAATCAAATTCTGAGTAGAACTATTCAGCTGAATACTCTATAAACGGTGATATATATACTAATAGAACTAACTGACAGATATATAACTCATAAGTAAATCAACCAATTTGAATCGCTCATGCAAAACACTTGGTGTGAATGTTTTACAGGTCAAGTCCAGATAGATAAAGCTGTAATCAAAAATAAAAATAAAAATAAAATAGATAAAGGTGAAGGGAGATATCAGATTGAAATTAAGCTTATAATAGATTACGTTTTAGTTAAATAACTGCAATAAACAATTAATTCAAGTATTGGTTTGTAGGGATTTGATTGATTGGTTACAGGATTTCATCATGAGCTGACATCGGTTAGAGAATTCATGGGCTCTTGGATCTGGATTCCAATGGCTTAACGGTTTGCGAGCTCTCGTTGTAACCAGAAGGTCCTGGTTTCGAACCCCGGTGGGTGCGTACTGTGAAGAGTCCCGAACAAGGGCGAAACAGCTGTCCAGTACTCCCAGGTTTTCCAGTGGTTCTCTAACTGGTGTCAGCTTATGATGAAATTCTGTAACCAAACAATCAGTTATCAGAGAAAGAACTTGCACCTGTCAGGAATTGAGAACTAAATAATATTTATAATTATAGTTCAATTAAAAGGTTCAATTACAAGGCATCTTATAGACTACATATATGATACTGACGCTCTTTCAGGTCATTCAGCATTGTCAGCAGACAAATAAACAGAAAGATGCTTTGCATTTGGGGAGGCTAGAGTAATTGGAGTATAGAAGAAAATGGTGCTCACACTGAATCTACCATAGTAATACGTTTTACTTATTGACAGTTATTATTATTATGAATATTTTATTCTATTTTTTCTTATTTTTCACTCATTTAGAAGCGTCTGTTTCGCGACCATAATCTCAACTCATATTATTATTCAGTTTGCGATTCAGGTTTCTTTCCAATAACTAATTGTTTATTTAAGTGATGTAACTGAACCGGAATCCATTACATTCTTCGTTTTATTTTTTAATACTCCTTCCCTTATGAAGTGTAAAACATTCAAACCTGTAGTCATTACACGATTCATTTATTGTAGTTTACATACTTATCAGTCATATACCTCCCTATGTATTTCCAGTAGTATATGTATATCACTGTATGGTAGTGATGGAATGAAGTGGTAGAGTACGTTGACCGCTTCACTTATTTGGGAAATACTACCAGCCGCAACGGGTTGATTTCTGACGAAATCTCAGCACGGATACAGAGGGCTAGTTTCGCATTTGCCAGTTTACGCCGTCTGTGACCTAAACGTGATATCCGGCTATCGACCAAAGGGTAGTGTATTGCTCAACAGTCCGCTTCGTCCTCCTTTATGACTAGCTGTGAGACCTGGCCATTGCGAGTAGAAGATATGAAAAGCCAGGCTAGCTGTCTTTGATCACAGTTGCCTGCGCTCTATCTCCCGTGTGAAGTGGTATAATAAGGCGAGCAATATTGAGGTTACGCGTCGAGTGCTAGGTAAAGAGGGGAAATCAATCGACGAGGCTAAGATGGTTAGGACATGTATTACACATGCCTAGCCATCGCCTCGCTCTACAGGCGGTGTTAGCTGACTGATATAGGATCAGGTTGGAAAAGAGCTAGCAGCGGTCAAACGAAAACATCGCACCAGCCAATGAAATCCACAACAGTTAGTTTAAGTCAAGCAGGAAGGTGTAGACTTCCTGGTTGGGGTCTTCGGGACGGTAAAAACCAATGGTTGGAAACAATCGGTGATATGGCTCAAAATCATTCTCAATGGCTGGCGCAGATGTATCCACTCCTTGTGACTTTTGATTTCCAATGAAACTATATTGTTCTTCGTTATTACTATTCCTTTGTCTCACACCTCTGTTTACTATGTCTATTATGCATTTCTTCTACTTTCTTCTGTTGCTTTGTGTGCTACAAGGAGGGAGTGTGACAACTTGAGCTGCTGCACATCGGTGCAAAGTTCTATGTCGAAAATAGACAGACAGACATATCACTGTATGTGGATTATTCAGTTGAAGAGTCCTACCGATATTTGATAAATTTACTGAATCTAGCTTTATTAACCTTTTCTTCTTGTTTTCAAATCAGAAATCGATCCGAAATTCGTATCAATAAAAAAAGATAGACAGAAAGTAACAAAGACATACGAGTGTATTATTATTAGGGTTAATTTCCATCGGAAATGAGTAATACATGTTAGGTTTCATCAAGTCAGAAGTAATCAAAGAAGTATCACTAATGTATATATCAAGACGACTGCAGTCACATTTTTTTGTTGCCTCATGGAGAATTAAAGACATCTAAGTTTATCTTACTTGCCTTCATACAGCAGAACTTTATTTTTGTATTTGTCTTCTACATCAATGAAGTTTGACAGCCATAGAGTATGTGAATAAAAGACACATTAATTCTAGCTTAACTTTTGAGATTGCTGACATTGTCCAAGTGTTTCCTGGCAAGTTATATGCTGAGACAACTAGAAATAAATCTATTAAATTATAATTCCATCAATGATAAATGTTGACATTGTCTATTTATAAAAAAAATATTGTCACATGATGTGTAAAGCTGTTGTACTGTCATGGTAACAAGAATGACAAAAAATGTATTAGCTGTGGAAAATGTCATTTTTTTAATAGATATCATTTGTTTCATGTGAATATAGAGCATGCAAATAAGCCCTGGAAAACAGAACTTGAGAATTAATCTAATGCTCAAGCTGGACGAACTTTCTCCCTAGCGTTCCAGCGAGAAATTGTGACTAGTGACGCCAATCAAGTCAGGTGTAGGAAAAAATACTTACCAGTGACATTGGCTAATACAGATTGGCAGAAGTTGGAATTCATGATTCCTTATGGATTCCGTCGCAGCAGCTGAAGGTTTCGCATGCTTGTGGCGTAACCTGAAGGTTTTGAGTCTGATCCCAAATAAGTAATGCTTGCCTGCTGGTGAAGAGCTCCGAACCCCATACAAAACAGTTTATTAAAACTTATGACAAATGCTAAATATACTACTATTTATGCAGCATCAAAGGTTTCTAGAACAATGTAGTTTTCAGTTGGTAACAAAACATATGAATTTAAATATCAAGCAGAATAATATATTACCTAGTCTATAAACAATAAGTGATGAGCACCGTTCATAAACGGTTGCCATCATAAACTTAAAAATTTAAAAATATGACAAGGACTTAGAAACTAGGACATTTTTGAGAAAGGGCAATTGATTCAGAGTGCTTGTAAAGTAGAATTCAAAGTTAGGAGTTTGAAAGGAAGAAATAAGACGACGATAAAGTAAACCAAATGAATATGAACTACATACTAAATTATTGTACAAGTTAAAGAAAGGAAGATGTAAGGAGAGATTATGGAGAACGGTTCAGAAAATATTTTTTGCCTCATCACTATGTGTTACCATCTTTACGCAACCTCTAATTCATCAGAACGCCACAGATAATGTTCCACTGTTGGTAACATTCATGTGTATATATCATTTCACTTTGATCCTTTGGAGTTAAGTACATAGTCTGTAACAGTAGGCTACTGTCTAGACGAGCACACGAACTTCTCCCAATATGGTTGTGAAAAGGAGAAATGAGACGAAGCCATAGCTCCATCGCTGAACTCCTTGTTTGTACAAATCATTCCGAATCAGTAGAAAAATCTTTCGAAGTGATACTAAATAAGGTATGGCCAAGTCATTTGGAGGAGGAGGTCAACAGCACTCAACATTGTGCGTCGGTGGCACAGTGGTTAGGACTCTCGCCGACCATGCACATGGTCCGAGGTTCGATCCCCTGCCGACGCACACCTGATATCTATGGTCGGCCTGCAAAATTTGGGCTACCGATATCCATGCTGAAAATTCCATACTTGTACCAAAAATACAGTGTGGAATCAAGCTGTAAATCAAAAATAAAAAATAAAAAAAATAAAAATAAGATCCGGATTTTCAACTCCAATGTGAAGTTAGTCAGTGCTACTATACGGATCAGAGACTTGGCGCGTCATAAAGAGCATGTCAAACAAACTTCAGACCTTCATTAACGGTTGTCTTCGCTCAATACTCGAGATTAGATGGCCAGAAAAGATCAGAAACAGGGATCTCTGGTAGTGAGCGAATCAACCAGTAACCGACTGTGCAACAAATAGGCAGGAAGAAGTTGAGATGGATTGGCCATACGCTGAGGAAACAAATCATCAAGTGACATCACTAGACAAGCCATCGTTCGATTTGAGCCCGAGCGGGAAGCGGCGAGTTGGTCGGCAGTGTAAGGGTGACTTGTAGGAGGTCATGTGAAGAGGAAATGAAAACATGTGGGCAGGCTTGGAGCCAGGTGAAAACGTTGGCAGAGAACCGAACGCAATGGAGACGCGTGGTTGAAACCCTATGTTCCTCTAGGAATTAAAGGAAATAATAATGTCATTTGGAAGGGATTCCGACAACATCTTCTATACACAGCAAAAGCTATTACTGTACGCGAGGAAAACGCTGAACTTTTTATACAGAGGGGGTTTATCAAATCCCTTTTCCTAAACTGGCCTTAAATATTTGCTATTTTTAAAACTCGTACAATAATTTGGTATTCATTCGGTATTCATCTTTGTCTCACTTTTTCCTTCAAAAAACTGCTACTTTCACTTCATAAATATGTCGAATCACCTACCCTTTGGAAAAATGTTCTTGTTTCCAAGCTCGTGTCATTTTTTAATGGTAACTACTTCTGAACGATGGTCGTCACTAACTGTCATTTAAAAAAAGGTATGATATGAATGTGAAGCCTTAGAAAAAGTCTCACTTGGCCTCTGTCTCTATGCATAAAGTGGAACATACTATGTTATTTCTCTATTCATGTTGAATGGTAGACAACAGTGAAATGTAGAACGCGAGTTGTTTTGCCCTTTTCTCATTTAAAAAACAAATCACCTAAATGTACATCAGTCTCCTACTATTAAACTGATGGCGTTCCCACTGAGACTTGAACTCATTAATCAATTCTCTTCAAGTTTACAAAAAAAGAGATTAACAACTTGATTTATGTCAGATAAAGTAGCGTATATATATGATTTAAGCCATTTCAAATTATACTTATTGTCCTTTATTAAAGTATAACTTTTCATATAGGTGAATGTTTTTTTCTTTCTTTTACAGGCATTTCAAATGCGACATCAATAACTTCAGTCCCCCAGGATAATGATACTTCAAAATGTACATGTTTTAAAAATGTTACCAATAAAGCAATTGTCAATAAAATCACTGGGACAACTATACGCTTACATTCACATGGAAATGAGGCTAGAACACGTTTAGAAGCAAGTGAATTGTTGTGATTGCTTTTTCTATTTCTTCTTTCATGTCCTCTAAATTATGCAAACATGATAAATAGGTCTTGTTTTTGTTTTCTTCTCTGATCTGCTTATATTGTTCGCTTGCTATATAAGAGAGTAATTATACATCAGCTAAAATATTAACTATAATATTGAGAGACATAAAACTAGGTGAAAAGTAAAATGCTGTAAAAAATAACCTGTGGGTGGCTTTTCACAACGAGTGTGGTTTGTTTCTAATCCAAATGCATAATATTTTAAAGCGTAAATAGTAATACACTGATGAATGAATACAACCATTTCTTATCAGGTCATACAGTGTTTGTGTGGCTTCGTGTTTTGCAGTTAGTATGAGATGTCAATTGTTTCTTTGATACACCGCATTTAGTCCCTCCTCCAACATGAGGCTTCCTTAGCACATATCCATTCACATCTGTTCTCTTCAGTTGTCTTTGCTTTTTTCCATGATCACCCAGGAGCTTTTCTCTCCTCTTCACTCTATGTCCTCTATATCACCTTTGGACCCACACCCAAGTCATCGTTTCCCACTCGACCGATGACCTCAGGATTTGTCTGATCCATCTGCTTTTCTTCTTCATGCTTATTGAGCGATGGGATCTACGTCGATTCGTTGGCACAGTTTCCTATCGTTTATCCAGTCTACCTGGCCATCTAGCCTTCAGTATTAGGGCAGCGACAACAGGGAATGCTTTCTGTGACGCACCATGTCCCTGAATCATGTGAAATCAGGGAATTGCCTTGTAGTGTTGAAAATCCGAATCTTCTTCCTTATGTCGAGCTGAGTAGATTTTCACACTGATTTCAGATGACTGAAGGTTTTCAAGTATTGTTTTGGTAGGAATTTTGTTTGATTGCATGGATGGTTTCATCATGAGCTGAACCACTGGAAAACCTGGGAGTACTAGGCAGCTGTTTCGTCCTAGTTTGGGACTCTTCATCTGTACGCATCCACCGGGGTTCGAACCCAGGACCCTCTGGTTACAAGGCGAGCTCGTAGACCATTGAGCCACTGGGACCCAATCTAATGGTCCTTGAATTCTAACTCCTGCCAATTCACGACATAGCGTGACCACTTCGCAATGTCTTCTTCGATGAGTTACTGCCTCATCTTCAACCTGCTGTACCCAACTGGTCACGGCTTCCCATTAGAAATTAGAATTCAAGGAGCTCAATGGACTACGAGCTCGCCCTGTAACCAGAAGGTCCTGGGTTCGAATCCCGGTGGGTGAGTACTGATGAAGAGTTGCAAACTAGGACGAAACAGCTGTCCAGTTCTCCCAGAATGAATGTTTGTCTTGCTTTTCCGACCTTGTCTTTTATATCCACATCTGTAACACCTTTGGTCGAATCGATACTGCCTAGATAAGTGAAGGAAGTCACCTCCTTTAGATTTCTCCCGTCGATGTTCACTGATGCTTGTTGTTGGTCGGTGGGTATCTTTGCCGACTATTTCTTCTCTATACTCAGGTGTAGTCCTGCCTTCATTGCTGCTTCTATCAGCATGTTGAACTGCGCCTGTAGATCTTTGAATCTATGTGACATTAGTCACCAACAAGTGAAACATATATAGGAATTGATTTAACAAGTGTATATACATAATCAGATATCAGGATATGAAAAAGATACAAAGATAAAACTCTGATTACATTTTCGATTACTTTAGTCCGTATAATGAGTAATGCCGAAAATTGCTGTAGTGTTCAGCATACTTCACGTAACGTAAAACAAAAACTGAAAACTGCATAAAAACTGTACTGGTTAGGTAAATCCTAATAAATATATCCTGTTTTCCTAGACCAACTGGTTAAATAACCATTAAAATGCCTGTGTCTATTAACAACTAGCTGATGACGATAAATTATGCAATGAATCTCATTATTTCTAGTTTATTTTCGGTGAAATGGTCTGTACTACTGATTTTTACAAGTAACCAGTAACCACTGATAACAAGGACTAGTATTTCCTTCACTTGAAATTTAGCTCATTACCTATGTACACGAAGTGCTTTAGATCTAACAGCTGACACTGTATAGATTGTCCGTTTTGAAATACAATCAAATCCGAAATAAAAGAAATTTCGATGAAATGCCGCCTCCAACAATATATTGTTTGCAAATAAATTATCTTTTTTTCATTTCTTTGCTTTCCTAATAGAATATAGGGCTCCAGGAGTGAAGTCTTGAAGCTTTACTAACCGGAGTGGAGTCACTAGTCTCCCAGCCAACCACACCTATTCGCCGGACCAGTAAATTAGGCGAGGTCTAGGATTACATCGGTCAAGAATTGAGCTCCGAACCACGTGCGTAGTTGGCAAGCATTCTAACATTGCGCCACTTATGCTAATAAATTTACTGTCTATTAAAAATAGACCTAAGACATTTTTTCTTCCTATCTTTCTCTATAAATATTTTAGCCTAAAGACTATAAATTTAATGGAGAACCGAAAGAACAAACTCTCAAATCATCCCTTTCACCTATATGGAAAAGAAAATTAAGTAATTCAACACCAAAGTTAAAAGGTTTGCTAACTGAGAAACAACCAACCAGGACGACGACCATCACCACAACAACGACAAACATTACCACTCCCAGTGATATACATTATATGCAGTTTATTAGAATGAACGGAGAAGAAGAAGAAAAAAGGGAAAAGAATGTAAAGCCTAATCCTCAATATGAGGAAAATTCACATCATAGTAATAACATCGAACAATCCAGTATTCATGCATACCCACCTTCGAATAATTCTAGCAATACACAACAACAACAACAACAAAATCAGCCGCCTGCTTGTATATTATGCACAGTTAATTGGCAATTTTATTTATCACAGCCTAGTAATCTTCTTTACAGTATTATTGATAATAGTGATGATAATACTAATAGTGATAAAAAGGCGATTTATTCAAATGAAAGCAATGCATGGTATTTTTTAAGTCATGCTGATTTTCTTAAATCTACAATACACCTAGTTAAACCGGAACAGTGTTACAATTGTCGTAGGCATATTTATGCTGTTGGTATTAATTTATTTAATCGGTAAGTTTTTGTAATCATTGAATGTTGAATGTGATTATTATAACAATATTTTGTGTTACATCCAAGGCTTGGTTTTTTATGAAGGTGATTTATGTATACACAGACGTGTAAGACAATGTAAGGTGACGCCTTGATTAGATAAAGAGACGAGGTGGTTTTTACTTCAAAAGTTCCATAGTCTAAATATCAATCTCCGGATCATTGGTGGCTAGTGGATGGGAAGCCATGACCAGTGGGGCCCACTTTGTCAACGAGAAGTTGATGCTCGTAGAGGGCATTGGTTGAGAGAAGCACTATATCACGAATTCTCAGTAGTTATAATCCACGTGTCACTGAATTCCGGTCCAAGTGATTGCATAGTGAACAAATTTGGTCTTGTTACCGGAAGGTTCCGAGTTTGATCACTGGTGCACTTGTGAATGTGTGCTGTTGAAGAGTCCCGAAATGTGGCGAAGCAAAGCTCCAGTGCTCTTTGGTTTTCAATGACCTCTCTAACTGATGTTGCTTTGTGACGAAATCTTATAAGTGAAATTAAATTAATCCAAATCCTATGATTTAGAGAACGACAATTTTGTTCTTACGACAGTGAAATTTCCAGCTTTAGGCTCAATTTTTACTCTTCTATTAGATTACTAACGCCTAGGAGACTTGTAGGAGTGAATCGGCTGGCAAACGAACTTGGACCTCCCGTGTAGTTGTAGAGCATTCTATCACTGATGCACTAACGCAAGATACTTCTGTATCAGTGGCGAATCCCCATTCTAGATCATCTGAGAAGTTTCCTACCATAATCGGGAGCTGTCTTGATCTTTAGTAGGAATAATATATTTAGCCGTAACATATATAGCGTACTTTTGTCTCCTACAGGATTTTTAAAATCTTATTTATTTTTTATTCTAATTGACTTCTCTTTCTATTATTGAAGGTAATTATTCTGTTTTCAGTTACATTTTTTAACTATGTGCGGTATATTTCAACTTTAGCTTCAACGTGGTTTGTCCCAGTATATACGTTTTCTTCAGTGGTTCAGAAATAGAATGTTCGCCAACCAAGTCTAGCGTTGTCCGGGGAGTTTGATCCTCTGCCTCCGCACTCCTTAAAAATATCTCTTTAGATCGGTAGTCAGTTCGGTAAAGAGGGTAGTTTGTATGCTAAGCTAGCAACCCTACTCCGTAAAAATAAAACAACTGATACCGATTTTCAATGTTCCACTGGGGACAAACAGGAATAAACTAACTATAATGATAAGTACCTATATTATTCCGAGTTTCTGTACACCTAGTCACCTATTCCTACTTCACTGTCAATTTCTACATGTACTTTCAAACAAAGTTGTAGAATAATTATATTCATAAAGTAGTGGTTATATCCCGTTCTTAATTAAAGGAGAAAATGTGAATGAAGTAGAAATTCAGAAATCTGATGATAACTCATATCGTGTCGCAGATTTCGTAGAGTTCTAGTGCATCGTTATTACCGGTGGGGTTTAACAAACGGAATTTATCGGTATTTATTCACAGGTAACGCTGAACAGCGATTAAGTTGTTATCATATGTCGAGAGAAGCTCGTGAACCCAGACCAGTGAGTTTGAATTAAGTGACAGAAGGACTACGTGCCTACTACTTTCATGCTTAATTTACTTTATTTTGATAAATCATAGGAAAGTCAGTTTTCACTAGTGAAGAGTCTTCAACTTATAGTCAGAAACCGTCAATCAGGTTGTTTTTTTCCAATTATCTTTTCATTGCCACTCATAAACTGCTATAATGAATATATTAATCAATTAATCAGCGGAATTATACGTCGACTGTTCAGAGGGAGAATAGTAGTCAGCCAAACAAGTGTCTCGAGCTTCAATCCTCTTCTGACATACTCCTTAACGTCGCTTAGTTGATAGATAGTACAATGTAAAGAGAAAAAGTTGGGTGTGAGGCTAGAACAACCCCACGCTGTAATAGAAAACGTCACTGCTACTGAAACTTCAAAGTTCTTTTCCTTGAAGCGTTATGTTTCACTCTGAACAGATAAGAATATAAGAAATGGGGTTATGATATTTTCTGAATTGTTTGAATATGATTAAATGTGCAAATAATTATAAATACAGAAGTTTTATAACAAAAAGCTACTTATTCTACAGCACAGTTATTTTTAAATATTTTTATGTATTATCATTAATTATGACGAATGATGGTTTTAATTATCACCTGATTAGTACACCTGAGCTCACAGATAACCGATTAAGCCGATACCTTTACTGTTAAGTTTTGAAAAGAAAAAAAGAAAGAAAGAAGAAACAAAAAAAGAACATTCACTCTTAATTATGGTTCTATTAAATTTTAAAAGGTTATGTGTGTATGATTACTGAGGCTTTTTAACAAAATAGCATTTAAGTGTGTTTTCATTGAACAAATTTGGTTTAATAGTTTGTAATTGATTAAAGAAACTATATGATTATTAATATTAGGGTCTTTTCGATTATGAAATAAACCATGTGTTCATTGACTAATTGTTTAGTGATGCATGAAGTTTAAAAACAGAAAAATAACTGATAAATCTTCGTAATATGTAGATATCAGTTCAAGAAGTCTGTTAGCCTAGCAGATAATACTTTGGCATTTAAAGCGATCAGCAGTACGGTTCGGTCTCAGTGGGAATACCATCACTCACAGGGTTGCAAGTACATCCAGCTGACAACTCGCAAACAGGACTAAACATTCGCCATGTATTCTATTGCTAGCTGTTGAATGAGATTGATAAGGATTTGAGGCATTGTTTAGTGGTGGAGGAACTTTCGAATTATTTCGCTTTGAACGCTATTGAAGTTCTTTTCAAAGTCGACGAAACTGAGGTAGAGATTTGACTGTAGATCCATGATCTGTCTGATGATAATGCATGGCGTTGTGATCTGATCAGCACATGATTTGCTTTTAATTTAAATAATATAACCCAAAAAAGAAAATTTGGAAAAAACAAAAACAAAGGAAGAATTATTATTTGGGGGGCAAAAAAATTGTTTTTTTTATATAAAAAATAAAATAAGAAGGAAGTAAAAATAAAACAAATTTAACAAAGGAAACACAAAGAAAAATTATTTAAAACCTTTGGAAAAAAAATTCCTTTTTTTTGGAAAAAGGTTTTATTAACCGAAAAAAAAAAAATTTTTTTTTTGAAAAAGTAAAAAATTTATCTATAATGCTGGCTAACATAAAATTCTCTGCCATACATTTGAATTCCAGACAAGAATTTACATTTGGTACATCGTATTTTTTAATAATAGTTAGAATTAAGTTTTTGTTTATAAGAGTATATACTTCAAATAAAGTTTCAGTAGCAATAGTGTTATTCTTTTTTACGGGATGAGTTTGCTAGCTTCACACCCAACCTTCTCTGTTCACTGGGTTTATTACTAGCTAAATGAATCCTAGGAATGTGTTGGCTGGGATTCAAACTGCAGGCCAAACAACAGACCATTACTGTCAGGGTATCTACCTCTGGACCATTAACTCAAAAGTCATTGTGCGTCGGTGGCACAGTGGTTAGGACTCTCGCCGACCATGCACATGGTCCGGGGTTCGAGCCCGCACCGACGCACATCTGATATCTATGGTCGGCCTGCAAAATTTGGGCTACCGATATCCATGCTGAAAATTCCATACTTGTACCAAAAATACAGTGTGGAATCAAGCTGTAAATCAAAAATAAAAAATAAAAAAAATAAGTAATCTAAATAGTCTAAATGCTGTTTATAAAAAAAAGCTGGACAAAACAGCCATCTGTACTTAACAGATGAGTTTAAGATGTCTAATATTCTATAATGACTGTAGTGTTAAGAGGAATTTAAAATAGAGGGATAATTTTGAAGCAGGATCGGAACTGATTGCCTCTAGTTAATATGTATGTCTGTGTCGGTAAGTCTCACAAGCCTTTTTGTTTGTTACATAGGCTTTAGCTTCGATTCCTCTGTAACTGAAAGTTCGTAAATGTAAATTTGTCGATCAAAATAAGAATAGATATTGTTTAATCTGCTAAGCTTTAATTGTGAATATTTTTCGTGTTAGAACAAATGAGATAAAAAGCTCTAAATTCATTTGGAATTTACCATTTTATAGAATAGTACACCTTATGCGGAGGCTACTAATACTAACTAGCCTATATTTTCTGCTTATTATAACGTAAGGAAAATTGACAAAACTGTAATGTGATACCAGTTCATGAAATGACTAATTTTTGGTCTGAAAATACCAAAAAAATTTAGTTCGCTGGTTTCCAAGCTACGTGACTATAGGAGTCTTTGGTTCGAGACTGTACATGATCGAATCGGTGTAGACGTATTCATATTTCACCATCTTACTTGTGAAGTTACGTTTTCTGCTCTATTCCATTTTCAACAAATGCTTTCATCTCTGGTTACGTAACTGTCATGTGTGCCAGTCATGACCACTACACAGATGTGTTGGATCCTGTACTGAATGGTTGATTGATGGTTACAAGGATATTTACCCAGATGCCAAAGGAATACGTCATACGTAACTGCTAACGTATCATCTTTACATTGGCTTCCCAGTCAGGTTCCAACACCTCACTTCTAATCATAGTGAATCAGACAAGATACAGACAACTAACTGACCAGTGGTTGATTTGATTTATATCAGCAGTAGCAGTTATATAGAGATTTCCTATTGAAATAAATGTTTTGTCTGTTTGTTCTTTTTTTTTTGAAAATTATGTATAGAAATCCATTAAGAGGTTTGAAATTCTTGGCAAAACATAAATTTCTCAAATTGTCTTCCAGTGAAGAAATTTCTGAATTTATTTATAATAATCCTGATTTATGTCGTTCCAAAATTGGTGCATTTCTTGGACTTCCTCCTAGTGAAGAAATCAACCCTACCGAAGTAACAATGTGAGTATTATTATTTATGTGTTATTTTGATATTATGAACTTTTTTCTCGGAATTATAGGAATGAAGTGAATCTATCTTTAAGGTATTTTAACCTCTTTTCATTGATTATACATCAATGTAAGCTCTTTCTCCACTTAACTATATTACTTTTCAATACTTCTACCGTGTCCAACCGTATTGTATGTGAGCTTTTTTCTAGGTTATTTAACTTATCAGGGCCAATTATTCTAGGTCTAGCTAAATTTTTATGTTCCAATAATCTAGTTGATCCGATCTAATAGTATGACTGTTCTATGTAATTGACCTCACTGACAATCACTAAATGGTATATAAATGATGTTATTATTCTTAATTGGATATATTGGTTCCTTAAGCAGACAGAGTTTACCTCTGGGAGATTTTTTTGATTGGACACTATTCAGTAACTAGTGTGCCTAGTCGTATCTTCGGTGCAGACTGAATTCTATCATTCACGTTTACAATGTGACCACCACGCTTGGTGGCTCACCATAAAGGTTCACTGTGAATTGAGCTGTTGGTATTAGATGGTTGGAAGCAATCGGCAGAAAGCCTTACCTGAGCTAGGTTTCATGCTTGTTGGCACTCACTAGTCAGCAAGGCGTATCTGCAATCTTGAAGGAACTCATGTCCTTTCTGAGGTTCCGACCCACATCATCCGTTGATGCTGTCAGAGACGTTACCACTGGGTTATTCGGGCTCGTGGTTGACTTTCTGTAGGAGGTCATCATTTCCTCCAAGTTTGCATATACTCCATGCTGACGAATGCCAATTAGCACAAAACCTAAGTCCAAGGCTTTCTGCAGATTGCCTTCAACCATCTAATACCAACAATTCTATCTCTGAGAGAGTTGTTTAGTTTTAATGCCACCTTAATTTCAACCTCATTTAGCATCCTACGGAGGTCCTCTGATGTTTCTTCTTTATACGGCAGTACCACAAAGGCTTTGAACTCTATATTGTTTTCGTAATTTTTATTGTTAATCTTAGTTTTTCTATGGTTCTTCATATATATATATATATATATATATATATATATATATATATATATTAGAATAAATTCTAGTGGGTAGTTATTCACTAATAATGTTTTTTTGATTTCATTATTTCAATCTACTGGTTTACTAGTTATACAGATAATCTAACTAAACCTATCTTTACCGATAATAACGTTTTAAGCGCAGCTTATTGCTCATAATCAATATTAAGACTCGAAATGTCATCAGAAAACTAATAATACTGTATCACTGTGTGCTTTTATCAGACAAATTTACTCTATGGTGGGATTTTACTTTATCAGCAATTGCTCAGTTTACATTTAAGGATTTTCGCTGACAGACGGATTTATAAAGTCTGATGCTATATACGATATCCTACAATATCATATGATTCAAGTTAGCGGGCATCCTAATGAAGTGTGTTTGTGTGTGTGTGTGTGGGGGGGGTATTTTTTGAGATAGTTTTGATTGCCATCTGGTAGCGAGGTCTGGTTATGAGATAATATGCATACATAATGTGAAATTTATTGTCAATATGTATTTTTCACCTGAATGAGGGCATTTATATTAGAAAATATAACTGTCATTCTGGAAAACTAATTTTTATGATCAATATATTAAATTTCACTTTTTGATAAATGAATAACATTGATGAATGCAGAATATAATTTAGATAGACATTTATATAAGATCAAGTTAAATTTTATTTTTTCGACTTGATACTGCTTTCAAAGGCAATCAGCAACTAGAAGTATAATTCATGAAGGTACAGGTCAGTAAGAATATTCTTTTCGTAACTCCACTTTAAAGGCGTACGCTAAAATAGTTTTCAAGAGTTGTTTTGTAAGAATTTGATTTGTTTCAAGTTGGATCACAAGCTAACTAGTTAATGGTTAGAGAAAGAAGTTGCTTGGAGCTGTGTTGAGAAATGATGACCAGTGGGGCTGACCTTGTCAGACATGAGGGCTAACACTCACCTATGCCACTGGCTGGTAGTTATACTAAAATCAAATATTGGTAGAAACTAAAATTCGAGGGCCATTGGGTAAGTTCCCATTGACTAAATCGTCTACAAACTCACCCTGTAACAGGAAGATTGTAAGCTCAAACTCAGATGGTTGAGTGATGATGAAGAGTTTCAAAGTAGGAGGGCAAAACAGCAGTGTGGTACTCCATGCTTTTCTAGTGATTCTTTTACTGATGTCAACTCGTGTTCAAACTTGAAACAGTTATGTAGTGCCCTTAAAGGTCTGGGAAATGCCTACATGATTGATTGTTCATATGCAGTCTGTAAAAAATTATATCAATCACGTAATCCAAAACAATGAGTGATGAACACTTGTCAGAAATGATTCCAAATAAAAAAAATAAAAGTCACGAGCGCTTGGAAGCAAAAATATTGTTCAAAAGATTAAGCTATTTAAGAATACTTGTAAGATATATTTTAAAGTTAGAAGCTTGAAGGGAAGATACAATATGAAGACAAAACTAAGTGAATATGGATTACACACTAAATTTTTGTACAAGTTAAATAAAAGAAAGTTTAAGGCTAAGGAAGTGAAAGGGATTAGATAAATCACTCCTATATACACAGTTAAGGGTTTTTCTTTGTGTATAGGAAGAGATTCTTCTATGGAAAGAAGATGTCTCTGGAAAATCTTCGAACGACTTGTTCCTACCTTACATAATATCACTTTGAAAGACCTTTATATTGATAATGAATGAAATGTTAGAATAAGGTGTTCTAGAGTCCGTCTCATATCTCTTTTTTTGACAACCTTATTGGGAGAAGTTCTTGTTCTGCGTGTAGGCAGTAGCCTACTGTTACAGAGTATGTACTTAGCTCCTCAGGATCAAGTGAATTGATTTATGCACATGGATGATGTCAACAGTGGAACAGTGTCTTTGACATTTTGATGAATAAAATGTTGAATGAAGAGAGCGAGATGTGAGGACTTAGTGAAGATTATCTTTTTTCTTTGGAACTGCCATCGATAATCTGCTTCGAAGAACTTGAGCTTTTGGTGCCTCTGACTTTTGGAGATTATTTATATTACGTTTCGTCAGCGTGTGAATGAATGCTGGTGATGAGCTTTCTAAGGATTTCCCTTATCCTTTATAACACTAAATTATACTATACAGGTTCAAAGTGAAGTTACACAAAGAATATTCTATGCTGATGCAAATGTCTTCTTTAAAACTTCATACTACACAGATGTATGAGAACATTTAAGAAAAATTTCTTTTCTGTTTATAAGTAAATGTTAAGAAAATGTGAACAGATTCCAATACAACACAATATGAACGTGCACACGTGGAATTTATCAGTCAGCTGCTAGCTTTGTCGGTTTTTATCCCATGTGAAGCAAACTTTACGATTTCTGACTTCCTTTTAAAATAGAGAAAAACACAAAAAGAGTAGCAATTAAAAAAAAAAATAGTTGAATATCATTCATTAAAACTTGAAATGAATGAAATGTGATAAAAGTCTGTGACAGCAGATGTAATGAAAGTGGACCATTCGAATTCTTAACCGGAGAGTCAATGATCTATTCCGGTTCCCCAGACGACAAGTACAAACACACTGAAGATGTAGTTATCATAATTTCATCAGCAGCATCAAAGGCTTTTATGGCATCCAAGGTTGACATACACGAGACCATGTGAAGAAGAAGTGAAAGCTTATGGAAACGTACTACCGATGTCCTGTGTTCTACTCTAAACCCAAAGTAATACCAGTAATAATGTCTGTGGATTAACGTTAAGATTTTGATAGTATGTGTTTGTATATACTTTTATATATTTATATTCTCCAACATATCCTGCATAACTGAGCTTTCTGAGTACTTCATTAGGAAAACTGGTTGAATTCCATAAATTTACTGTTCTCGGTCAATTTGCAAATAACCAAAGAATGTTGGTCATAAGAAATCACGCAACTGGATTTAGAATATTTTTGGAATTAAATATGTAGCTGTTCAGCACAACTTTAGAAATCTGTCTTTCAGACTTCCAAATGATTTTTACTCCCAACAAACTATATGCTGACTTCTAGACGATTATTATTTCTATCTGATTACATTTAATTTTCAAGTGGAACATTGGGCTTCAAGCTTGAGCTGTGAAATTTCAGTACCTCTTCACCGAGATTACTACCATCTAGGCGAGGTTTAAGAGTAACTGAAGAGTATTCTACCAGTGAAGTGCTGACGCTCGCTTTACCTTAATCTCGTAACATCCTCATTAACAGCATCGTGAAGTCGTTTATCAAGACATCATTTATACAGGTATAAAACTTGGGCATTGTGGTAAAGTATGACTCCATTATGGATAAGACTTTATTTTCATAAATCACAGTGTTATACAGTAATATTTACTTATGACGTTTCAAGCCTAAATTATAGCTTATAAACATATCAGAGTACTCGCATAACTTTCATGCTTCATGAAGCAAGTACTTTGATATGATTATGAGCAGTAATTTGTGCCTGAGACGTTGTCAGTAAATATTACTGTACAACACTGTGCGATTTATCAAAATAAAATCCTATCCATAACGAAAAACACATCATTTAGTTGATTTATTTATAAATCCCAGTTTGTCTTTGTAGGCTTCAATTTTATGTGTTGAAGTTTACCGAGCAATAACAGAGTCATAACATATCATTGTAGCGTTATTTTCTTGAAGTTTTTTTTGTGATATCATTCTATTGTTGGTTCAACTGTCAATATCCTTCCTCGAGTCATATTAATTTCTGTTAAGTTATGGAAATAGTTTACCGTGGTCTTAATGGGAATCTGTGCTGAACTGAAAAGAGTTTGATGTACGGTTTTTTGTTACTTTCCTTTGGATGACTTTTCCCTGTAGATCTAGCTGATTTTCCAACGTTTAACCCTTTTGTATACACGTCATGTTTCCAGTGTTGGGTTTCGTTGGTTTCAATGATGTCCAAATAAAAAAGTTACAGTAGACTGACTATAAT